TCTTCTCATTATTCAACAATAATTGTTCAACAAGAGATTCCACTCTAATAAACCAAGATGGGACAGCCTTGTAAATTAACGGTGTATGTGATCTATAACAAAATGGATAACCTTAAAAAATTTTTCTTAACAAAATTTCAAAAAACCCCTCAAACAAACTATGTTTATATTGCTCTTGTTTTAATAATAAACCCTTTTCTTTCAACATTTTAATTATTAGTTTGTCAGCATCTTTTACATATAATCCTTTAAAGTCAACAACTTCATCTGTAAAAATTCCCTTTTCATTAACAGGACAGATCATCTCTGCATCTTTTGTGATAATTCCGTGTTCTAAACATGTTTTGTGGTCTTCCTAGAAGATGAACAAGTTTTGTATAAAAAATTTGTGAAGAAAGAAAGTAACAGAGCTACATATAAAGAAAAGGGATGGATCGGATTAAGGAAAAAGTCCGGGGGTATAGGGTCAAGTTTCCGAAACTTATTTCGAAATTTTTCTGAAAACACTTCAAAGGAGTTCGACATGAGGAATAAATCCGCGTTTCGAGTATCAATTCAAGTTTTGGAAATTTTCTTTGGATTGGGGTCTCTGGTTGAAAAAGTCCGGATTTCAAGTATCTGGTAAGTCGACCACAAGGAAGACCAAACTTTCTTGTAAAGTTGTGAGAATTTAAGGAAATCCACTTCTAAAAATGCCCCCAGACTCCCCTACTCGAAAAGAGAAGCAAAAAAATAAAAATAACCTCTCCAAAATACGGCGCCTGATGAACAATTCCCGTTCCCTGATCAGTTTTTACATAAGTATTAGTTACGACAACAAATACTTTTCTTCCAGCTTCTTTTAAATTCAAAAAATAGGGAAATGGAGGAATATACTCCTTTCCGGCAAGTTCACTTCCTTTGATTGTCTCAATTATTTTATATAAATTAGCCGATTTGTAAAGTTCAGAAAGACGTTCTTTTAGCATAATATATTCTTTTTGAGTTTTGACATCTGAAAAAAAAATATTGGGATTTTAAGTGATATTTTGAGGTCATTTGACGTTGGGTAGTATGCAAGGGCATAGTCAGGGATTTCGGAGGGGAGGGGCTTCAGGCTACGGCCATGGTAGTATGGTCCAGGAAAATCTTTGGAAACCAAGGATTAGTTAAATTGTAAGAACTTTGGTTAGGACTGAGCCATTATATTACTTTTCTCCCCCAATTTTCGCAAACTTTAAGCCCAAAACTTTTGTCTCATAGTCCTAGCTCTCTCTATGCTCTATCGATGACGCTCTATTAGTTGGTACCAAAAGTTCAGATTTTTGACCTAAAGTTTCGAGGTTCACGTATCCCAAAATTCCACTCAAACAACAAAAAACCTCAAGAAAAATAAATTAGAACAAACCCAAAATAACAGCATAAACAAGATTAGGATTTACACATAAAGCCAAATTGCTGGGTAAAGTCCAAGGAGTTGTAGTCCAAGCAACAAAAGAACGATTGGGATTTTCAACAAGAGGGAAAGCAACAAAAACTGAGAAAGATTTAAGTTGATCTTTAAGAAATCTTCAAAAAACCTGACGGATCGACTACATCCTGATAATTTTGGCCAGCCTCAAAATTGGAAAGAGGAGTTGAACAGCCAGTAGAAAATGGCATAACCTTCACTCCTCGATAAACAAAATTTTTCTTGAAAAGTTGAGAAAATACCCACCAAACCGATTCCATAAACCAACTTTTAATTAAATAAATTTAAAATTAAAAAAAAATTTTACGGGTAAAGAGTTTTGTAGTCATTATCAAAATCTATCCAACGTCCAGTCCTCTCAACCATATGTTGCCATTCTTCAGCATATCTCATTACAATACCTCTGCCTTAAAATTTTGTTTTATAGGAATGGAATTTTGTTTTACAAAGACTCGATACCATTTACAGTCAAACCTTACTTTTAAGATATACTCAAATCAGGCACTCCCCAAATTTAGAATAAGACTTTAAAAGTTGGTTAGCCATTCGTTGGGGGAGATCTGCCCAAACGATTATGTAAACACGAGCTTCGTCCCCGTTATTTCTTCCTTAATCGCCTATGATCAGACTGCCCAATGGTATACCTTATAAATTCGACTGTATATACCAGAGATGACTCAAATACACAAAACCAGGACTTTTTCAATCCGAAACACGACCCAACATTTTACTCAAAACGAACACATCCCGGCATAGACTATCAAAAAATAAAATTCAAACATACATTTAGCATTATAAACACCAATTCCCATATCCAAAACATCACTAGGCCCTTTGACGCCCAAAATTTTGTCCACTTCGTACTCCACGGGTAACCCATGCGTATCCCATCCAAAACGCCTTTCAACATAAAAACCACTTTGATGTGCCCAACGAGTAACGATGTCCTTTATTGTGCCTTCAAATGAGAGGATTTTGTGGGTAATATAAAGCCAAACAAACCTGCTAAAATATGCCCATAATGAGGAAGTCCAGTAGCAAAAGGAGGGCCGTCATAAAATGTGTAATGAGGCTTTCCGCGATTTCGACTGAAAAACTAATGATTAAAAAAGAAAAAAAACAAACTCTAGAGAGGTTTGAAAGGTGTTTTTGTCTCGCCATTTTTGAAGAATTTTGCGTTCCTCTGCAGCAAAATCAATATGATCTGGAACGACTTCTAATCTCGGCTCATCCTGTTGTTTCATTAAAGCAAAAAAGCTCTTTGGAATAATAAATAGTCAAATCTAAATAGAAAATGAACTTTTAATTTGGTGTTTTGGTCGATCTCGTCGAGAAAAAAAATCTTTGAGGAAGAAAAAATTAGAGACGAAACCAATGCACGACAATTGGATACCGAAACAATAGAAGAACGAGACAAATTGTCTTAGTGGCCAGATAAGACAATTGGTCACTATGACAATTGAACACCGAGACAAGTGGAAATTTTTGACAAGTGGACATTTAATCTGTGTCTATTTGTCATTATCCAACGTCACTGTTTAATAGTCTTTTACCCAAATGTCACTGTCCACGTGTTACTGTCTAATTGTCTCGTGTCCGGTTAACTCATCTATTCGTTAACTCATCTACACGGCCAAAAACGTTCAACTCATCTAAACGGCTAAAATTCCTTAACTCATCTACACGTCCAAAAAGGGTCAACTCATCTAATCGTTAACTCATCTATTCGTTAACTCATCTACACGGCCAAAAAGGATCAACTCATCCAATCATCAACTCATCTAATCCTTAACTCATCTACACGGCCAAAAACGCTCAACTCATCCAATCCTTTGGAACGAGACTATTGAGTACCAGTCGTTTGAATCTCTCGCCGTCTGAGTCTCTGGCCGTTTGAGTCTCCGGCCGTTTGAGTCTCTGGTAAGTAGGGTCCATGGCCGTTTGAGTCTCCGGCCGTTTGAGTCTCTGGTAAGTAGGGTCCATGGCCGTTTGAGTCTCTGGTAAGTAGGGTCCATGGCCGTTTGAGTCTCTGGTAAGTAGGGTCCATGGCCAGTTGAGTCCATGGCCAGTTGAGTCCATGGCCAGTTGAGTCCATGGCCAGTTGAGTCCATGACCAGTTGAGTCTCTAGCCGGTTAAGTCCCTGGTCAGTTGAGTCCCGGCCGTTTGAGTGGTTGATTACCGCCGGTTGAGTCTTGGGCCGGTTGAGACTCAACTGACCAGGGACTCAACCGGCCGATATTTCAAGGATTGGATGAGTTGAGCGTTTTTGGCCGTGTAGATGAGTTAACGAATAGATGAGTTAACGATTAGATGAGTTGACCCTTTTTGGACGTGTAGATGAGTTAACGAATAGATGAGTTAACGATTAGATGAGTTGACCCTTTTTGGACGTGTAGATGAGTTAACGAATAGATGAGTTAACGATTAGATGAGTTGTATAGGAGCCAATTGTCTTGCTGTCCAGCTGTCTTGCTGCCTAATTGTCTCAAAGGTCAATTGTCAAAGCCCAGGAGATCACCAGAGTTTTTTTTCGCTTTGAATGACTTTTGCCTTTTAATAATTTTTTTTGTTGGATGTACTTTGTAACTAATTAGATAAACCAGGGTTGGGGTCGTTTTGGCGCCGGGCCGTTTTGGCGCGAGAACAAAAAAGTGGCACTTAAGCTAGACCTAAATTTATAAAATTTTTCTCAAATTTCTTTAACATCCTTGACTACCTCCTCCAGAAATTTCAGAATTTTTCATCCAATATTTCCGAAGTTATAGTCAATAGACCTTGAAAAATTAGGCATTTTGCAGAAAATCAACATTTCTGGCCACAATTTCCGAAATTCTTGATCAAAAATTCTGAAATCTTTGGAGAACCTAGATAAAGGTACGAGAGTTATTATCGCAAAATTTTATCATTCTTTATAACGAACTCGCTATTTTATAAGCTCGCGCCAAAACGGCCCCGCGCCAAAACGGCCCAGTCCCGATAAACCAGGGCTCTCACGACAAAATACCAATCAAAAGTACAAAAATCTTGATTAAAAAGTACATAGGGAGAAAATTTGCAAATAAAAAGTACACTCCAAATTAAATTAGAAAATACCTACTATTTATTCGTCCTCAAATCTTTTATATTTCTTTCCTAAATGAATCTTTTCTAATAATTTCTTGTTTCCACTGAGCATTTGTGCATTTCAATGCATGACATGTCAAAATTCGCTGACACAAGGATGCCCTGAAATAAAGCCCTGAAATGGGTACGGCCCAAGTAGGCGCACGGCCAAGTAGGCGCAAAGTCATAACTTGCTTCAAAATTTCCGAATCTTACCAAATTTGGTATTAAACGATTCCTCTCATCGAGCTAAAGAGATTGGTACCAAAATTGTTAAGGTCCATAAATTTTTCAGGTAGTTATGGCTTTGCGCCTACTTGGCCGCGCGCCTACTTGGGCATGTCCCCCTGAAATAAACTCTGTTTGATTGACTGCATTCCCTATCGATCTTCTCATTTTATTAAATTTTCATTAACTAATAAATTCTAATAAAAATTAAAATTTAAAGGATGTTAGTCAGAAATACCCTCAAAATTGCTCAAAATGACAAAAAATTTTGCCTCGAACTTATCAAAAGAAATTTGTCAATTACTTCAAAATTGCAAGGAAATGGGTTTAATTTAGGTAAAAAACTGAGGGATTTTGTTTAAAAAATTTTTTAAAGATTTGTCATCTGAACAAAAACAACTTCAACAAGCAGTGGGTAAATTTACTGCAGAAGAAATAATTCCTAAAGCTGCCCATTATGACCAGACGATGAAATTTCCTTGGGAAATAATTAAGAAGGCACATGCTAATGGGTTTATGAATGTTGATATACCTGCTGAATATGGTTTCTTTAAAATTAGAATTTTGGGTTCTAGGGGTGTTCATTAGAGATCGAGCTGAGCCCGGACCAAGGCCTGGTTTGTCTTTACCCAGAGTCCAGGCCCAGGCATTCTTTGACCTTCCTGGGTTTTTCCTGGGCCTGGGGTTTCCTGGAGTACAGGCCCAACGTTCGGCCCAGGTCAAACCCGGAACCCAGGCACTGCCGACAATCTTGTCGGCAGTGCTTGCTAGGCCTTCTCTCTCACACCTTTGCACTACCGACTGAGCTAACGAGGCGACAGCTTTCCCTTTTCCCGTCTTTGAGGCGTTTTATCCGCTGCCAGATGACTCACCCTTACAGACATTTCATCGTAAGGACGATTCACCGTAAGGTGGTGAAGTGTCGTTTGGGCAGATTGGGCTTGTATATTAACTGTCCCGACTAAACCTTATAAAAATTTTGTTTTTTAGGAGGCCTTGACCTAGATTTATTGAGCAACGTTCTTATCAGCGAAGCTATTGGTTATGGATGCACAGGGATTGGAACTGCCATTTTGGGCAATGATTTGGCTGCAACCCCAATTATTCTTGGTGGAAGTGAAGAAATTAAAAAGAAATATTTGGGTCAATTGATTGATGAACCTGTTATGGCTGTATGTATTTTCTCTTATTTTTTAAAAGATTCCTTTTAAGTCTTATTGTGTGACAGAACCAGGTGCCGGCTCTGATGTTTCCGGACTTAAAACAAAGGCAGTAAAGAAAGGAGAAGAATGGGTGGTTAGTTTTTTTCCAAAAAATTCTTAAAAATCTTTTTTTAAAGATTAATGGCTCAAAAATGTGGATTACAAATGGTGGAGTTGCTTCTTGGTTTTTTGTACTAGCTCGAACTGATCCGGACCCGAAGGCTCCGAGTGGAAAGGCATTTACTGCTTTTGTTGTGGATGGTGATGCTAAAGGTCTTTCTCGAGGGAAAAAGGTTTTTTAATTAATTAATTTTTTGGAATTTTCTGAATTTTTATTTTCTAAAGGAAATAAATTTGGGTCAACGCTGTTCTGACACTCGAGGAATTACTTTTGAGGATGTTGTGGTTTCTTCTAAAAATGTTATTGGAATACCTGGAGAAGGTTTCAAAATTGCAATGAAAACTTTTGACAAAACTCGACCAATTGTTGCAGCATTGGCTGTTGGACTTGCTTCTAGAGCTTTGGATGAAGCTGCAAAATATTCATTGGAAAGGAAGACTTTTGGAATGCCTATTGCTAATGTAAATATTTTTTTGTTTTTTAATGCTCCTTGAGTTGCACGGCCAGGTGTGGGATTTAACTGGGTGGGATGTAACTGTGAATACGTTGTGATACCAAACCACCAAAAAATGTCAAAATACCAAATAATGGAGAAATACAAGTATGTATGGGTTTGTTTGTTTCAAGAAGGGTGAAGGATATCCTGGAACGTTGTTAACAATCCACATTTTGGTAAATATTTAGGAGTCTTTTAGGGGTTTGGTATTAGGCAACAAGGGCGTATCCAGGGGGGCTAGAGCCCCCCCCCCCCCCCCCCCCCCCCCCGAAATGGGGAAAAGGAAAAAATTTGAGGAAGGGTTGGGGCAAAAAAAGTGAATTTTTTTGGCCTACGGCCTCTGAAATTTAAAAAATTTTCGCCTGCGGCGCTGAAAATCAAATTTTTGGCGCCTGCGGCGCCGAAAACGTGATTTTTTTTGGCCTACGGCCTTCTAAATTTTAAAAAATTTTCGCCTGCGGCGCAAAAAATGGAAGAAATCTGGCTTCTTGGGCTTCAAATTCCAAAAAATTTTCGCCTGCGGCGCGGAAAATATAAAAGGTTATGTCAAAAAAATTTGCCGTAGGAACGCAAAGGTAAACGCCAAAAATTTTTGCGCCCACCCAGTGTTAGCCCCCCCCCCCCCGAAACCGACCCCCTGGATACGCCCTTGTTAGGCAATATACAGATTTGATTATCTGAAATGAGAAACTTTTCAATTTTCAGCATCAAGGCGTCTCTTTTATGCTAGCAGATATGGCAATGGCTTTAGAACTTTCTCGTTTGATGACTTATAAAAGTGCCCAAGAAGTTGATCTTGGTCGTCCGGGTGCTTATTGGGCTTCAATTGCTAAATGCTTTGCTGCAGATACTGCAAACCAAACAGCTTCAAATGCTGTCCAGGTTTTTTGATTTTTATTAGGACTAACGTCAAAAATTTTCTTTTATAGATATTTGGAGGAAATGGCTTCAACACAGAATTCCCAGTAGAAAAATTAATGAGGGATGCAAAAATCTTTCAAATTTACGAAGGTTACAAATTTTTTGTTTTTTTATTTAATCAATATACCTATTTAAAGGTACTTCACAAATTCAACGTCTTGTTATATCTCGTCAATTGCTTCAAAGAGTTGCTCAGACTGGGACTTCAAGCGTCTAATCTTTGGATTATTTTAAAATTTATTGTGCTAGTAATTTGATTTTTGTGGGTTTAATCAATATTTTAATCCTTTGTATGTTTTTAAACACTAAATAAAAATTTCTAACATTTTTTATATTTAATTTTTGATTTAGGTATATACAGTGGCGGAAAATTACATTTTACTTGGAGAGGTTGCGAGGTGTCCAACTTAAAAACGGTCGAGACCGGGCTCATTCGATAGAGAATGTGCCCTTTCTAGCAAAAATTTTGAGCCGTTTTTGCCCTTTTTTTGATCTGGCCAAGATATGGCCCTCCAAAGTCCCCAAATTTGGCATAATTTTTCCCCAACCAAATGAAGTGGTGAGTGTGTGTGTGTGTGTCTATTTTTGGTTCTTTTGGTTTTTTTAGTTCAGTTGTCCTTAATCGTCGCATCCCCAATTTTGCGTTTGTCGCATCCTCAACTGCCGATCCTCGTTTGTTGTACCGCCAATCAATTTCCCTCTTTGCACTATTAAAAATTATTTTATGGATTACTTTAGAAAAATTTTTTCTCTATTTAAATTTTTGGGACGAGCGAGCCATCGAGTGGCATATTTATTGGCATATAATGCCATCCAGGTAATTCGCGCCCATTTTCTGGATCAAGTCAAGAGGGTCTATTCATTTTATTCAAAAAAATATTTTTTTAATTTTTAAAAATCCTTCTTTTTAAATTCTAAGTTGTCTAGCTATTAAAAAAGGATTGTCAAATAATTGTTTTTTTATAAAATTCTGAGCAAAATTCTTTGCCCAAATGTTTTTTAATACTTAAGGATTCGTCTAGATTTAAAACGCTTAGGAGGGGGTTAGACTATCTAAAAAGGAAAAAGAGAAGACAATGCCCCCGTGGCTCATGTCAGTGGTAGAGCTCCTGTATATGGTGAGTGAAAGCGCCTAACAATAACTGACAGGTTCGGATCATGCCCGGTGACTAAGCTTTTGCTCTGAACTCTTTCTATATACTTTTCAAGACATGTAATAGAGGATTTAAGGTATCTAAATGAAGCATTTTTCTATTTTTGGAAAGTTAAAAGTAAAAAAAAGTTTCTAAATGTTATGAGATTAGTAGTAGATTAATGAAGAGAAAAGCCTGATAAACAAGAAAATTGCTGAGTTTTTGGTTATAAAAATTTTTTTATCCGGACCAGATTTCCGTATCAAATCTAGAAAATCCGAAAATATGGTTTTTATCAAAATACTCTGATTCCTGACCAGTCTGGCTCTTAACTCTAATTTTGAATAAGAATACCCCTTTGCCTGTTCTTTAGCTATCACAGTCTAGTTTTTGCTTCTGTTCGGCATTCCATAATGTTTATATTCCATATCCCTTCCCATTAATTCTTCCCAACACGAACATACATAATAGCAACCAACCCGGAACTAAAAAATTCCCCAAAATGAATACCCCCTCCTCCCTCGAGGTACCCCCCCCCCTCGAGGTGTCCAAACGTGTAAATTAAAAATTTTTATACTTCCCTTTTTTCTGTCTAAATTTATGTAGCGATTACGCGCGTCCATTTCCATTTTAGACTCCACATTTAAAGTAGGGATTCCTTCCCTTAAAAATTATTTTACTTGATTTTTAAAAAATCTTCCCCCTTTGTTTAAATCCAATTGTCGTTTAAAAAAATTTTTTTGAAAAAAAAATAGAAGAAAATTTTATTTAAAAAATTCTGAGTAAAACTCTTTGCTCAAATGTTTTTTAATACGTTCTACAAGACATTTATTGTCCTCATTTTTGTTGGATTTGATCCACCTCTTATCAATGGAATGCATAATGTTCCTGGTAAATTTTAAGTTTCTGCGTGGGAAAGTTTTGGGAAGGGCCTTTCCAATATGTCTAGTGGATGAATTGTAAGGAAGATGAGAGATCCTGCGTTTTAAGCATTCAAAGATGCTTAATAGGCTGTGACTTAAGCTCTATTAAAAGGGGATAAAAGCAGTGCCCAATAGCCCAGTCGATAGAGCACTTAAACACGTTGACAAATGCCAAATGGCTATTGCAAGAGAACAGCAAACTAATCTTTTACCTATCCCTTACTGATATCCAGGCTGGGATTCTCCTGTCTCTACTCTTTAGGAATTGTAATTTTGGTGAAATTAAATGATCGCTGAGATTAGAGTTCGACCTCGGGCCGGGACCGGGTTTTCTTGGCCCGGTAGTTTTTCCGGGTTTTCGGGGTTTTAGCCCGGAAAATCTGGCCCGGGTCGGATTGGAAGAAAAAAACCCGGATACCGGGCCCGGAAAATTGAAAATGTCGAACTCTAGCTGAGATCCTCATTAATTTGTCTAAAATACTTTATTTTTACTCAGGGAGTATGCGAACTGGTCGTCGTGGCCAAGTACCTAGAAACACCAACTTTACACTCACTGAGTTGTCCTTACTGATACAAATTTTGAAAGGAACTGATTATACTGACACTTACAGTAATGATGAAGCAACTTTTACTGATTTACTCATAGAAAAGGGACTTGAAGTAATAAACGGTAGATGGGATGCAGATGATCCCTTCATTACTCGTTTTCAAAGCAAAATAAAGAGAGTATGTAAACTATTCCATAATTTTAAATCGCTTAATGGTATAGTTTAGAGAACGGTCATGAGTGTCTTACGAGAACGGTCATGAGTGTCTTACGAGAACGGTCATGAGTGTCTTTCGAGAATCGGGCGAGATCGATACCTCGAAAAACCTGGGGCGGTATGCATAAAAGGAGGTAAGGGTTAACCAACCCTCAGCTGCGGGTAGGTTAACCCAGAACCCTTAGTCAAAAATGAGGGTAGGGGTATAATCCGCAGCTGTGGTTAGTTACTCGGGTAATAGAACCCGCATCTGCGGGCTGAGCTTGATAACCAAAATTTTCGTTTGAAATCTCGACCCGGTCCGGTCGCTAGTATAGTTAGAGTCAACTACCCCTTGATTCTTAAATTTTGGTGTATGTGACACTTCTTTTTCGGGATCCTTTCTGACCTTTATATAAACTTGGACAAGTTCCACGAAATTCCCTCCCCTCGTCAGTTCTTTTAGACTATTTGTTTTTGTCCTTTTACCTTCCACAGAGGTAATAATCCTAATTTACAGGTAATAGATTATTTTGAAGAAAATCTTAACCGTTATGAAGGGCATATAAGACAAAATTACGAAAATATAGAAGATCGAGATGTCAAACTTTTATTTATTAATAAAAGACTCGATGATTATAGACAATTTTTTAACGAGGATACCATGAATGCTTATAACGAATTTATTCAAAGTTACGATTTAAATATAGACGAGTTTGGTGAAGAACGAAATTTGAATATTATTCCTGATTCATTAGGGGCTATAAGGTAATAAAGTCAATTTTTCTGCAATTTTTTCTGTACTATTGAGATCTGTATGTCTACTTGCCTTACTATTTTTATTGAACCAAAAATTTTCTATCTTCCCCGGCCTCAAGTTCAACCTCTTACTTGAATTTGGCCAAGGGTGTGTCCTTATAAAGAGCTTCCACTTTACCCCATCCATTAGGGCATTTGAGGGGGGGGGGGGAAGGATAACTAATCGAAAGAGGGCAATAATTTGAGAGAAGATAAGATTATTCGAGAATATACGGTATCTATAATTTGTATTATTAATTTAGTGGTGAGGGATTACATCAACTTGAAGGACTTTTAGTTAATATTTTACAATGTGAGAGAAAATTGTATCATTTATACAAAATGCATGTTTTGGTACGAAGATTGATTTTGTTATTCATCCGAGATAGTTCAGATGCATATTTGCATTACTTTGAAGAATATGACCCCGAAAGGTGATTTCCACTAAGTTCCAATAATATTGTAAGGATGATTCACTAGAGCATTTAAAACGCTTAAGTGGGGGTTAAGCTATCTAAAAAGATAAAAGAGAGCATTAGTCGATGCCCTGGTAGTTTAGTGTAGAGCTCCTGTATGTGGTTAGTGAAAGCTCCTAGCAATAACTACGATGAGGTCGCAGGTTCGAATCCTGCCAGGTGGCTATACTTTTGCTGAACTCTTTCTACGAGTACAGCCCAAAACAACGCGCAGCCATAACAACGCAAAGCCATAACTAGCTGGAAAATTTTTGGCCATTATCAAATTTGGATTTTTCTTGGTATTGCAAAGTTGGGGCATGATTCAAGAACATTTCTTCATGTTCGGGACCTAGCTCAGTGGTAGAGCTTGGTAGAGTTAAGTTAATCCTAATTTGGCCAGAAATCTACATCCCAATAACCTCAATCGAAGTGTTCTTTAGCCTGCCCCTTACAATATACTAATTTATTCTAAACTTCAGACAAGTATCAATTATTGAATATATCATTGCTTTCGATACTTCTGAAGTAACTGCAAACTCGTTACAACATATGTTGACAAAAACTTTCTTATTCAACCCTATACAAGGCGAGATAGCTCAAAAAATTTTTGATTTCCCAATTTTCATTTAAGTTAATCCTAATTTGGTCAGAAATCTTCAGGAAGACGAGAGGGAGTTGTCATTTGTTCTTTGCCGTTGGAACAATAATGCTGCTGAAATTCATGAGCTTATTTACACCTTCGAAAGTATAATTAAATAGGATAACATATACCCCTGGCTTACGATGAGTTTTGAGATGTCAGGATCTCAACTTTGAGTAGAGATATAGACATGATTATTTATGATATCAATATCACCTCTATCAAACCCACTAATCACTCTATCAAATACCCTCTCTCAAATAATTACCCCTTCTCTATTAAGTACTCCCTCAGCAAGTCACGTAGCTGAGGGTGTGCTGAGGCCCTTATTGGGTGGGGAGTTCACATGGGGGGGGGGGGGGGTGTCCTTTTTGTCCGTTTAGTTCTTGGGTCCTTTTTGTCTTATTGGGTATTTTTTGACAGTTTAGTTCAGGTAAAATAATCTTTCTGATTCCAAATGAGCGTAATTCCTCAGAAATTTCTGTTTAAATTATTCCGTCCACTGTAACTATGTACTAATTTCAACTTGTAATAAACTAGGTATATGTCTTTAATTTAAGAGACTGATCTACAGGAGATAACAGATAGAGAATTTAGAGCCTTTAGACCCTTTCTCATTCGAGGAGAGAACATACCAAATAACACATACAATCTATACCAACTCTATCATTCTGCATATGTTAGCGGACGCGAAGATCTTCAACGAAAACTTGAACAACAATATATAAATCGACAATTGATTGATCAAATAAGAGAACAATTTATCAATAATACTCTGATCTATAACCCCAATTTAATGCTTTTACAGGAATTTTATGACATAACAATCCCACCACAGATTCGAACGGTTATTTTAAATATCTACGAATCTGGTTGTAGTGCCTTCTAGTGATGCTCGGGAGAAGAAAAACCCGGGAAACGCGAGTCGGCTCGGGAAATGACCTGGGGCGTCGAGATCGCGAGGCCAAAAACTCGAGAAAATTCTCCGCTTCGGGAGTCGGTTACCTGAGAATAACTAGTGCCTTCAAAATATAAGGTCCTTTCTGACCTTTCCCCCGGGAATATTGTATGCCTCAAGCAAAAGTTTCCTTTAAATATCCTTCATTTAAATTAATATTCCTTAGCTTTACATCCAAGCCCCTCCTTCTGAAGCAGCCACAAATCTTGATGAAGGTAACCGGCAAGCCGGTGGAAGACGTCGCCGACGTAACGGAAACGGAGGGAATGGAAATGGAGGGAATAATCAACATGGGGGTGGACGGGGCCGTCTCAATTGAGGAAGAGGAGGAGATGGAAATGGCGGAAATTGAGGGGAATCTGCCTATGAATGAGGATGAAAATTGTTGAAAGAATTTAAGAGAAAAGATTAGTTTTGCAGAATTATTTTTGCGAACATTGTCTTTATTAAACATCTTTCGTAAATCCTCTATTAGAGTGAAATTTAAAATTCAAAGAAAAATTTATGTAATAGAGGATTTAGGGTATATAAATTTGGTATATTTTTTTATTTTCGGGAAGATAAAATTTAAAAAAATGTTTGGCTTACATTTTAATTTTAAATGTTTTGCAATTTGCCAAATATAATGTTTGGCAAAGTGTTTTTTAAATGGGCACCCCACAAAAGACCCAAACCAGAAAAGACCCAAACCACAAAAGAGTCTTTCATATAAGACCCAAAAGGAAACCCACAAAAGACCCAATAAGTTAAAAACTCCACGAAACACCCAAAAAAGTTACTAGTTCAGTCTCCATAGTTTAATGGGATTTAAAAATTATTAAGAGAACCTCGCTACTCCATATTGCGAGATTTTTTTAAAATTTTTCTTGCCCCAGTAAATTAAATATTAAAAAATTTTATTTTCTTTAAAAAAACTTCAAATTCCGAGAGAAAAACAATCTCGAAAAACAAGAATAAATTTATATAGAACAGTAATAAATTCTTACTTTTTTAAAGTTTCTTTAAAATTATACATTTTTTCTAATAATCCTCTCCACGACTAACCACTTCTTTGCATGTTGGACGTAGAAGAATAGTATGTTCCCATTGTGCCGTATAACATCCTTTCTGAAAATTTTTTTCATAAGATCTATCACCTGATGAATAAGCCTGAACTCTTCTAACAGAATTTTACACCCATACCCGAGTCCTTTCCCTTTGAAGGAAAAGAAAATTCATGGAGGGAGAGAAACTATTTACAAGCAAACTACTCGAACTGTGAGTAAAAATTTTCATATAAAAACTACATCGTATAGAGCATCGTCTCTTTAATAAAAGAAATAGCAAAAGAAAAGTGAGGGCGACTCCAAGATACGGAAACTTTGATCATCTATAGCAGGGCTCTCATCGACAAGATGCCAATCAAAAGTATCAAAATCTTGATAAAAAAGTACATAGGGGCAAAATTTCCAAATAAAAAGTACACTCGAAATTAAATTAGAAACTTTTTTCGGAGGGGGGGGGGGGGCACGGGGAAAAATTTTTCTGCGCCGAATTTTTGGTGCCGAAAGCGCCAAAAATTTTGATTTTTAGCGCCGCAGGTGAAAATTTTGAGAATTTTGGAGGTCCTTAAGCCAAATTTCTTCGTTTTTTCAAAAATGTTGATAAAAAAGTACATACTTTCAAAAAAGTACAAATTCAATTTCGTAAGTACGGAGGTCGATTTAAAAGTACAATACTTTTAAAAAAGTACGAATGAGAGCCCTGATCTATAGCCTTTCGATTTGGGGGTCAGAGCCAAAAAATGGCAATAGGTTGTCGACCATGCTCTACACAAAGGTGTAGTTTTTATTTGAAAATTGTTACTCATAGTTCGAGTAGTTTCCTTGTTAGACAAATTTTTAATCGAAAATTAACCTGATCACAAAGTGGTGGATAAGGTGTCACAATTCCTTTATCGCAAAGATCTTTTAGTGACATCAAATATTTAGTTTCACCCAAACGATCAATCCAACGCCGACAGAAGGCTAATGTCCCAAAATTTTTGTTGATTAATGAGAGAAGTTTTTTGCTTCGAGCCAATCTAAAATTTTAAAATTATTTTAATAAAATTCAGAAAAATAAACCTTAAAGGAACATGTTCATCATGCATTTCAAAATTCTTCATATAATGACTAACTTCCATGTCATCATGGACGTAACCTCTTCCAGTACTTCCAAAAGTCTCGATAGCAAAACTAAAAAGAAATTTCAAAATTTTCCAAAAATTAAAATTCTTCTTCCTTACACTTCATTTTCCTCCATTTTTACTTGTTCTCCACCTTTAACTATTGGAACTGTCTTTCCAGCGTGTATACGATAGGGTCCAATTGAGTGACCTTAAAAGAGATTTTTAAAAATTAATTTTAAAAAATTTAAAACCATTAAGATTTCTGATTGGCTTGATTGGATAAGTTTTTCCATTTAATTCCAATTCGTATGAAGTCATTACCTAAAAATATAAGAAAAAATAACTTTGAAAATGATTTTAGAAATATATGTTGTAACCCTCAAAAGGGCCGAAACATCACTTTTAGATAAACCTAGGAGATGAAAAAATTGTATTTTATATTATTCTGGAATGTTTCTTACATATAGGGGATCGCTTAGGCAGCTCCCTCGCCTAATGGATGTCTAACACTAAAATACCATTCGCCCAAAATCCTTATCCACTACAACCCTTTCCTATTTAAAAAGCTAAAACCCGTTTTACAACAATATATTAGTCAAAAATTGACCCTTTTTTAAACCTCTTCAATAGCCTCGCCAATATCACAAAGTCGAACATCAATTCCGGCTTCACGAATTCCAGTTTCTGTAGCTTCTTTCACAGCATTAAGAAGAGTATCGAATTTAGAATCATATGTCAAAGTAAATGCACAATCAATTATACGTCCATTTACGTGGGTTCCGTAATCAATCTTTTATTTGAACGAAGATTAGAAAAATCTTTAGAAAATCTAAAAAACCTTAACAATATCAGAAGGCCCCAAAACAGTATCATCCCCAGCATTTGGTGTATAATGCGCTGCACAATGATTAATTGAACATCCTGTTGGGAAAGCAAGACCTGAGGCCAATCCATTCTCATTAATCATTCGACGGCTGTGTGCTTCAAGACGCTCACTAGAAAATTACAAAAAAAAAATTTTTTTTGAAAAAATTAAAAGCAAACCAAATATCAAAAAGCTTCATTCCCGGCTTTATCCACGATTTAACATATTTACGTGTCTGTCTATGCGATTCTGCGGCTCTTCTAAAATCTTTATAAATGTCCTCATAACTGGTATCCAAAGCCTTTTTCTCTTCGTTGGTAATGCGATTGATGGCGGTTCTGTCGTCCATATTATAACGATATTCACAAATCTATAAATTATTTAATATTTGTTTTAGTGCCAAGGCTAGGCGGACCCAATAGGTGCTCACACTCAATTAATTAGTTCGGAAATGAAGCAAGACATGACAAACTTTCAATCATGCCCCTCACATAAATTCAAACCAGCCAAGGCTAGGCGAAAATATAATTATGCACAGGCTCACAGTCAAGGAAAATTTTCCCACTGCCCCTCCTGCCTATGAGCTTGATCATGGCCCTTCCTGAAATCCAAACCTCTGGATACGCCCTCATCTAAAGAAAATCCCGATCCTAACATATTGTTAATCGGAAGGATAAAAATCACCAAAAAATACTCCTTACTACTAGAAAGAGAACCAAAAGGACTCATTATTTTAGTCAAAAAAATAACAAAAAAAACCTGTCCAATAGGAAAATCCCCCTCAACAAATTGTTGATCTATCGGCTTCATTCCATTAATTTCAGCAGCCCAGTTTTCCGGCAACATGTCTTTAATTACCCCATCAACAACCTCCTCCCTTTCCTCAACAACTTTCTCATCAACTTCATTAGTCACAACTTCCTTCTTTCCTTTTTTCTTCCCCTTTTGCTTTGAAGCTGCTTCATTCGATTTCATCTCTATATCCTTAAGGATTGAGTCAATATCGTCGACAGCATCTTTGAAAAAATATCTTAAGGTTTAAAAGGAGAAAATTACCCGAAGTTTTGGCAGCAGACTTTTTTGCTTTAGGCATTATAAAATTGTAGCTAATATCCAAAAGTTACTTAATTTGTTTACCTGAAATTATAAAAAATCGAAAGTTCCCAAGTTTGAAGAAAAAAATAAACTTTACAAGTAAAGTTTAGAAGGACTCAAATTAGACCGAAATTTCCTAAATAGTATAGAAAACAATGAGAGTGTTAGAGAAATCAAAGAAAAAGAAAAATGACATTTGCTCCCATATATTTCGAATTGGTAACTTTTCTTAAGAAGGATTTATAGAAAGATATTGAGAGATATTAGGGAATTTTGAGAGATTTTAGAGAAAAAGAGTTTTGTCTTTTTGATTCTATTGCCTTGCCAGTTGAGTACCAGTTACGTCTCTCATTTTTAATTGTTTTTTTAGGTTTTCATTGTTTTCGTTTATTGTCGCTTATTTTTAGTTTTTTAAAAATTTTATGCAAAATCAACAACAAAACAACAAAAATAATTCTTATAAAGACTGTTTAGAGTGCAAATTAACAGTTTCAATAGGTTCTTTCTGTCTCGGATCTTGGATTCTTCACAACAGCTTATCCAAAAATAACTTCTCAATTCGTTCAAAACCTTCTTTTGCTGTTGGATTGGCTTTCTATTATATTTCCGTTTCGCGAATTCTTTATCTTCCTCCATTTAGAAGTTTAAAGCCAAACAAAAATTAAACAATGGAAGAAGTGGAAACAATGATAACTGATGCGGACGAGGAAAAATTGAAAGCAAAACTTTTAATTAACAAATATGAGGTAATTAATTTTATTGTGTTAATGTGCTTTGTGGCTTAGTTGGTAGTGATCTAGACTTGACTGGGTAGTTCGAATCCGTCTAGGTCCGAATCCGTCTAGTGGTCCGAATCCGTCTATTATTTTTTGGTAATGGGCTTTGTGGCTTAGTTGGTAGTGATCTAGACTTGACTGGGTGTGGGTTAAGGGTTCGAATCCGTCTAGTGGGAAATACTTTTCATGTTATTTTTAGAGATTTTTTGGATGAAAATATGACTTCTGCTCATCTCCCTTCTATTTTAATATTTTTTTCTATCTTACAAACTCCTTGTTTCCCCTTTAACTTCTATTTTAAGGCCAAACGTCGAAAATTAATCGAAGAAGAAGAAAAGGCAAAATTAGAAGGATTGATCTCATCTGATGATTCAGACCCCGATGCAGACTCTTACATTTCAGCTAGACAGAGGAGAAGAGAACAGGTTATTTTTTAGTTAACTTTCTTTTAAACTTCAATTATTAAAGGAGCACAGACGTCTTTTGCTGAGGAATTTAATTCATTCAAAAGTAACAGAAGCACAAGCAGATAAAGACTTGCAAAGAGAAACTGAAGAATTTTTGGCTGCAAAGCGAAGAAAAAAGGAAGAGGAGAAGAAATTGGAGGAATCTAAGAAAAGTTTGCTGGAAAAACATAATGAATTGCTTCAACAAGAGCAAGGTTATTTTCTAAGTTTTTGGGGGGTCTCTAGTGATTTATTAGGAAGTTAATGTTAGGTGCGGTGTGGTTAAGTTGGTAAACATTCACTCATTAATGAAGGGTCTGTCTGGGTTCGAGCTATACCTCCTGTAATTGATCTTATTTTTACGATGAACGATTCCTTTGATCAAAGAAAGTCGTTTTCCTTGGACAAAAATTTTTCAATAAAAAATCGCCCGAGAAATTCTCTATTTAATAAACAATTTTCTTTCTTTTTAGACGATGATCGAGAAGATGACGAAAAGAGACGGGAAGAGGAAGACAAAATTCTTCAAAGTGTTACGCAAACAAGTGCTCTTGCTACGGTTTTGTTTTTGTACTATTTTATTTGTAAACTTCACATTTTAGGTCGCAGAAATTGCAAAAGGTGTTAAATACACAGAATCTATAAAAACATCTTGGAGGCCACCTAGACACATTCGCAACCAAACAGAAGATGACTGGGACAAATTTAGAAGGGAAAAAGGAATTCAAGTTGAGGGGGAAGATTGTCCACCAGCTATCGGAAGTTTTTTGGTTCGTTTTTTATTTTTGCAAGGAAGGTATCATCTTTCTTTAAGGCTGGTCCTATGGGGGAAATTGTTTTCAGTAATCTCCAAAATATTTTTCATTGACCAAATAAATGATTTTCAAGATCTTTATCAAAAGAAATTTCTGTGAGAAAGAAGAAAATTTAGCTGGTTAGCATTTAAAACGCTTACTAGGTACGGATTTAAAATCTCTTAAAAAGGTGAACTCGCTTTTACGTGGTGAGTGAAAGCGATTAGCAATAACTGCCAGGAGGTCGCAGGGGTTAAATGCCTGCCCGGGATTAAACCTTTACCTCGACGATCTCACTTTTCAATCATTTTTAATAAAATGAATAGCCTTAAGAATCCTGTAAACGCTTCAACCTTCAAAATATTCCCAAAAAATTACCTAATTTCTAAAAAATTTTTTTAAGGAAATGAAATTGCCTTCTTCAATCATTCATTTACTCAAAGAAAAGAAAATTTATATTCCAACAGGCATTCAAATGCAAGGAATTCCAGTTGGTTTAAGTGGACGTGATATGATTGGAATTGCTTCAACAGGTTCTGGAAAAACTTTAACATTTGTTATTCCAATAATAATGTTTGCTTTGGAACAAGAAATTGCTTTAAGATTTAAAAAAGGAGAAGGGCCGTATGGATTAATTATTGTCCCGTCAAGAGAATTGGCTAAACAAATTTCTGATGTTATTCAATGGATTTGTGATTCTTTGCCAAATTGTGATTTTCCTGAAATTAGAGTTGGGTTGTCTATTGGTGGATTTCCTATTAAAGACCAAGCTAGAGTTTTTGAAAGGTTTGTATTTTATTTTTAAATTTTTTTGATTTTCTGTTACTTTTTTTTGGCATCTCCCCCTCCTCACTTTCCATTTTCCTTTTCTTCCTTCTCCTTTCTTTTTCTCCTGCAATTGGTTTAGGGTAAATAAGGGTAACAATTAAGCTCTACTGCAGTTTATGAGTCCAATCGCGCTTTATGAGTCTAAAAGTTTGTGAGTCCAATAGGTTTACGTTGACCATTTTGGGCCTTTTTATCTCGACTCATTTGTCAGAGCGTCAATATAAGTCTTTATGAGAAATGAAATTCTGGCTTGGTTAATAATTATATTTATGTGACCATACCTGACCATTTTTAATTTTTCTAGAAAAGTTGGAAATGATGGAAAGATTAAAAATCGGGGGGAACTAACTAAAAATTGGGGAAATTATGGAAAAGTATCGAGAATTGAAAAAAATTTTTTAGAGGTGTTCATATAGCTGTAGCTACTCCCGGTCGTCTTTCTGATATGTTAAACAAAAAGATTCTGAACTTACAAGTTTGTCGCTATTTAGTTCTTGATGAGGCGGACAGAATGTTGGATATGGGATTTGAAGAGGAATTGCGTTCCATCTTTTCTTATTTTAAGGTTTAAACATTTTTTGATTAATAGAAAATTTATTGGGATATTTTTCAATTTTTTGGAAGATGACAAAATATCCCAACTCATCAAAAAAATTTTTTTTAATTTAAAAAAAATTTCTCTTTTTCAGGGACAACGTCAAACTCTTTTATTTTCAGCAACTATGCCAAAGAAAATTCAAAATTTTGCAAAATCTACACTTGTTCGTGCTATTGTTGTAAATGTTGGAAGAGCTGGAGCTGGTATTTAAATTTTATTTTTCAAAAAAAATTTTTCTTAGCTTCCTTAAATGTTGTTCAAGAATTTGAATATGTTAGAAGTGATGAAAAATTGGTAAAAATTCTCAATTGTTTGCAAAAAACACCTCCAAGAGTTTTAATTTTTGCTGAGAAAAAAGCTGATGTTGATCATATTTGTGAATATTTATTGGTAAAAGGAATTGAAGTTGCTTCAATACATGGAGGGAAAGGTTTGGTTTTTAAATTTCAATTGGACCTTACTACAAAAGTCGAAGAACACATCAATTTATTAGACATTTTTTTAAATTTGGTTAAGCACAGGGGCAATGCTCTTTCCCTTGCCTTGTGTCTAGCAAGGGCGTATCCAGGGGGTCGATTTCCTGGAGGGCTAAAATAGGGTGTGCGTCAAAATTTTGGTGTTTTGAACGCAGATTTTAGGCGCAAATTTTGAGAATTTTGGAGGTAGGCGAAAATATTTCATTTTTCCTATCATCTTTCTCCCAATATTTTCCCCTTTTCTTCATTTCAGGAGTGGAGGGCTATAGCCCCGGAAGCCCTCCTGGCTACGCTCTTGGTGTCTAGCTAAATTTTTATTTATGAAATGTGTCCTAAATAGAGTGGTATTTGAAAATGAAGTCCGAGTCTATACATTTAAAAAATAATCTATATTCCCTTTTTTAGATCAAAAGGATAGACATTCGGGAGTGGATGCTTTTAGACGTGGAGAAAAGGATGTTTTAATTGCTACAGGTCTTTCTAAAAGTTTTATAAAAATTGGAATCAAAAATAATTTTTTTAAGATGTTGCATCAAAAGGATTAGACTTTGAAAATATTCAACATGTAATTAATTTTGATATGCCTGAAGATATTGAAAATTATGGTATGTTTTGATTTTTATGGGGGGTTTGATCCATTGTCGAACCTCGCTTATTCTTCAAAATAGAGTGAGAAATATCCCACTACACCATAGTGGTAACTTCTTTAGTGTGGGTGAATAATCGACGGGGATTATAAAATATTTCCCACTAAACGGGTTCGAACCCTCTCCATTATTAGAGTGAGCACTATCCCACTACACCAAAGTGGAAACTTCTTTAAATTGTCGTATATTCTGTTCGATCGATAAATGTGGGGCTGGGGAATCCGGGTCCAGATTTTAATTTTGAAAATTTTGCAGGAATCTCTCCTAGCATGATTTTATAAATTTTAAATCCAAATTCTGTAAAAAATAATTTTCTCTAATTTTCCAAAAAATAAATTTTTTTCTTTTTCTAGTGCACCGCATTGGACGTACAGGAAGACGACTAGGTAAATGTGGTATTGCAACAACATTTATAAATAGAAAAGCAGGTTTTTAAATATTTTTTAAGATTTAAAAAAATTATTTTCTTTAAAAGATATTTCTGTTCTTCTCGATTTGAAACATTTGCTCATTGAAGCAGGACAACCTTTACCAGCATTTTTAAAACAATTGGCTGGGGAGGATGAAGAAAAAGAAAAACTTGATGCTGCTATTATGCCTAAAGAAGAGAAAAATGTTGTTGATGATGCAGATAAGGGATGCTCTTATTGTTCTGGTTTGGGACACAGAATTACAAATTGTCCAAAATTGGAAAGTGCAAGGTCCAAAACTGCTTCAAATTTAATGCAAAAGAGAACAGAATTTTCTGGGCATGAAGGCCTTTGATTGATTGAATGTTTGTTTATTTTTTTTCTCGTTATTTTTTATTTATCAAAAAAAATTTTTTATGATTTCAGCTGAATTAAAAGATATCATGACTCTGAAATAATATAATTTGGGTTCCAGTTACGTAGCCGAGGCATGATATTGATATTTTTAAATTTAGGAAGGCAGGCAGAAAAATTCCCTTTTATTATCATCCCTCATCCCATATATTTAAAAAATTTCATCATTGGGGTTGTAAAATTTTGCATTTTTGCGTGCCAAAAGATGAAAATCATGCAAACGAACGTCAAAACGCCATGGTTCACAGTCGTTTTTCTCACTGTTAACTCCGCAGTTTCTCAATGTAGGGTTGGCTCTTCTTAATGCGGAGTTGGCTATGCGGAGAGTTTCTCAAAGTAGGGTTGGCTCTTCTTAATGCGGAGTTGGCTATGCGGAGAGTTTCTCAATGTAGGGTTGGCTCTTCTTAATGCGGAGTTGGCTATGCGGAGAGTTTCTCAAAGTAGGGTTGGCTCTTCTTAATGCGGAGTTGGCTATGCGGAGAGTTTCTCAAAGTAGGGTTGGCTCTTCTTAATGCGGAGTTGGCTATGCGGAGAGTTTCTCAAAGTAGGGTTGGCTCTTCTTAATGCGGAGTTGGCTATGCGGAGAGTTTCTCAATGTAGGGTTGGCTCTTCTTAATGCGGAGTTGGCTATGCGGAGAGTTTCTCAATGTAGGGTTTGCTCTTCTTAATGCGGAGTTGGCTATGCGGAGAGTTTCTCAAAGTAGGGTTGGCTCTTCTTAATGCAGAGTTGGCTATGCGGAGAGTTTCTCAAAGTAGGGTTGGCTCTTCTTAATGCGGAGTTGGCTATGCGGAGAGTTTCTTAAAGTAGGGTTGGCTCTTCTTAATGCGGAGTTGGCTATGCGGAGAGTTTCTCAAAGTAGGGTTGGCTCTTCTTAATGCGGAGTTGGCTATGCGGAGAGTTTCTCAAAGTAGGGTTGGCTCTTCTTAATGCGGAGTTGGCTATGCGGAGAGTTTCTCAAAGTAGGGTTGGCTCTTCTTAATGCGGAGTTGGCTATGCGGAGAGTTTCTCAAAGTAGGGTTGGCTCTTCTTAATGCGGAGTTGGCTATGCGGAGAGTTTCTCAATGTAGGGTTGGCTCTTCTTAATGCGGAGTTGGCTATGCGGAGAGTTTCTCAAAGTAGGGTTGGCTCTTCTTAATGCGGAGTTGGCTATGCGGAGAGTTTCTCAAAGTAGGGTTGGCTCTTCTTAATGCGGAGTTGGCTATGCGGAGAGTTTCTCAAAGTAGGGTTGGCTCTTCTTAATGCGGAGTTGGCTATGCGGAGAGTTTCTCAAAGTAGGGTTGGCTCTTCTTAATGCGGAGTTGGCTATGCGGAGAGTTTCTCAAAGTAGGGTTGGCTCTTCTTAATGCGGAGTTGGCTATGCGGAGAGTTTCTCAATGTAGGGTTGGCTCTTCTTAATGCGGAGTTGGCTATGCGGAGAGTTTCTCAATGTAGGGTTTGCTCTTCTTAATGCGGAGTTGGCTATGCGGAGAGTTTCTCAAAGTAGGGTTGGCTCTTCTTAATGCGGAGTTGGCTATGCGGAGAGTTTTTCAAAGTAGGGTTGGCTCTTCTTAATGCGGAGTTGGCTATGCGGAGAGTTTCTCAAAGTAGGGTTGGCTCTTCTTAATGCGGAGTTGGCTATGCGGAGAGTTTCTCAAAGTAGGGTTGGCTCTTCTTAATGCGGAGTTGGCTATGCGGAGAGTTTCTCAAAGTAGGGTTGGCTCTTCTTAATGCGGAGTTGGCTATGCGGAGAGTTTCTCAAAGTAGGGTTGGTAGTGAGAAAAACGACTGTGAACCATGGCGTTTTGACGTTCGTTTGCATGATTTTCATCTTTTGGCACGCAAAAATGCAAAATTTTACAACCCCAATGATGGAATTTTTTAAATATATGGGAGGAGGGATGATCATAAAAGGGAATTTTTCTGCCTGCCTTCCTAAATTTAAAAATATCAATATCATGCCTCGGCTACGTAACTGGAACCCAAATTATATTATTTCGGAGTCATGATATATCTTTTAATTCAACTGATCTTCCCGATATGTATGTCAAATCCGTCTGCTCTTTTTTTTAATCTCTTGATACCATAAATCCTCCGATATACTTAACTTTCGGATTTTACGCATTGTCCGGGCATGTGTTTTTTGTAGTCTTTTGGAAAATTTAACAAGTCTGATTTGATAGAAGAATTGTAAAAAGAAAATGTAGTTAGAGGAAAAAATAAGTATCGTAAGTTTTGGTCGGCTCAGTACTCATTTTGAGAGCGAACTGGCAAAAATGCAAAATCTTGGATTGCTCCAGCATTGATCCGACATCCAATGGTTTGATTTTGTCGATTATCTATTTTATTAATTAGTACTGATTTTTGAAAAATAAAACATTCGAAATACATATTTATACAGTATTCAGTAAACTGTTGCATTCAACTTGCACTCAACCGTCCTTAATTTTTTTGTGGATAAAGTGTCCTTTGTTTGGCGCATGATACATTACGCCACAATTTGCAAAATTTTAAATCTCAAATTTAGCTAAAAGTCGTTCTCCTGGGATAAAATGTCATTCATTTGAAGCACACTACAATACACCAAAATTATGCTATCTTCTAAATTGAAATAAATCTGAAATTTCCCAAAAAAATATTTTATGGACAAAATAAACGGCTTTTTTGTTGTTTATCAACACTTTGAAGAATAAAATGTTCTAAAAATTTAAAGCTTATTCTGATTTCTTAAGTCTGATTTTAGATTCATTTTTTGTTTTCTAATTCTGATACAGTAACAAAATGATACATAGGAGAAATCCGACAAAATGGAACAAAGAAGAAATCCGACAAAATGGAACATAGGGGAAATCCGACAAAATGGAACATATGGAAAGGCCTATTTCTCGATCATTTCCTGATCGAGAACCCTGTCATTTTTTATATTTTGTATTATGTCAATCAAATTTGGCAAAAAGCAATTTAACTAAGGTCTCTTATTTACAAAGCTAAAAAAGATAAACATCTTTTAACAGATTTGATGGCTTTATTTTAATAAAAAATAATAATATATATATTCCACCATGCTAAATAAAAATTAACGAAATTAATAAGAAAAAATAGACGAAATATATAAAATGTCTGGTTTTTAAATAAAAATCTAAAAATAAATCTAAACAGAATATTTCTAAAAAGAAAAAAAGAGGATCGGCAAATGAGATGGAGAAGGGAGGCAAATTAAATATATAAAAGATATAAAATAAAATTAAACTAGTAAGAAAAAAACTACACAAAAAAACAAGACAGATGATATAAAACACAGCAAAAAAAATACATAAAATCTTGATTGTGTGGCCACATGTTTTTTTTTCAAAAAAATTTTTCAGAAATTTTGTGTTCAAAAATTTTCATAAAAAATTTTTTTGTATAGCTCAGGTTCCTAAAACCCCCAAAAAATTTATTTTTAAAACAAGTGCCCACGTTTTAAAAAATTTTTTAAAATAATACAGGTATCCGTTTATAAGAGTAAAAAGGGACAATTAAAATGAGGAAAAAATTTAGACAGAAAAAATTAAAAATTAGAGAAAAGGGGGACGGAGAAAAAATTAGAAAAATGAAAAAAAAAATTTTAGAAAAATGGGCATTAAAAAAATTTTGTTGTCAAAATTAAAAAAAATAGACGGCGGCCAGAAGCCAATTCTTCTAGAGTTTTTGTTGGCAGAGAAGAAATTAATATTTATATAAATTGATTGTTTAGAAACCCTCATCCCAGCCGCTGAAAATTTAAAAAAATTCAATTAAATTCAAAAATTATTTTTCTTACCTAAACTCGTCTGGGGGAATGTCCTCATCCGGTGGGTAATTGTCAAAGTTGGAAACGTCTGCTGGATTGCTGACTTTCTGTAAAAATATTTTTTTTTTATTTTCAGAGGTTTTTAAAAAATTTTTAAGAAAAAATTTTGGGAAAAATTTCGGAAAATTTTTTTTTCAAAATTTCAAAAAAATTTTACAAAAATTCGAACAAGTTCAGAAAAATATGTTCAAAAATTTAAAAAAAAATTTTGAAAAATTTTTTTCAAAAATTTCAAAAATTTTTATTTTAAAAATTATCCAAAACCCACAGGTATAATCGGCGGTTTCAACGTCCTCGTTCTAAGCCCCTCCCAATCAAAGCCCATAAACCATCTATGTTTCCGTATATCATTAACACCTCCACTACCAGAACCAAGCCTTTCTGCCGGGTTATCTCTACAAAGTTTTTTAACGAGAGCTGTTGCTGTTTTGCCAATTCTTCTGTTTGGGATTTCTAAAGCGTCAATTCCCTATAAAAGAAAAAAATTAAAAAAAATTCATTTCGAGGTCTTGAAGTTTTCACTCTCGCGGGCATATTTAGGGTCATATCTGACTTCAATCCTACCCAATTTAGATAATTATCATACCAATCGAAAGTTCTGGATGTAAAGAGATTATTTTATTTAACAGGATTGACTTGTTCAGATCTACCTAAAGTTAGAGTAAAATAAGTAGGATGATAACTAAGTAGGATGATCTGATCAAGTAAAGATCTGTTATCTGATTTAAAGATTAAAAGATCCTGTCCTTTATTTTAACTCAAATAATTCAAACATTAATAGCTTTTGATCTAGAGATCGGAAATTTTGAAAAGCCTAGACCTGTTCCTTGACTCTGGAGTTTGATTTATTGACCTGGACTGGATCCTGGTCCTGTAGTCCAGGAAAAACCCAGGAAGGTCAAAAAATGCCTGGACCTGGACTCTGGGTACAGGAAAAACCCAGGCCTTGATCTGGGCTTAGCTCGATCTCTATTTTGATCAGTTTGATGAAAGAGAACAAAAAATATCCGCGCACCTTCAATATAAGCGTATAAGTCTTCATTGGATCAGATGCTTGGAAAGGAGGTCTACCCAACATTAATTCACATATATAAATTCCCAAAGCCCAATAATCTGCTGCTTGATCATGCCCTTTATTTAAAATAATTTCTGGAGAAACATATTCTGGTGTTCCACAAAATGTCCAAGTTTTTCTTCCACTTGCCAGTTTTTTGGCAAAACCAAAATCAACAATTTTAAGGTAACCAGAGGTTGCTATAAAATAAATTTTTTATTTTTTATTAAAATAAAGTCAATAGCCTAATTATAAGATAACCACATTGGGTGCTGGAAGGATATAATGAAGAGGGAGGGGGGAGTCGCAATTGCGCCCATCCCTGATACTGAGGGAATATCCCTAATACTAATTTATTTGAGGCAGTTATGTGTAAATACGTGCCACTAAATAGAACCTTCCAACCCAATGCCCAACCTTAAACAAACGTATCCTAAATAGAGGTATATCACGAGGGTTATATCTTAAAGATAAGTTCTAAAATTTAAAACTTACTTAAAAGACAATTTTCAGGCTTCAAATCTCTATAGACAATATTCCTTCTATGCAAAAATTCTAATCCTTCCAAAACACAAGCTACATAGAATCGAGCTGTGTAATCATCAAAATGTCCACGATCACGAAGTGTTGTCTTTAAAAGAAAATTATTAAAAATCCGCAACTTGAGTCCGCAAAAAAATTTTTTTGTCCGCAACTTTAGTCCGCAAATATTATAAAATTTTTTCTTACCCAAAGTTCTCCACCCAAACAAGCTTCTAGCAACATATAAACATATTTTGAATCTCTAAATGTTTTGTAAAGCCTAACAATCCAATCAGAACGTGTTTCAAGCATTATATTACGTTCAGCAAAAATATGTTCTTGTTGTCTTGTATCCACAATATGTTTTTTCTTTAATGCTTTTAATGCAAATGTTCGACTTTTGTCAGCATTTATACAAACCTTTGAAATAAAATTAATTTTTTTAATTTAATTTATTGAAAAATTAAGCGGGAAAGACCGTTTCAGAATGGCAGTTTCAGTCGTTTCAAGGCCCTATTTTAGGTCATAACTTTTTTCATTCTTAACCGATTTAAATAATTTATATACCAATTGAAAGCTCTTAATGTGGGATTATTTAAGCTAATAGAATTAACTTGATCAGATCAGCTCACAAAAAGTTGTAGTCGAATAAGTGTGAGCAATCGTGATTTTTGAGTTTTATTTGACTATAACTTTAAGCAGGATGATCTGATCAAGTTGGTCTTGTTAGCTAAAATAATCCACACATTCTGGGCTTTCGATTGATATATAAATTATTAAAATCGGTTAAGAACCAAAAAAAGTTATGGACCAAAATACGGCCTCGAGAAAGACCATATTTTGGGCCTTTCTAGAGGCTAAATCACAGGGATAATAATTTAATTACTGAATTTCTTCTCACCAATTCAACACGCCCAAAACCACCCACTCCAAGCGTAGCAATTCTCTTTAATTGTCTCAACTGTAACTGCACAAATTCATCCTCAATTTCAGATTTTGGAGGGCTAGGAGCTTCTGGGGGTCTTCCCCCATCAATTAAAGTTCTGGCAGAGGAAAGTGTTGACCTTCTCTGTAAATCCCCGTAATCCTTGTTCCTCAAAGCATCCAAATCTCCAATTAATTTCAAAAAACTTTCTCTATCCAAAGTTAATACTTCCACGCCTGGAGGCATTGCAATAACGTTAGCTGTACGTACTTCTTCTCCTATAATAAAATAAATTATTAAAAATTCTGATTTTTTTTATTTAAAAAGAAGAGAGGTATATATTTAGGGTAAAGAATTATTAAAAAATATAAAATAAATTTTAAAAAATAATTTTTTAAAATTTAATAGTCTCGTTATTTAAATATATAATCTCATGAATATGAAACACAAACTTCAAAAATTTAAATTAAAAAAAATAATAAATAAAAAATCCTCCCTCCCTCACTCACTCTCTTCCCCCTCCAAGTATAGTTAATAGACAATTTAAAAAAATAATTATTTTTTTCCTAAATTCTATTTACTGTTTATTAGACCTTTTTTGATGTATTTATGTCTGTGTTTTATATATTTAAAAAAATTAAAAAAAATTTTTAAACTCATGTTTGATTGTTTAAGTTATATACTAGAAATTAAACACTTTTTGTTTATTTGTTTTAATAATTTTTTTTGAATAATAAATTATAGTAGAAAAAAAGTGTAAATCCGCAGCATAAATTATAAACAGAAAATTATCATTTTGTTAAAGTTCAGAAAAAAATTTTTTTAAATCTCTCATCATTTCCGGTAGAGAGGGAGAGGAGAGGAGGTTAGATTTTTGTTTGGGTTTTAATTTTATTTTTCTTAATTGTAAAAAATTTTTTTAAAAGGGGAGACGACTCGGAAAATGCCAAAAAATATTTCGAAAAAAATTCAGAAAAAAATTTTTGAATTGGGAAGGAGGGGGGAGGAACTAGGAAAAATCTTTTAAAAATTTTCAAAAAATTTTTAAAAAGGGGGAGACGAAACACAACCTGGAAACCCCCAAAAATTTCCAAAAAAAGAAATTCAAAAAATATAAAAAAATTTTTAAGAAGGAGGGGGCACAACCCAGAAGATCTCAAAAAATTTTTAAAAATTTCGAAAAATTTTTTACCAAAAATAAAAATTCCATACCTAACAACGCCTTTTCACCAAAAAAGTCTCCTTGTTTCAATATTCGAATTTCATGTGGATCTTGTTCTCCTTCGATAGATTGTGTGACACGTACTTGACCGTTGTTAATAACAAAGAAAGTATCACCCTTTTCCCCTTCTCTAATTATATAATGACCAGCAGCATAATAATCCTTTGAAATAAATTTTTTTAGAAAAAAATTCCCGAATTTGCCCTGAGGCAAAATTAATTAAAAATTGTTTTTTAGTGAATCAACTATTAGAAAGGGATTTTCAAGCTTCCATTGAAGTTATTTTACTAGTTTTCTTGCTTAAAAGAAATTTTTTCCGAAAATAATCATCATTTCTCCCCCATTCAAAAAAATTTTTCTCTCATGTCAATTAAATTTTTATATCTATAAAATAGTTTCTTTTTATAAAAGAACTTTTTCTTACGGGAAAATCTACGTCAAATATTGTCAGAAATTTTCTCTTTTTTTTTCAAATAAAAATCCCCCAAAAACCTGATCCATAACATCAGCCATTTTAGAGATTCTATCCTCATTCAAATTTTGGAATATTGAAACTTTTCTTAAGAAATTCATTAATTGTGCATGCCTTTCCATTCCTAAACGCATTGTAATCTTTAAAAAATTTTTTAAATTAAAAAAAATTTTCAAAATTTAAACCATTTGAAATACAGCTCTATCCAAACAAAAAAGAATAACATCACTTATAGCTTGAACTGAGGCTGTTCTGAAAAAAAAATAAAAAAAATGAGATTGTATTTCCATATCCAAAGGTGCTACAGGTTTCGGAAACTGAGAACCTATTTCCTATACGATGAAAAACTTAAAAAAAATTTTGGAACCCTAGGAGACTAAGACTGTCAAAACAAATTTGGAATAGTGAAGAAACGAAACTGCGAACCCGTTTACCTTTCTTGAACCCATAGAACACATGCCAATTTCTGTGCCGGAGAACCTGCCCTTTAGGCAACAATGGAAACGTCAAAAAATAATTTTTTGGGAATCGTATGCCCTCCGAGATATCAAAAAAATTTTTAGAACCCTAAAAACTCAAAACCATTCAACTTTCATGGACCTGTTGGAACCCCTTTAATATTCCCCAAAAACTCTTCCACCCCTCACTACCCACCAATTCCCTTCCAGACAAACCTTGTACAATTATAAAGTATTGCCAATTCCCCCATAACCACTCCTTGCCCAATTTTCCCCAATGCTTGCCCTTCTCTTGATACTTGTAATTCACCTTCAGCAACAACAAAAAGTCTATCACCAGGTTCACCTTCCTGAATGACCCATTGACCTGCACGAGCACGCATTTCAAACATACATTCTACCAACTAAAAAACGAAAAAAAAAATTATGCATTGTCCGCAAAAATTTTGCGGATGAAAAATTTTTGTCCGCAACAATTTTGCGGACAAATTAATTTTTGTCCGCAACAATTTTGCGGACAAATAATTTTTAAAAATTTTTAGAAAACCTCAATAACTTGTTCTTTAGCCAACTGTCTAAGAAAATCATTCTTCTGAACAGCATCACGAATTAATTGTTTTGAACCAGCAGATTTGGAATGATGTTGAAGGGTTGCTTTGTGTTGGTCGAGTTTTGCCGGTTCAGCAGACACTGCCATTTTCTTTGCTCGAGGCTCTGCTGGGCGGCCAGCTTCGGGTAATAGAGCTGCTTTCTGTTTCATTTCAGTCGGCAACTCTTCTGAACGTTTTTGGCCGCCAGCTGGAGATGCTGCACTCTCCGCCTTCTGGTTTAAAACTGAGCGAAGTTTGTCACATTCGGACTAGAAAATTACAAAAAAAATTTTTTAAAGTTTATCACATCTATAATCCCTAATCCTAATCAGAAAACTTAAGCCATGCCCCCCGTTTTTCATAATTTTCCCCTTAAAGGCACCATGTTTTTCTCATTTATTTTACTTTCTACAACTTGTAGTTGTTTGGTGTTTAGGCATTGAAGCAATTTTAGGCATTACCAAAAATTTAGGAATTTTTGGTATTACAGCACGCTACGTCCTTGAGAAAAGACATCAAGAGGAGTAAAAATTAAACTTTAGGGAGAATTAACTAAAAAAAACAGAGGGCAGTAAACACAGAGGCTAAAAAACAGAGGCCCTCCCTTCCCCCATCATTACTACTACTACAAAAAAATTATTAATCAAAAAAAATCAACCTGTAATCCTTTAACTTCCCCCTCCAAAGAAGTTATTCTTTTTGTATGTGATTCAATTTGTAACTGATTTTGCCTTATAAGCCTGTCTTTTTGTTCCAATTGTTGTTCAAGTTGAGGTACCAATTTTTGAAGCTCTTGTGCATCGTAGACCCGTGAGCCGATTTGCACCTTAAAAATCAAATAATTTTTCAAAAATTTCAAAAATTTCTGAATTTTTTGAAAATTTTTGGTTAAGAACCCCCTACAAAAAAATTTTTAAAAATTTTAACCCCCTTACAAAAAATTTTTTTCTTCTTTAATTATTTACTCACTGTAAACGTTTTGAAAAGGTTCTTGATCATGTGTATTTATATAATTTTAGTCGTTAATTGATTTTATAAAAATTAAAGATTGATAGAAAAAAATATTAAATATATACTCAAAAAATTAAAAAAAATATTATTAAAAAAATTTCTATAATTAAAAAATAATTTGAAAAAATACAAGAGAAAAAAATAAAAAAAGGATCCATTAAACTAGTAATTCTTCAGTCCCTTTGTTTTTTCCATATTTTCCCGGTCATTCGGACAGTCATATTAGTGCTTCACCGGAACCGCAAATTAGACCAGAACCGGAATCCCGGTTCCAAAAAATTCAAAAAAATCCCGGAACATCCGGCCTACCAGAACCGAAGCAGGAACTTCCGGTGAAGCTCTAAGTCATAAGTTTCAGAGCCAACCAAAATTGTCAGTTTGACAGTTAGGGAACAGTCTGAGGTTGGAAATAGTAAAAAATGTTGGAACTCATCAGTGAGTAAAAAAAAAATTTTGGAAATTGGAAAGCTGGGCGGAAAACAGAAACTCCTTTTCTCATAATTATTCCCCGTTCCCCTTAAATTTTTTTAATGGCTTACTCATATCAAATTGTATAAATATAATAAAGAGTATCAATTTTCGGAGGAAGAACAGAAAGATATGTATCTCGTCCGTCGGGTCCTTTCCCTTATGATAATTATGGGTATATAAAAAAAGGAACAAAAATTATATTACACAAATAAAGGTCCCTTACTACTAGATTGATATGTGTGATTAAAAAAAGGAGGGGAGGGGGTCTTCCAAATTTAGTAACAAAAAAAATGAATTTTACACAAAAGATGGATTGATATAGACAAACAACAATTATATATAAATAAATATTTATTTATTTATTTTAAAAAATGAAACATTTTTACTTTTTTAAAATAATTATTCCGTTAAATACAGTCGTGGAAAAAAGTATGGAAGCGCTAGAAAATTTTTTCTTAATTCTTAATTTTTCATTCAAAAAATACGTTCTATATACCAATCGAAAGCTCTATTAGTATCTCAGTTGACATGTTTCTGCATTTTTCATGAAAATGAAAATTGGCCGAGATAATCCGGATCTACCGGATATACCAAATCCCATTTTTTCGGAAAAATTTTTCGGAACAAATTTAACAAACCCAAATGATAAAGCATATTTTTCTGAGTATTTTCCACAAAACCGCTTAGAAATATCTTTTTTCGGAGCAGAGATATGATTTTTTGAAAATCGCATTTTTCCCTTAAAAATCGAATTTTTTGCAAAAAATGACCAAAAATACGATTTTCAAAAAATTATATCTCTGTTCCGGACAAAGATATTTCTAAGCGGTTTTGTGGAAAATACTCAGAAAAATATGCTTTATCATTTGGGTTTGTTAAATTTGTTCCGAAAAATTTTTCCGAAAAAATGGGATTTGGTATATCCGGTAGATCCGGATTATCTCGGCCAATTTTCATTTTCATGAAAAATGCAGAAACATGTCAACTGAGATATGAATAGAGCTTTCGATTGGTATATAGAACGTATTTTTTGAATGAAAAATTAAGAATTAAGAAAAAATTTTCTAGCGCTTCCATACTTTTTTCCACGACTGTATATAAAATATACATTATGTCATTTTATATAAATAAATGTTTTTATTTTTTATAGATAAAGGTAGGTAAGTGCTGAGGGGGATTGGAAGAAGGGTATTGTAGTACCAGTTAAAAAAAGATAACAAAAATATTTTTTAAATAATAAAATATTTAAATATCTAGAATATTTAAAATAAATATTTTAGAGAATACACGTAGAAAAACAAAAATCAGAAAAATTATAGAGAGGAAAAAAGTTCATAAAAAATATGAGTGTAGAAGGGGCAAAACAAGTACTTCCAAAACATCGAGAAATAATTTTAAAGAATTAAAAAAAATTTTTTCAAATTTTTAAGATATAAATTTGGATCTCTCAAGGTTAATAAAATGAAATAAAAATCTTTTTTAAAATTAAAATTTAAAAATTAAATAAAAGAAAATTTTTTCAAGAATTGACGTGTTGAAAAGAAAAGAGATCAAATGATTTTTCAAAAAATTATAAAAATAGAAACAAAAAATTCTTTAAAAAGATATACAAGTGTAAAGATCAATTTTCATTTTCTTTCTGATTTTTACCCTTATAATTGATTCTCAATTAAAAAAATTTTTTTAGGAATGTTCAAAAATTGACTGAAGGAAAGAAAAAAAATTAAAAAAAAAAGAAAATTAAGGAAGTAAAAGTTAATTTTTAATTTTGATGAGTGAACACACTCAAAAACACATGTTTCTTTTTTTCTTTTAAACACTAAATTGTCAACGAAATTTGTGTCCTTTATTAATTAGAGTGTGAAATTAAATTTCTGATTTTAAATTAAAAAGAAACAGAAAAGAAAAGTGAGAAAGAAAAATGTATATTAGTAGAATCAAAAGAAATCAGAATAAAATCAGAATTAATTTTTAAAATAAAAAGCAGAACAAATAACAAATAAAAATTAATTAAAATCAGAATAAATTTAAAACAAAATCAGAATTATTTTTAAAAATAAAAATCAGAACAAATAAAAATAAAATTAAAAATAAAAATCAGAATTAATTTTAAAATAAAAATCAGAATTAATTTTTAAAATAAAAATCAGAACAAATAACGAATAAAATAAAAATCAGAATAAATTTAAATTAAAATCAGAATAAATTTAAAATAAAAACCAGAATTAATTTTTAAAATAAAAATCAGAATAAATAACAAATAAAATATTAATTAAAATCAGAATGAATTAAAACAAGAACAAATCAGAATTTAAAAAATAAACAGAATTACTAATAAAACAAATAATAATCAGAATTTTAAAAAAGAAATCAGATAAAGTTTATTTTTATTTATAATTTTCAGAACAAAGTTTATATTTAATTATTCTGAATAAATCAAAGTCTACTTATAAATTAAAATCAGAATTAAAATTTAAATAAGTGCTTTTATGCTAGACTTTGTTTATCTAAAGATAACAATCTTTCCGATTATATAAAATAATAATTATTTTTTCCATAAAATAAATATTTTTTTTAAATGTCTAGGCATCTGATTAAATATTTAATAAAAAAGTAAATATAATATGTATACTTTTAAATTTTTCCCCTTCTTATCTTTTAATTTATTCAAAAAGATGATAAAGAAAAATTAATTTTTATTGTTATAAAAAAATTAAAAAAAATTTAGAAAAAAATTAGAAATAAAAAAAATTTCTTTTGGCGCCAAAAAATTTATAAAAATAAAAAAAATTATAAATTTTCCAGCCCAGACATTTTAATTAAAAAAAAAAATAAATTTTATCTTTTTCCTCACCGTATTTTTTGCCATTTTTTATTATTTCTTATGGCACACAAAAATTATTGAATAATAATATTTAAATAAATATATTTTGTTGTGAATTAAATTAAATTTAATTTAAAAAATTAAAAATATTATTAATTTTATTAGTTGTAGTTGAGAAGTCATATACATTTTTAATTAAATTTAATAAAAAAAGGGGAGAAATACCTATATAAAAATAAAATTTCGATAAATAAAAAAACGTGGAATTAAAAGGGAAAAAAGCTATTAATTAAACACATTTTTTAAGTAAAATTTTGAAAAATTAAAAAAAAAATAAAATTATTAATTTAAATAAACAAAAATATCAATTTTTGCCAAAATTTCAATAAAAAAAATTTTTTTTTCTTGAAAATTTTTGCAAACTTAAATTTTTTTATCAGTAAAAAATCTGCCTTGTTACTTAGTCTATTTGTTTACAAATTAAAAAAAAAATAATTTTTTACACACAAAATCAACGAGATTTGCAACGTGTTTGTAGTAAGTAGTAGTGTTAGTCACGAGACGATATATCGACAATATTTTTCGAGATATCGCGAGATTTTTTTCGAGATTATCGATCTCGATCTCGTCTCGATCAATTTTTGGAAAAATCGAGATTTTTCGATATCGAGATTTTTCGAGATTATCGATCTCGATCTCGTATCGGTCAGTAGCAAGAGACGTCTTTGACTACAGGCGATCGCTTTTGAGTCCAGAAATGCAGAAATGTTAATTTTTCTGAACCAAACACTTCCATTGATTCATTACAAATACTAAATTCACTATTTATTCACTATTTATAAAAAAATTCTGGACCGAAATTTTTCGATAATCTCGATCTCGAAAAATCGCAAATGACTAACACTAGTAAGTAGTACATATGTGTAATATAAGGGGAAAAACACAACTTTATTTCTTCTTCAAACACACACACACACACACACACCATTTTTTTAATTACCAACAAAATTAAGAAAAAAAAAACTAAAAAAATATACACACAAATTTAAATTTTTAGTAAAATTCCCATAGCTTAAAAAATAAAAAAAAATATTTTTACATAACTTTAAAAATTAGCAAAAATTTTTTTGAAGCCTTTACTACACGCTTTTTAATTGCATAAGAATTTTCAAATGCTACATTTTCTTTTAAAAAAATATAAAAAAATATAATCTTTCAAAAAATGTATTTTTTATTTGCAAACATTCTCGATTAAATATTTTTGCACCTTCCTCTCCCCCTTTTTTCCTGCAAAAATTATTTTTCCCACTTTTTTTTTTATCTTGCTTGCAAAACAAAATTTTCATTCCCCCTATACCCCCTACTATTTGCATGCAAACTTTCATATGAAAAACATTTACAAAATAAACAACAAAAAAAATTTTTTTTTGCAGCCAACCAAGCAAAAATAAATAAAAAAAATTTTTTTTTCCTTTTTTACCCTTATCTCTCCCTTACGTCCTTTTATTTTTCCAATATCTGTCCTTTTTTAAAAAAAAATTGAAAAAGATAGTAAAGTTAGAGACACAATTGCTGAATTTGCTTTTTTTTAAAAATGTTTTTAGTATTGAAAAATAAAAACAAGAAAATAAATAAAGAAAATATTAAAAAAAAAGTTCGATAGAAATGCGCATGGAGTCTTCCTAAAATAAATATCAAAAAGATGTGCGTCAAAAAAAATTTTTTTTTCTTGTAAAAAACAAAACAAAAAAAATCTCTAAATAATTCAAACAACTCACACTTTTACTTATCGGCTTAAAAAAATTTAAATTTTTATAAAAGAGATCTAGGTATTTATTAAATAAAGAAACAAGAAAAGAAAGGGGTAGCCCGCCAACATCCCTCCACACAGGCTCTAACTAAATTTAAAAACAAAAAAGATATCTATTAAATCGAGGGTCAAGAAAAATAAGGGGCATGCCCCTCCACACAGGCTCTAACTGAATTTAAATAAACGTAACTTAAATTGAGTATATATCGAGTATATCTAAATGGTATGAGTGTGTATCTTATAATTAAAGACCGGATATTTATGCATTAAAAAATGCAAAATATGCACTATAATATGCATAAAAATAGAAAAATATGCACGAAAATATGCAAGTAAACCAAAATATTCACGAAATTATGCAGCAAAAATACAATTTTTACCTAGAATTTTTAATTTTTTTGAATCAAAAACATTAAAACACCTATGTTTTGGGCGTGAGACATTATGGGTATGGAGCATTTTTGGGTCGCGCCCAAAAACAAAAAAATTTTGTTTAAAAAATCTGTAATTTTCACAAATTTTTTCCTAAATTTTCACTTTTTGGCAGGATTTTGGGCAATTTTCGAGTTATTTCCCCCAAAACCTCAAAATATGCAGTAAAATATGCATTATGCAGCAAAGTCCGGAATATGCAAAAATATGCATTATATGCAAATAGAAACCCCCTCTAGAGTTTTCAAAACATGCGGAAACAGTGTTTTTTGTGCATTATACCTCATGCCAAGTTTGCAAAAAAAATATGCATTGCATAAAAATCCGGTCTCTACTTATAATGAAGTTTTAATTGAAAAATTTAGAAAAAAAATTTTTCAAAACAATTCCAAACAAAACAATCAACGAACAAAAAATAACTAAAAAAAATCATCAAATCAGAACGACTTCAATTGCGCACACCCAAAAAATTTTTTTTTAAATATTGAAGAAAAATATACATAGAAAAATATACACGGGTCAAATAAATAAAATTGGAGAAAAATAAAAAAAAAGGGGGGGGGAGCACCGTCTCTTTTTTTTTTGCAAAAATGGAAGCAGCAAGCAGCTGGTAGCAACAGCAAAATAATAAAAAAAAAGAATTTTTGCAAATGCAGACAAGAAAAAATAGAAAAAAATAAAAGGGGAAAGAGATTGAATAGCTGTATATATATTTTTGTGTAGCCTATAGCTGTCTGTAGTGGTGTAAAAAAATAATTTATAGTGGAAGCCCTTTTTCTCTCTCCTTTAAAAACCCCTTTTATTTACGTCTGAAAGTTGAAAGAGTCTTGGTGCAAAAAAAAAAAAGAAAAAATAAATAAAAAGAAAAAAAAAATTTTTTTAGAAGCTGCTAAATGCACGGCTTTGTTTTAGTACATTTTTTGCAGCATTTAAAACTTTTTTTTTCTTTCAGAAATAAAGAAAAACATTTCAACTACTTAAATACTACTTGCAAACAAAATACTACTAAATTAGGTAAAAATAGAAAAACAAATATACCCAGAATATCAACAACAAAAATAAAACAAGTAAAACACAAATAAACTTGGATTTAAACATTTTAAAAAATCAACTTGAATTTAAAATTTTTTAAATAAACTTGAATCTAAACATTATAAAAACAAACCTTAATCTAAACATAGTATTTAAATAAACCTTAAACCAGAACTTTTATTAAACAAACTTAAATCTAAACAAATAAATAAACTTGAAATCGAAACTTTTTTTTAATAAACTTAAATCTAAAAACATAAATTTAAAACAAACAAGTCTAAACATCTAAATAAACTTGGATTCAAACACTTAAATAAAACTTAATTCAAAACTTTCTAAACAAACTTGAATCTAAACATTTTTAATAAAACTTAAACTTGAAAATAAACATTTTAATAAACTTGAATCTAAACATCTAATTAACACTAAATTTAAACCTTCTAAAATAAACTTGAATTTAAACATTTAAAAAAACATGAATCTAAACTAAATAAACCCCTGAAACTAAACATTTAAATAAACCTATCCAAGAAAGTTTCTGCTTCATAAATTTCTTGTCTAGTACTATTAAAAATAAAAATTGGGGTGCTCTTTTATTTACGCTACTGTTTTATATTTTTTAAAAATTCAGAAAAATAAATTGTCAGTTAAAAGTGCATTTTAAAAAATGAACACACACACAATTTATAAATATAAAAATATTTTCTTCTCAATTTTTGTTAAAAATAAAAGAGGAGGTAAAAATAAAAACGTGTATATAGAAAATAAAAGGAAAAAATAAAAATAAATTTAATTTTTATTTTTACTTAAAAACGAATTATTCAATAAATTTACAACTTTGTATATAATTTTAAAAAAATTAAATAACAAAAAAAATTTTTTCTAAATTATATTTTTTTCTTAAAAATCATGAAGCAGCCTCAAATAAAAATAAAAATTCCAAAAAAAAATTCCAAAAAAAAATTTTTTTCAATCAATTTTTAAAAATAATTGAGAAAGGAAAAAATAACAAGAATAAAAAAAAGAAATTAATAAAAAAATTTATTAGCCATAATCAAAAAAAATTTTTTTAAGAGAGATAAAGACTTCCCTCATAAATTATAATAGGCTCAATAAGAAAATAACATTAAAATAAAGGAGAGACAAAATAAAATCGAAAAAATTTTTTTGTGAAAATGATTTTTAAAAAATTTTTAAAAAGAAAAAAAAATTAGAAAAAAATATTCACATAAATTAATAACCCCCAAAAATACTAATGAAATTTTTAAGAAATTTTAAAAAATTTCTTAAAAAAAATTATTTTTAAATCAACCACCCACCGTAAATTGTTGATGCTGCTGACTATTGTTGTGTTCACTTGGTTTGCGTAACTTGGCAAAGAAACTTCGAAAACTAAAAGAAAAAAAATTTATTAAAAAATTTTTTTAAAAAGATAAAAAATTTTTTGTCCGCAAATATTTGCGGACAAAAAAATTTTGTCCGCAAAAATTTTTTTTTCATTTTCGAACAAAAATTGGCAGAAAAAAATATTTACGAATATTTGCGGACAAAGTTTGTCCGCAAATATTTGAAAAATTAAATTTAAATTTAATTTAATAGTAGTTATATACCACCTAGTGCCGCCTTCCTTGTTACTATGTCGACTAGAACTACTTCCACTACCCCCGCCACTTCCACAGCTTGTTTGCAGGTGATTTTGGGAAGAGGACATGCCAAAAGATGATGGTGGAGGCGACGCACTGACTTTAATTAACAAAAATTTTTTTTAATTTTTCTAAAAAAAGATAAGAAACCTGAGAGTTTGCCAATCTTAACAGCCGCCACCTCCTCCTTAAAAAAATACAATTATTCTCGAAAAATACGAGGGGGGGGGGGTGATATGTTCCAAAAATAGGGGATATTGTTCCAAGTAAATAAACGCTGGAAACCGATTTTATGTGCTGATCCGGAAGGTGAGATACTCGATGGCCGTGCTTCGCTCGCGGCGATCGTCGTTCCACTCGACATGCCCGGGCTAACAATAAGACAGAAAATAAAAAATGGAAGTAATTTTCCAGAAATTTTTTATAAAAAATATACCGAAAATTTTTTCGAAGCCTTAATAAGCAACCTAGGGCCAATGGTCAAACAAAAAATATTTTAAAAATTTTTGAAAAATCGGGAATTTTTTTAAATTTTTTTAAAAAATTTTTCCTAATTTTCAAAAAAGATTCCCCATAATTTCCAACCTAAAAATCCAAATATAAAAAAAAACCTCAATGTTTGTGTGCAACCGTTTCGAAGCCAATTTGGACAAAATTGGACTTCAAATTTGCCTTTTTGATGTTTTCCTCTTTTGTTGTTGAATTGAAAATTTTTCAATTAATTAAAGTTAAGACCATAAATAAATTATCCACAATTTTTTTAATTAATATTTTTAATTAATTAATTAAATAAAAATCTAAAAAAAATTAAAATTTAAAATTGATTAAAATTAAAAAAAATATATTTAATGATTTTAATTGAATCAAAATATACGAACGAAAAAAAAATTTCAAAAAATTTTTTCTGATATTTATAAATAAGTGAAAATTTAAAAAATAGAATTTTGGCAAATTGATAATTAAAAAAAAATTTTTTTTTTATTTAAAAAACTAAATATTTCTCTCTCTCCATTTACTTTTTTATTACAAGGAATTGGTGATAGTAGTAGATGATTGTGGACAACTGAAAAAACACAAAATTAGGCCCTATCTGAAAAGAAGGAAATCAATTTTTATTTATTTTCCTTAGATTTTTTTAACTCAACCCCCAAAAAATTTAGCAAAGAAATAATTTAAAAAATGGGGATATATGTTGTAAATTAAAAAGAAAAAAAAAGCTGTTTTGTATAGATTTTAAGCGCAAGTCTTAGAGGTAAGGAAAAGGAATTTTCCTAAGTGGTAGGGAAAAGGAAATTTTAAATTATAAATATATGAGGGATTATAAGAAATACATACATAAAAAATAAATCCAAAAAAATTTAAAATTTCAGTAAATAATAAAAAAAAGAGAGATAGACTTTAAAATCATGATTAAATAGGACATAAAAAAATTCGAATTTAAAAATAAAAAAATAAAAAAAGAGGGGTTTTTATTAATTTTTAATATTTTTTTATTACTAAATTGATTAACTAGAAATCGAGAAAATGGAAAAAAGAGAAATAAAAATTACCGAAAATATATATTTAATTTTATAATCATACACAAGACAATTTTTAAGAAAAAGAGAAAATGTTTTTAGTTTAGTAGAAAAAATTGAAAAAGGAAACGTGTGATATTTATTTATTTATTTTTATATTAAAAATGGTTTGTTTTATTATTTTTAAAGAAGGAAATAACAAAAAAAAAATATGAAAAATGGGTTGATACAAGGAAAAAAATTTTTGCTAAAGATTAAAAAAAATTAAATTTCGACTAGTAGTGGGCGCAAGAGACAAACTCAAAAAACACAGGACGCAAAACGCAAGACCAAAATTTAACGTAAATAACGCAATGCGCCCACCCCTGATTCCGACAGATATTTTTAAAAATATTCCTTTCCCTTCTTGTTTTGAAATAAAAAAATTTTTTTTCAAAAACCCCATTAAAAAATTTTTTCTAAAAAAATTTCCTCACCTTTTAAGAATATTTTTTTCTTCACAAAAAATAATTTTTGTTGTACTGTTGATTTTTGTTGTTGGAGAAACTGCTGCTGAAGCACTTTCTACAACCCCATTAGCCCGCAAAAAATTCCCGAGTGCTTCAATTTCTGTTGGATCACCACGAAGTAATGTGCGCATTTCTTGAAAAATTAATTTAAAAAAAATTCATTAATAGACATACTAGCCAATAAATGCCTTCTTTCAGGTCCATACAATTCCAACAATTTTTGAGCAAATTCGACAATTGGCATTTCACGAGAACGCCAACGACGCATTAAAATTGCAAATTTATTCAATTCATCGTGGCTAAGACTGGTTGAAAGCTGGAAAAATTTTAATGTTTTTTAATTAAATAAAAATTTATTAAAAATAAATTTTAACAAGTGTTAATAATTTTAAGATGAGACTCTAATGTGGCCAGAAGCAAAACTTGAAACAAATAGAAATGTAACAAAGAAAAAATAAACTTGAAGCAAAACATGAGAAATGTAAAACACAAACTTGAATTAAATAAAAATCAAAAATAAGCTTTAAGAAAAACTTGAATATAAACATAAGAAATTAAATAAACTTGAATTAAAACAAAAATAAATAAAAACATGAAACCAAGAAAAATAAACTTGGAATAACACATCAATTAAAACTTGAATAAAAAAAGAAATTAAATAAACTTGAATTAGATAAAAAACATAAAAATAAACTTGAATTAAAACATGGAAAAAATTAAATAAACTTGAAGCAAAACATCAAGTAAAACTTGAACATAAACATGAAAAACATAAAAATAAACTTGAATCAAAACATGGAAAAAATTAAATAAACTTGAAGCAAAACATCAAGTAAAACTTGAACATAAACATGAAAAACATAAAAATAAACTTGAATAAAAACATAGAAACAATAAAATAAACATGGAATAAAACATCAAGTAAAACTTGAATCGAAACATCAAAAAATTAAATAAACTTGAAGCAAAACATCATTTTAAATATATTAATGCTTTGACATTTGAGAAACTTATTTTAAATAAGCTTAAATTCTGCTTAAAAATAAAAAGGAACGAAAAATATTCTGTAGATAAGAAGAGAAAATTGGAAGAAGCTTTTTATTATATTTAAGACGTTTCTCTCTCTTTTGTTGTGTAAACAAACAAACAAAAAATCTCTTTTTTCTTTACAACAAGCCCATTCATTCAGAGAGAATTTTTTACTTTTTTTTACAAATTCTTTGGCCAAAATTTCAAAAAAATTTTTTTTCAAAAAAAAATTTTCTCAAATATTCACTTATATAATATTGAGTAAAAAAATATATTTTTTAGAAAAACAAAAGAAAAAATAAAACAAGGAGGGAAACAAAAATAATAAGCGCTCAAGTAAGCTACTAGTTGACTTGTTAACAAAGGGGGGAAGGGGGGGGGGAAGCCATTAAAAAATGAGAGGTGAAAAAAAAATCCACAATAAAATAACGGCTTCATAAAAATCTAGAAAGCCCTGCGCCAATGTTGTGTTAATAAAAAGGAGAAGGAAATTGAATAAAAAAATAAAAGAAAAAGGCAAGGGGAAGGTAAACGCGCACTTAATATATAAAAATCGAAGGGCTTTTCGAAGAGATTAAAATGTATGTAAAGCTTTAATAGTTTTAAAAGAAAGAGATAGAGAGAGAGAAGGAAAAAGAAGGAATGGATGTAGAATATAATATTGAGAGACCAATTAATTTTGTTATCAGTTAATTGAAAAAAATTTTTGCGGACAAAATTTGCGGAAATTTTTTTCTTGCGGACAAAATTTGCGGACATTTTATTTTTTGCGGACAATTTTGCGGACAAAATGTCAATTTTTAAATAAAAGTATTGATGTCAAAAAATGAGAATAAAAGAATCCAATATATATTTTATAAAGAAAAATAAAAATATTTTTTGAAAAAAAGATTGTGTCCATTGTTGTTGTCCTTTTTTAATAATAAAAAAATGTGCCAAATTATATATCCTTTGTTTGTCGTTTTTTTAGTTTAAATAAATCTTATTTTTTTTATTTTTTAATAAAAAATTATTTAAAATGTTTGTATTATTAAAGGAAAATTTATTTTTAGGTTTAAGAAAAAATTAACTTCATCCGCAAAAATTGTCCGCAGATTTAAAAATTTGTCCGCAAAAAATAAAAAGTCCGCAAATTTTGTCCGCAAGAAAAAAAAATTGTCCGCAAACTCTGTCCGCAAAAAATTAAAATATCCGCAATTTTTGTCCGCAAAAAATCCAATAATATCCGCAAAAATTGTCCGCAGAAAAATAGTGAAATTAAAACATTACACTAACCCTACGAAATAAAAAATCAAAATACTCGTAAAAATAAAAATTCTAACACAAAATAAATAAAAAAATAAATATCCCCTCCCAACATTAATGGATTTAGTATTTTTTAATTAAAAAAAAATTTTTTTTTATTTTTTCTTCCATTTCTCTCATGGATTCATTTTACCCTCCCCCCAATACAAGGGCTTTTTCTCTTTTTTATTTTTTTAATCTTTTCCTTATATAGTACACAAATAAACATTAAAAAAATGCTAAAATGGCCTCTTTTTTTTAAAGTGTTTATATGTCTTCATATTTCAATTTTTTTCCTTTTAAAGTGACGATAATTAAAAAAATAAAGATAAAAGATTAGGAGGGTAGAGGAATGGAAGTAATGAAAATAAGAGTAAAAAATTCTGATAAGACAAAATTAATACCTTTAAAAAAAGAGAAGAGAATGTAGAAAAATGCAAAAAAATGTTAAAAAAATTTTTGGAGAATTTTTTCTGATTAAAAAATTTTTTTTCTATCAAAAACAAACTAAAAATAAGCAAAATAAAAAGAATTGCCCCAAAAGGATTCGAACCCACACAGAGAAACTAGCACAGACAGTGACGCTAACCACTACACCACAACTACCACCAACTAAAATCAGATAAAAACAATTTACATATCTAGGGGAATGAGTGAAAATTAACAAAACAAATTTCCCCCTCACCTATTTTAATTTATTTTTTTTTGGAAAAAAAAATCCAAAAAAATTTTTTTTCTTAATTCAAAATAAAAATTTCAAGAAAAATAAAAAATAAAAAAAATTTTTAAAACTCACATCAGTTAAATACTCATTAATTAATTCAACATAACTTCCATTACCACAAATATTTATTGTTGATAAATTAGAAGAAGAGGAAAGGCTTGAATTTGTTGTTGTTGAATTTGTAATTAAATAATTATTTTTATTTAAATTTATATTTTCTTCTTCAATTTTTAAACAATTTGTCGTTGTTTTAATTTGTTGTTGAAAAATACTTGAAATTGGTGAAGAACACAAACTTGCTGATGTTGATGAAGAAGAAATTAATGTTGAGGGGAGGAATTTTTCTAAAAAATCTTTTTCTTAAATTAAAATTTACAATTGAAATTAATAAAAACAAATGCTCGAAAAAATTTTTAAATTAAAATTAAAAAAGGATCTATTTTTGAGAAAGTTTTCGGTGATATAGTGTCACAAGTGGAAACAGTGAATTTTTCAAAAATTTTTCACAATTTATGGGATGGAAAATTTACCTAAGATTGTTATTCTCATTTTTAGAAAATAAAAATTTAAAAAAATCCCAGTTGTTAAACACAATATTTGGTATTATTTGACTCCACAGGTGGAAGGCACAGGAAAAAGAAGATTCAGTCTTAAATTCCATGTCGTTTCAGAGACAGAAGTAGGACTCTCTTAAAACCCTATCCTTTAGAGACTTATAACCCTAAAATTTATTTTAAAATTTTCCTAGTAGACAAGAGAAATTAAAAATTAAAAAAAAATCAAAAAAAAATTTAACAAACTTTCCAAGTCCAAATTTTGTTGTTCCACCAAAAAATCATCTTCTTCATCCACCTTCTCCTTTTCAAATTCACTAATAGCTTCTCGATAAATAAATTGAAAACAATTAACAAAATATTGACAAATTTCTTTTGCAATCATTTCATTTGGAATATAAATAATTAACAAATCAAACAAATCTTTGGATAGATTGACATCTCCAATTCTCACTGATAAAATATTTTTAGAGGGTAATAGACCGACCTTTGAAAAAAATTTTTAAAAAATATTAAATTTTCAAGTAGTTCTTGAACAAAAAAAATTCTCAACCAGAGTCCAACAATTTTTCAATATTTATCGAAAAATGAACGAGCCTTCCCGTCATACATTAAATTCTAGATAAACTTAAAACGATTTTTTGAGGTTTAAATTAAAGAACGACGGGAAATCTCGAAGATATTTTTGATAAATATTGGGAAAATTGAAGACAATCGATTCGACAAAAAAGAAAAAAATGATTCTAATCTCTAAAGAAAAAGAAAAAAAATATCCAAAAAAATTTCAAAAATTTTCAAAGAAAGTATCTGAAACCAGTATCTTTAAAACTTAAGCCTAAAAAATTTGGAGGACGAAAAAAAATAAAACTCAACTTAAACACCTAAAATCCCCCAAAAATTTTAATCTAAATAAATACCGATGCTATTTGATGTAAAGGGACAACAGCTATCGTTTCTCCAAATTTATCGATTATAGTCATTGCTGTACAATCACAAAATAAATGATCTGTCCAGTCATCCGAATCTTCTTTCTAAAAAATTAAAATAAAACCTCTTCCAAAATTCTTTAAAAAATAACCTCGCATTCAGTTAACCTCAAAAAATTAATTTCTTCATCAGCACCAACATCAGTAACTGCTTCAACAAATTTTCCAAAAAGTACAGGCCATTCAAGTTTTAAAGGTTCTCCCATAAGAAAAAATAGAATATAGAGAATGATTTAAAGAAAATAAATTTAGAACATCTAAAAATAAGAAAAAGAAGCAAATTAAAATTGATTAGACTTGAAAGGACTCGAACCCCAAACCTTCACCCCAAAGGCAGAAAGTTTACCAACTTGACCACACGCTAACACTACAACATTTTATTTTTTTCTGACCTAATACTCTTCAGAAAAAAGGTCCATTTTTAATTTTGTCTAATAAATGGGAACTTATTCTTATTGAAATGTATAAGCAGTTAGGCTACATGCTTTTATTAACAATAAAAAAAGAAAACAAAAGAAAAGGATATTGGCTTTCAATAAAAGATTTACTATAAAAATAACACGTGCCCAAAAAAAATACACTACAAGTGTCAATACAAAAAGGAATGAATAGACACAAACAAACACTCTTTTTGATATTTGGCTAGGAACCAAAATAAAAAAAATAAAAAGGCGGCGACATTGCCACTTACAAACCACCACTACAAAATACCCCCCTTTTTTACCCTAAAATAAAAAAAGGACAACTTGACATGTTCCAGAAGATCACCACTGAATTGTTTATGCGCCCAAGTTGATCTTCTGGGTAAGGTTATAAGAGAAATTTATTTGCACTTCCAGTCAATTTATTCAAGTAAAAAAATTCCATTGACGCCATAAAAATATTTTTTCATTGATATACTGAAAAAAAAATAAAATATTAAAATGACTACTCCCTTTTTATAATTTATTTCCGCCTTTCTTTTCTGATAAATTGGCTGCTTTTTCATCTAGAAAAAAATTTTTTTAGTCCAAAAAAAATTCCAAAAAATACCGAGGGGTCAATTTTATATTTTTTTTTGTTTAAAAAATATTAAAATAGATTAGCTTAAATAAAAAGATAAACAAAAACATGACCACACAAATTTAAAAAGAAATTTTTTTGCGGACAATATTTGCGGACAAAAAAATTTTTTTGCGGACAATATTTGCGGACAAAAAAATTTTTTTGCGGACAATATTTGCGGACAAAAAAATTTTTGCAGATATGGACCAAATAATCAAAAATACTCTATAAATGTTGAAACACAAATTAAAGATAATAATATTATTAAAGAAAATAATTAATTTAAAATTAAATTCAAAAATTATTTTAAAAACCATTTTATAAATAAACAACAGAGGCAATTTTATTTCTTGGTAGAATTTTTTTGGAAATGTTATGTGATCAACAAAATATTTATGTCTATAATTTTGTAAATTTGCTTTCCTATTAATATTACTTCCCAAAATTAAACAAATTTATAATTTGCGGACAAAATTTGCGGACAAAAAAATTTTTTGCGGACATTGACCACACAACCAAAAAATACTCTACCAAAGTAAGAACGAAAAAAATAATAATTATTATAACATTTTTAAATTTAACTTCAACTAATTTTTCTTTACCATTTCAGACCTCCCAACTAATTAACCTCCTTTTCAAGAACAAAAGCATCATCAGGCTCTATTCTTTTATAATATTTATCAACTCTTCCAACAACTTTAAAATCAAATTTTTTGTAAAAATTTAGAGCACTTTCATTGTTTGTTTGGACGTGTAAAGTAACACATTTGATTTGAATATCCTTGTTACAGAGAGAAAAAACATGCTCGAGTAAGAGAGTACCTACACCAAATCTGTTAAATTTAAAAGGAAAAATTTAATCAAAAAATTCTTCGTAGGTAGACTAACATCGAAGATTAAATTTAGAATTCTCTCATAAATTCAAAAAAAAACTCAAAAATTTTAAACAAAAAAATTTCTTTCAAAATTGGAAAAAATATTTGCGGATAAAATTTGCGGACAGAATTTTTAAAAAATAAAAAAAAATTCAAAACCATTTCAAATATTTGAATTCTCGGAAGACCAAGATTAACAAAATGAAAATTCGAAAACTTATGCGGACAAAATGTGCCAAAATTAAGTTCCCCAAAATTAAAGTTAAATTAAAAAATTAATTAAAAAAAAACCGTCGATAAGGTGCAAGAGTTCCCAACGTCATAATATACAATTTCTTAATTCCATCCAAATTATCAATACGGCAATAAACACCCCCAACAATTATATCATTAAAATAAGCCAATTTTGCCAAATCTCCAGCATTAATAACTTCTTTATAAAATTTTTCGTTATAACAAATTGGAAAAACAGCCAAATTGAGACGTTTTAATTGCTAAAAATTTTTCAAAGAAAGCATTTTTGTAGGATTTTAATAGGATGAAATTAATAAAAAGGATCGTAGTTATTTAAAATAGAAGCAGGATTTGAGTCAAGGACGAAATCTCAAATTCAGATAATCGAAATTTTTGAATGAGATATCGTCTAGGCCTCACCTCATACCAATCACACACTTGCAAATACAGACAATAGATTACTCAAAGCTCTTGTGTATACAAAAGCCCCACTATTCTACAGCCAAGAAAATACCCCACCCTATACAAAAAAGATACCCCACCCTCCCCCTCCAATTAAAACCAAAAAATAAAAAAATTTCCAAACCATAACATTATGTTTTGTAATATCCCCCAATTCAATATCACATCTTCCAGCACAACGAACAGTCTCAATTTTACATTTTTGTTCAAATTCTTTTTGCATTAATTTGTCTTTATTAACAACCATTTATTGGCTTCCTAAAAACCTTTTTAAAAAAATTTTTAAGAGAAAACTAAAGAAAAAATAATTTCATGGCTTTTAATTAACCAAAATTCTAAAAACTTTAAAAATTCCTTTACATTAAAAATATATTTATTTATTTTTTAGAACAAAATTGATAGAGTTAAAATTTAAGTGATTTATTTGAGCAAGCTAAACATGCGCGCTTTACTAGCGAAAATGTTGGGAAAGAAAAAAAAAACAATTTAATTATATAATTGATATTTAGTGGAACAGGAAAAGCTGTAAATGTGTATTTACTAGAGTTTAAACCCGGACCGGATCCAAAATCTGGGTAGTTTGATAAAACCCGGATTTTCCGAGTTCTGATCAAGAAAATCCGGTCCGGATAGAAAAAAAATTTAAAAATCCTGAGGATCCGGCATTTTGTTAATTTTAAACTCTAGTATTTACCCAAGGATATAATTGATATTAATTAATAAACACATCCAAATACGATCAAGAATGAGAAAACAATAATTTGATCAAAAATTTCAAACAAAAATTTTCAAAAATTTGGATGTGTTCAATTTATTTTTTTTAATTTATAAATTTCCAATGAAAGCGCATGTCTGCAACGTGTACATATATTTTTAAACAACTAAACATATTATAAGGGCAAGGCCAAAATTAAATTTAAATATATATTGACTAAAAAACACAGAAAAAATTAAATATACAAATTCCTTTTTTCTCTGAAAATCAAAATTAAGTCAATATATATTTAAAAAACAAACAGAATTTGGGTTAAACACATTTTTTTTTAATTTAATAAAAAAATAGTTTATGACAAACAGGCAAAAGGTGGAAATTTTAAATATTTTTGTAATTAAACCGGTGAAAACTAAAAACCGGGGGTGACAGGTTAATAACCGGTCGCCAACAACCCTGGTTGGTAAAATCAAAGGTTTTTGAAGGTTTATATTGTTTATAGGATTTGCTACGATAATTGTAACTCATAGTTTTGGTTTTATATAAAATCCTAACCAGAAAACACAAAAAAAAATAAAAATATTTCTAAAAAGTAAAAATATTTCCACCTTTATAGCTGTATCAAAATATTTATATGTGAATAAAAATATTATTAACACATTTTTTATTTTCTCAAGTCAGTTAAACTCTATCAAGTATTAGTTTTTGTGGATATATAAAATAAAATTTTCTTTCAAATTCAAACCTCTTTTTTAAATAACACAAAGAAACTACTTTTTTCCTCCTCTACGAATCCTCTCCCCATTCACTGTCTGTACTACTATCGCTTGAAGAATCAGAAGAATCTGTAAAAAATTTTTTCAAAAAATTTTCTTAAAAATCAAAAAAATAAACCGTCAGGCCGTATATTTTTCCTCCTTTCCTCTAAAGCTCTTGCCAATGCTCCCGCAATTCCACCAAAATCTTGTAATCCACCACCAGAACGACGATTTTGTTCAACCGTTGCTTGATCAACCTGTCAAATTTTTGAAATTTAAAAGAAAAATTGGACATGTCCTATACAATTTTTACACTTTTCCTACATCTTTCTTGTATTGTCCCAGATTCAAAAATTTGAAAGGTTTCACATTGCAGAAACCGGGATTGGAAGGGAGGTAAAGTAGAAAAACTCATGGAATGAGCCTAGTCCGAGGCACAACCGACAGTGCCACTTGTAAGCAAAGGTTTTTAGCTTCAAGAGGAGAGAAGGGTGGGTCCAACCAGGAAATGTAATGGATTGTTCAAAATCGACTTTTTATTGACCGAAACCCAGCCGTATAAATTTCCTAAAATCCGTGACATCGCTGCCCATAACCCTCTCGGAAAGAGTTATTTAAATTATAAAAAAAACTAAAAAAAAAATACAAACATGTTTCAAACTTGTTCCTTGCTTAATTTGTTCCATCATACTATCCCTCAAATTTGGAGGATTTGTAGGCACAGGCTTTTTATCGTCTGGAGGAAATCCAACTTTACGCAAATTTGCTCCTTGTTGAATTTGTTGAAGAAGATTTGCTTTATTATCAATTGGCGGTGGTGGAGGAGGGGGTGGTGGAGGATGAGGAGCTGCTTGAAGTTGTTGTTGATTTTTGGGTATATTTTCTGCATTACTGTTCTCTCTCAAAAATTGTTTTGAAAGTAAAGATGGCGGTGGAGGCGGACATGGCGGTGGAGGAGGAGGAGGCGGAGGTGGTCCCCCCGGCGCTGATGAATTCTTATCCATAGCATTTTGAAGCGGTGGAGATGACTTGAAAAATAAAATTTTCAGCCCCCAAAAGAAATTTCTTGAAAATAAACCTCTTTAACCACAGGCGGAACAGGTGGAGGTGGCGGTTTTAACTTTGGTGGCTGAATTATATTTTTATTTGTAGGCAAATTTTGAGGACGAGGAGGTGAAATAACTGGTGTTGAAGCATTCTGTTGTTGCTTAACAATAATATTGTTGCTCAAAGAAGCCCCTTGAATACGTTGTGGTGGTGGAGGATAATTTGAATTTGTGAAAATTGGAGGCGGTGGATTTGAGCTAGTCTAAAAAAATTAAAAAAATAATAAACAAAATTTAAAAGGGGCAAATTTGAGTTATCGGTAAGGTTGTCGGTTTGTGGAAAGTTTGGATATTCAGAGCCAAAAGAACAGAAACAAAAACATTCCGACACTTTGAAGAGTTTTCCGTCAGCCCTACTGGACTATAAGAATGAACTGGACTATACAAAAAAAGAAAAATACCCTGATATGAGTAGGGGCAAAACAAGAGTAGCGTTTTTTGGACTCTGGAGAGGGGGGGGGCTATTTTTGGGCCAAAAACATAAAAAATTTTTTGGGCCAAAACATAAAAATGACCTTCACTGATTGAAAAAAACACCAAAACCAGATTCTTACCTACCTCAACGTAAAACCAAAAAAATTAAACAAAAAAAACAACCAAACCTGTTGATGTTGATTAACAACTTGACCAACAACAATACTATTATTATTATTATTCAAATTAAAATTATTAAAATCATTTTGTAAAGGCTTTGCTGCTTGTAGTTGTTCAACATTATAATTATTAATAAATTTTTGAGCAAATTTTAATTCGCTTTTTTTCATTTCGCCAGGATTGTGTCCAATTTCACAAAGTAATCGACGAACTGTTTCATCCATTGGGGCACCTTGACTTTCATTGTTAAAACCACTCAAAGCATCCCAACCAATATGCACTCTATGCCTAGAATTTTTTTTTAGATTTTTAAATGTTAATCTCTGGATTCCTTAATATTCTTTGAGTTTTTGATCGACACATTTTGGTAACCAAAAAGGCTCCTTATTGGAATATTATAATAATCTAAAGGACAGTCTTCGGATAGAGAAAACTCACAATTTGCTGCAGAACAGCTAATTTTAAAGACTAAATCAATTTCGTTATCATTCGACGCCTTTTTTCGGGCAACCATATAAAATCTTAAGAGATTAGTCCCTCGTGGTTGGGTCACGTCTTATACATAAACGTTATAGAATCCAAAAGTAACCAGTAAAAAATGAAAGGCAAAAGGAAGGAAATGACGACACACCCACGAATAACTTTGGAAAAAAGTTTGACACCGAAAAAGTTTCGGAGAAAAATTTTTTTCAACACAAACACGGCACATAATCTTGTTAAAGGTGGAAGTCCTACAATTTCAAACTTATCCCATAAATTCATTCTTAATCAAAAATAAAAAAAAATTACTCAAAGCCAGTTGGAGCTCCAATATCTTCTTTTGTAAGAGGCGGACGTCCACCAGCATTTTTATCCTTTTTAGATTGTTTCTTCTTTTTTGGAGAAAAAAATTGTTGCAAAGATGAGCCAACATGTGGAACTTGAAAGAAAATACTTTACAAAAATTTTCAAAAATTCTTCTATTTACCAGTCCCCATATTCGTTATTCCTGTTGGCATTTGAAAGTTTGAGCCATTTTGGTTTGGTGATTTTTTAAAATTATTTGGAGCTGTAGGGGATAATTGATTAGCAAAACACGGCACATAATTTTGAGGGTGTTGAACTTGAGGTTTGACTTTAAAAAATTTAAAAGTTTAAACAAGTTTAATCGACAAATAAATTAAAAGAAAATTTGTGGACCCCAAGAATTGAGAGAAGAGTTCAAGTGGCCAAAACAAAAAAAACAGGTCAAAATTCAAACGAAAATCTTCATAAGAATTTTTTGCCAAAACTCGTAAAAGAATGCTAAAATCAAAACTAAAAATAAATACTAGCCGAGGGCCGAAACCTATAACTCAAAAATCACATTTTTGATAAAAAATTTTCTTTTCACCCAAAAAAGTCAAAATACCAAAAAATAAAAAAAAATCTGCCCAAAAAATTTATTCTAAAAATCGTGAAAGAAATTAAAATCGAAATAAGGCCCAAGTCCTAAATAAATGTAAGAGCAAATCCCAGTTTTGAAAAATTCCCTTCTCCCTAAAAATTGTTAAAACAACAAAAACCCATCAATTTAAAAAAACCTGAATCATTCCTAGGATTGTTAGTTCGTCTTATAGTTAATGTTAACATATGTTTAAACTTTTCCGCCTCTTCAGAATCGCAAAAATTTAATGCATAAGGACAAGTATCGCCTTCGAATGTAATAAACCGTGGACATTTCTCATGAAATTGTGCTTCAAAGTTTTTGTATCTAAAAAATATTTTTAAAAAATCTAACATTAAAAACACTCTCTTGAAACAAATCAATCAAAAGGTTGGGTTTCTCCATGGAAAATGAGTTTCTCATAAGGAAAACGGACATCTATCCCAATGGACAGGCCCGTAGCCAGTAGGTGGTAGGGGGAGGGGAATCCCCTCTACCCCCCGAAATGGGGAAAAGGAAAAAATTTGGGGAAGGGCTGGGGCAAAAAAAAGTGAATTTTTTGGCCTACGGCATTATAGAATTTTCAAAATTTTCGCCTGCCAATGGAACAGTTAAGATTTTGTACTTCAAAGTTAACTTTTTGATTGATTCTGATTAACAGTTGTCATACGTAAAAAAAGGAGAAACTAGGGAGAATCTAAAAATGGGGGCCTTAATGGCTAATATTCCCATTTTTAACAATAAATTCCAATTTAAAAAATCCCTCACCTATTTAAAATAGCTAAAACCCCCAAAAATAAAACAAAAAAAACCGCTTACAAAACTTGATCCCAAACAATTTTTTGATTCATAATGTCATATAGGCACATTGAGTAATGTTTTTTAGCATAATCCTTTGTCAAGACTGCCAAACCAACATTAACTTTCCTCCAAACATTTGGGCAGTTTGGATGGACATCTAACAATTGAGCAACCCCAGCCATAGTAGAAATACGGTCTCTTCCCAAAACTTGGAAAAGTTGTAAATTTTCTGTATTTGTGACTAGAGAAGAGCCTGAAGGTTTTGGACGCTCTTTTTTGCTCCTTTTCCTTTCCCCGTTAATAAAGGGTTGAGGTGGTTGTTGTTGATATTGTTTTGTGGCTGCAACATACATTTTTTTGCTCTGAAAAAAAATAAAAAGAAAATTTTGAATAAAAACAGAAAATGAGTAAATTAGTGGGGAAGATGTTCAGTAAGCGAAGGAACTGGGTATCTGGGTTACGTCCGGGCAAATTCTCCTGGCTTGGTGGTTTTCATATCAGGTTGACCAATTCTTGGTCAAGACCCTCAAGTCTTGTCCCAGACTTTTTAAAAATCTCGAACTCTGGGAGATTTTTGAAAAGCCTGGGCCTGTTCCTGGGTTTGATTTATTAACCTAGGCTTGTAGCCCAGGAAAAACCCAGGAAGGTCAAAAAATGCCTAGTCCTGGACTCTGAGCACAAGGAAACCCCTGGCCTTGGCCCAGACCCAGATCTTCATCTCTGGGTTAGTCACCCACCCAAAAACATTAAAACACAAAAAATTTCAGCGCGGTCTCTGCTAAGCCCTATATAGTTAGTTAATTAAATATAAATTATTTCCTGCCCCAAAAAATGTTAAACATCTTTACAACATGAATTTATTAAAGAAAAAATTTTAACGTGACCATCTCTAAAAGATAAAATGCAAAATGTGTAATAAATATAAAAAACAAAAAAATGTGTGGCAATTTGAGGGGAATGATGACTCATAAAAAATGATGAACATTTGTCTCTATGATTGATTTAATAGAGAATTTTTGCAAAAAAAAAGAGTATCATTTAAAAGACGTTGAAAATACGTTGAAAAATGCTTGAAGGAAAATTGCAAAAAAAGTTGTGGAACTTAAAGAATTTCAAGGAAGTGTAACAAAATGTAAAGGATTTGTTGTTTTGTAATTTTACAAAATGACATTTTTACCATTTTGATATTTTAACAAAAAAAATTTTTTTACTGACGGCCACTTTGTCGCGGACTTGTAAAATCTGTTGATTATCCATTTTTTGATAATCAAGATAGGTTTAAAGATTGAATGATGACATTCGATAGCGCAGAAATTTTACCACAAGTTAGGCCTAATAGAAAAATTTTAAAAGGAGAAGACAGAAACGTTATCCGTCCGCGACAAAATAACTCGCGACAAAACGACTCTTGTCGAAAAGTCATTCTCCTCATTTTCCACACTATTTTCTCTTATTTTTTAAAAAAGCAAATTTTCATTTCCGGAATCAATTTAAATTTTTTCTTGTAAAATCAACAAATATTTTTAGATTAATGCTAAAATCATTATTTATCAGAAATTCTAAACAATATTTCCTTCTAAGAAGAGAAAAATTAATTTATTTGCGGGTTTTTCAAGCCTACCAATGTAGCAGCAAACCAAATTACAAAACAACTCAGCCAATTATTTGGGACGAATTTTTTCAAAGAGAAAGTGAAGTTGCTGACAAAACAAAGGAAGCTTTTCTTCAATGCGTTAGTATGTCTTTTTTTGAATTTTCTCAAAATTTTTAAAAAAATTTTCACAGAACTTTTTGTCATGTCAAGAGGAAAAAGAGGAGGCGGACAAGTAGAATTTATTAATGCTGGAAGGAATAATATGAAAGCATTTGGAGTCCACAAAGATTTGGATGTTTATAAGGAATTATTAAAAGTCTTTCCTGAGGGAGATTTTGTACCGGAGAATCCGCTTCAGGTTTTCTTTAAATTTAGAAAATTTTTTTAGAATTTTATAAAAATCCTAAGAAAAAATTATTTAACACCTTAACAACCCAAAAAAATTTTTTATCATCAAAAATCGCCAAAAACCTAAAAACACGCCCCTTGGGAAACAAACGGACTCGAACCCTCAACACCTTCAGTACATAGCCTAACACATTAACCATTCGGCCACCACTGAATATAACGCAAACCTTCGAATTTTCGATTAGATTTAATTCATTTTAGAGAGCATTTTGGCATTATCCCTTGCACCAAGAGTGTGCTATAAAATTAATGGACGCAATGGAATATAATGGTAAATTAATTTAAAAAATATTTTAAATTTACTTCAAAATTAGGAGTTCTTCCTGACAAAGAAATACACGATATAATGGAAAAACGTTTTGGTACTTGGGGTTATGCTACAAAAAAGGTTAAAAGGCAGTTGTATTGGCTACCAAAATTGAAATACACAAACCAGTAAGTCAACAAATTTTTTCTTAAAAAATAAAATTTTGGGGGTCGGGAAAATTATAAAAACGGCAAAAATGAAGTTTTAAAAAATTTCAACTGACCTGAAATTAAAAAAAAAATTTGCTAATTTTTTTCAATTGGGCTTAACTATCTTGGAAAATTAAAATCTCCATTTCAGCCACCCAAAAAGAATTTTAAAAATTAAAAAACAATATTTCCCACATTTTTTCAGTTATTTGGACAGACGATTAGTCGAAGGAAAGAAATTGATGGACGTTGAATTAGCTCGAGTTGCCCTAAAAACAATGTGTAGAGATGCCGGGACTCAAATAACAAGCTTCAAAGTTTCTTAAAATTTTTTAACCTAAAATTTTTTCCAATTTTAAGGCTCCTTTCCTCGAAGTTCAAGACCGTTTTAATTGGGTTGTGAGTGCTCAAAGTCCTTTACAAAAAAAATTAATTTGGGATTTACCAGACAATTGTACATGTTATGTTGATGGACCTTTTCGTGTTTGGGTTAGAGAACGAATGGTATTTTTTCTTTAATTAAAATACTAGGGATCGGAAAATTTAAAATTTTTGATTTTGGTTGAGGACCTTGACCAGATTCTTGACCTCGAGTCAAGGCAAAATCAAGTTCTAGGAAAAACCAAGGAACACTGAAAAATGCCTTGCTCTTGACTCTAGGTCCAAGAAAAATCAAGGTCTGGATTCAGATCTTGGCCGATCTCTAAAAAATACTTTTATTTAATCCCCCAATTTAAAAACAGTTAAATTATCTTGTATTGAGTGCCCCACCAACTATTAGAGAGGATGAGGAATGGGTAGATTTACGTACTTCACACAATGTAGAAACGCCAGAAGAGTTGCATAAACGTTTATGGGATGAAGGCCCTCAAATTAATGTTCATCAACAATCGGATCAAACAATTTTGGCATTGGCCATTTTGGGGATTCATAGCAATGAATATGCTTCTGTTTGGTTTAGATTTTTTAGAAAATTTTATTTTTGATTCCCACTCATTTTTTACAGGCTCAACCATTTACATGAAGAAAACAGAAGGTTATACAATATTAGTGTTGTGTTCCGATTGAAACAAATTCCAAAAGGTGTTTTCAAATTTCAAAGAGATCCAACAGGATAAAAAATTTTTAGGTTATTTTTGCATTGTTTTTTTGTATATTTTTTAAAAAAAATATTGAAAAAAATAAATATTAGTTACCGTTTTTTAAAAAAAGATTTTTGGTCATTTTTTAAAAAAGCCATCTTTCGATAGCTTTTTTCTTGGCAAAAATAGAATTTACATCATTCCTTTTTTACCATAGAAAATCATTTTTAAATAAACCTTTCAATTTAAAATTTTCTAATTTTAAAATTTCAATTTTTTTTTGTTCAAAAATATCAAAATTGTTGCTACGTAAATGATACCTTTTTACTTAAAATATCCCCCCCTCTCCTCCTCTCACATTTTTCTCTCCCATCTTTTCCCTCTAATTTACCAAATCTCTAACCTATAAATTAAAAATTTTTCTTTAAAATTATGCCCACGCTTATTTGCCATGAAAATCTTAAAACGGCCACCTTCTTATTATTTTTTTACGTTAAATGTGCCCTTCACCGGATTTGATGTATAAAACTAGCAATTTGGGAAAAATGAAGAGATATTAAAAAGAAAAAAAACTGGCAAGCTTTAACATTCCTCTAAAATAATTCTACGAAATATAAATATTTATTTAATGCAATTAGCAACCGAAAATATGAATAACAGAATTATATTTACAATTTTGCTAGTTATTAGTTTGAAAATTTCAAGCATCGTTGAAGGATATCGTAAGTTTTGAGATTAAACTTGAAATTTTAAGATTACACTTAAATTTTTAAGAGTAAACTTGAATAATAACTGAACTTGTAACCAACTTGAATTTAAACGCTAAAACTTGAAACACAAACAAAATAAACTTGAATTCAAACATTAGAAACAACACTAAAAACTTGAAAACTAAAACTTGAAAATAAATAAACTTGAAGTAAAACATTAAACCTTTTTTTCCTAAATTAAAACATGTAAAAACTTGAAACAATGATCTGAACATCAAACTTGAAAACACACCAAAAGACAAACATGCTAAAATAAACCTATTTCTTGTAAATAAACTTGAAACAAAACATTAAAACTTTCATTAAAACAAACGAGAGCATCCAAAAACTTTAAAAAACATAAAACTTTAATTCAAACATCATAATTTAACTTAAACTAAAACAAACTTGAAAACATCCTAAACATTTTTAAATAAACTTATTACCAAAAACATTCCAAAACATTTAATTCTAAAACAAGTTTAAACTTTTCAGCTTCCACAACCAACTTTTTTGACAACAACCCCCTAACTTCAAGATTATTTAACCAATTGTTCGAACCTCAAATAGTCCGACGTTTCGACCCCGCTTGGCGACACATTGGATTAGGGAAGCGATCATCAAATAAAAGACAATTAAGAGGGACGAGGGAACAACAGGAAGAAACAAATGTTTTGAATAAACGTTTACATTTAGTTGGAATTGGGCTTGGACGGAAATAAGAGAAAACGGAAAAAATCTAAAAAATCAAGACAAAATTTTTTTTTCATTTTTTAATAATTTTTAAAAATAAAATTGAGAGATAAATTCAGTTATACAAACAATATTTTTTATTTTTGTAAAGTCAAGTTGAAGAAGTTGACGATGTTTCTTTTGTTTCTGGGGACAATGTTTTTCTCTTATTTTTATTAAAATATGCACAAATTGTCGAGGATGAAACATCTCGAAATGTTAAAACATAAAATTGTGGTACAGGAAGTGTTGGGGAATAACCAGTAGAGAAGGTTGAGTCTTCAAAGGCGATTCTGTAAATTTTTTAAACGGTCAGTCCAAAATGATCAGAACGCCAAAGCCTCAGAGTTCGAGGTACTGACCATTTCGAGCTACTGAATACTGACAGGTTCAGAGTACAAAATGGTCAGAGTTAAAAAGGGTCAAAACGTCCTAACAAGAAATTAAGTTGGGTAGATCAAAATAAGACTTCTATTCATCTCCCACTAATGTTTCGCCGGAACCGTAAATTTGGCCGAAACCGGAACTCTTCAACCAACCCGGAACCAAAAAATCCCGGAACTTCCGGCCTACCGGAACCGGGAGTTCCGGCAAAACACTATTTCCCATCCACCCTTCTTACACAAAATTTCTTCAAAAAAAATTTAAAAACCCACAAATAATCATCATTTGGTCCACTTGGCGGTGTTTCCACAATTCCTTTATAGAAGCAAGTTGTTTGCGGATATAGAGCCAAAACTATTGCACCTTTTGGAAATAAAGCATGTGCATGACGTCGAGGATCGGCTCGATAATGTGGTAAAGCAATTACTTTATTTGAATCAACAGTTAAAAGTTTCTCGTTGTTTGTAGTTAGAGTAGTGTTGTTGGTGGTGCTACTTGTCCCAGCTACCATACCTCCTTCCTCTTCAACTTCATCATCAATATCTCGAATTGAATATTCTAGACCATAATCGGTTGGTAGATGGGCCTAAATTTGGAAATGAATAAATTTTTGATGGATTCAAAGTTTTAAGACACTTGAGTCTCGAAAGATTAAATTCTGAGACTCGTCACAACTCAATTGAGTCCCGGACCCTATAACTTATGAAGGGATGGTCACTTTTTTTTGCTCTTGATACCATTGGATAGGGCATTAAATAGGCTACAATATACCAAAAAATCAAAATCCAGAACGAATGATAAAAAAAGTTATAATCGAAAAAGTGCCGAAAAATCTGATTTTTTTGAAAAAGTTAGCTTCTAGAGCATAACTTTTTTACCAGTCAATCGAAAATTTTGATTTTTTGATATAAAATAGTCCATCTAAAGCTCTATCAGTAGTACCAAAAACATTAAAAATTATCAACCCGTACTTGAGATATAAAGCCGGGACTCAGTTGAACTGCTCCGTAAATTCTGAGACTCAATTGACCCTTTGTTATAGTCAATTAAATTTAAAGACTTGAATACCCCTCCAATTAAAAATACCTTCACTTCCCCAAGAATCCAAATATCTTCACTAAAAGCAGCAACAAAATGACCAACATTAATAGGTTCTCCATTCAATCTAGGAATTGCCCCGACAAGAGGAGGTGGATGTCCTTCAATATATCCAACATACAAAGGCAAGGTAGCAGCATGCTGCGCTAACAAAATCATAAGCGAGCCACGAGATAATTTGTCTGCCATTCTTTGTTTTAAACGGAGTTGGCGAACAGTCTGTGAGAGAAAAATTAAAATTTAGAGAGCTTGGAGATTTTTTAGATAGACCCCCCATTGGGATTGAAAAAATCGACCTCATAATGAGGTGTTTCTTAAATCGAGGTGTATCTTAAATAGAAGGTATCGCCTAGACAGCTCCTCTATCCAATCACAAAATCCAAAAGTTTACCATTTGCGGACGTCCGCAAAAAGCTTGCGGACATCCGAAAAAATTTTGCGGACATTCACTGGCCTCCCCCAACCACTAGCCAACCAAACTCCTTGAGGTTATCTTAAACTGAGGTTTGTCCTGTATTGAGTGTCTCTTACAATGGCACTAAATATATAAAAATCATACTTGTATATTATCCAACAATTGCATAATTGTCGAATGTTCACTCACACATTGTTTTTGAGCTGTCTGATATAAAGCAATCAATTTTGCTTTCGAATTTTGACTAATTTTTGATCCAGGTCCAAGTAAGCGCACTCCTTGAGAACGTATAGCTCTTAATGATTCATTTACTTTTTGATGCTTTGGTTGAAGTCTTAACATCTTTAAAAAAACGGAAAAAAAATTTTTTTTCAATTTTTTAAGCAAAAAATGGCAAATAAGAGTGGCAAAAATTGACTTTGGCGGCAAAATAAAAAAATTCGATAGTTCGATTTTTTCTAAATCGAATCGATTTTTGACCACTTGAGTCTCATGGGATGTGATGTCCAAAAAGTCTAGTTTTGTCCGCAAATGTTTATCCGAAAAATATGCAAAATATTGGTGTCCTCTTTACGCATTTTTAATTTTAGAGGAGAGAATTTTTTAATCAATCCCAGGCTTCCTGAACCCCCCTCCCCACAATTCCCCAAAAATAAAATAAAAAAAATTATAATTCCTAACCTTTTCAGATATCTGTTCTGTAAAGTTTGTAATTTGTTTAATTGTAGAATTATTCTCTTCTGAAGCAGCAACATTTGCGGGTGATAAATTATTATTTTTTATTGGAGAATTTTTTGATGTTTTGGTTGTTGTTTTTGGTGTTTTTTGGCGTTGTTTCATTTTAAGCTTTCCTTCTTTTTCTTAAAATATTTTTTTAATGGAATCATTAAAAACGAGGTTTTGCGCTAATAAATTAAATTAAAAATAAAATTAAAAAATAAATTGAAAGAAAATAATAATTCTTTTAATAAAAAAAAATTTTTTTTAACACAATTTTTATCTATACGAATTTAAATAAAAGAAAGTTGGTGGTGGGAAAGTCATATTAAGTGAACAATTTTTTCTGAAGGTTAGATAGTAGGTTAAAGGACTCATTTTTAGGTTAGTTAAACCTCTCCCTATAAAAATTTTTCTGAAAAAAATTAAAAAGAAAATCTGACATTTGCGGATGTCCGCAAAAAATTTGCGGACATCCGCAAATTTTAGTTTTGTTTTCAAATATCAGTAAAAGCCTTGTAAAATTCTCGAAATAATTTAGAGGAGGAATATGCTTTTAAAATCCCAAAAACAACAAAAGGAAAAGGAAGGAATAAACCGGCACAACCTTTATTTTTAGAAAATTTTTTTGGGGAGGATAGAGAAGAACTAAAAAAGAAGAAGAACAACAAAAACAAAAAAAATAAATAGGTACTATCAGGCCAGTAGCCAGGATTTTTTTCGGGGGGGGGGGGGCAAAGGCCAAAAAAATTCATTTTTTTTGGCCTCAGCCCTTCCCCAAATTTTTTTCCTTTTCCCCATTTGGGGGGGGGGGGGGAATTCCCCCTGGCTACGGGCCTGGGTACTATACTATATGTAATTTTGTATTATAAGAATTTTCAGAATTGCTAGCCAAACATTTATAGATATAAAGAAAATAGATTTTTTTTGAGTTCTAAAACAGAGAAAAAATAGACAAAAAATTAAATAATACTACACACACAATCACAGAATTTTAATACTTTTGGGGTGCAAAATTATTATGTAGATTACACTTTTATATTGGGAAATATATATCTTTTTTTTGTAATTTAATAAGGCAAATAAACTTTTTAATTGTGGACATAAAACTGGATAAGATTAGCAAAAATTAAAAAAAAATTCTGGTAAAATCATGATCTGAGGGTTTATTTTCCCAGTCCCCTCTCTTAATAGGAAATCAGAATTTTGAGAAGCCCACAGTTTATAAAAAATGAAAATCTAAAAAAGAAATCAGTTTCAGAAATTAGAACTTTCTCAAAAAATTTGCTTTCATATCGAGAATGAGCCTTCTTTAATCAAAACCCTTTATAACACATCAGGGATGCCACGGGTTAAGAAAAATGTAGGGAAGGGTTTCGGGTTTCCAAAATTTTTCTTGGATCGGGTTGGGAAAAAAAGGCCGGGTATCAGGTTTTGGGCACCCCTGTCATCCCTGCAACACCTATAGTATAATACTTATCTAAAAATCATCCACCCATATTTAGTCCACAATTAATTTAAAAAAAATACCCAAGACACTTTTTTTAAATAAATAAATATTACTTTTTAAAAGGCCCCCCAAAATTATATTATAATTATTAAAATAAAACTATAGTTTCCATTCTCATTCAATCACAGCTCAGTTTTTTGTAAAAGAGAATAACGCTTCTCTGAAGGTTTCAATTCTTTAAATATTGAAGGTACTGGTGTTGTGTCTTTTGGCATTATTGAAGGGGGTTTAGCACCACCGCCGCCATCTCCCTCGCTTGGAGGACTTCCAAAATCATCGTTAAGCTGTTCAAGTGCTTTCTTTTGAATTTCGGCAATTTTTTCATCTAAAGTCTCATGGAATTTTTTGTGAAGTTCGCCAGAATGTAAATCCATAATAAACTAGAAAAAAGAAAAAAATACACATCTTATTAAGAGAAAAACTAGTACGGCAAATGCCTTTTTTTGGTACTGATAAGTAACTAAATTACTAAATCCTGTCGGCACGTTTAGAGTAGAAAGCAGAGACCGGTCGGAATTCTCGAAAGTTTACTATTAGGGTTGGGGGCCCGGTCCGGCTCGAAAGATAGAGTCGGCATCGCATTTTGGCCCGATAAAGACTCGGCCGGGCCGGCCCGAAAAAAATGACTCGAACGTCGGCCCGACTCGAAAACCCCAACCCTATTTCCGACTTTTAAGTCATTTCCGACCGAACCCCCTCTGGAAAGTGCCTATCCGATAGTTTCGGTGGTACCGGAAAGTATCGATCCGGTGCCGAATAACTAACAAAGGGCTGAAACTACTAGTAGTAAAAATGCAAAAAAACCTGTCTTAATTTGCCAGGCTCATGTAATTCATGCATATTCTCAAACAAAAACATACTTAAAAATTGAAAAAAGAATTTTAAAAAATTTTATAAAATTTCACAAACTGTTGGAAAGAGTCAATAGCAAGAACTGGCAAATCTTTAGAAGTTTTACCCATATGTTTGAGAGGATGAGCAAATTTAAAACCTAAAATAAAAAGAATAATTAAAAAAAAATTAAAAAATAAAAACCATCAGCAAGTAAAGCATTAACTGCAGTCTTTTGGTCATGCAATTCACGAGCAACCTAGAATTAAAAATATTACAGAAAATTGAAAAAGGCTTTGAAGAATTTTTGGGTAATGTTGCAGACTATTTTAGAGAGGTTAAAAAATAGACGAAAATCTAGGCAATTTTATAGCATCTTAATCCAAAATTTTTAGTTTCTTGCTGATTCATCCTTAAAACATTTCCTTTGATTTTTTTCCATTTCGGAAGTGCCCCTCTACTTGAGCACACACTTGTATCAGGGATGCACTGGGCTATCGGAAATCTGGACTTTTTTTTGACCTAAAACCCGATCCGAAAGACATCCCTGACTTGTACTCAAATAAAATCTCAAACCGTTTCAGTAAACATTTTATCCTGTTCTCGATCATTTGGATCACGAAAGAGTATAAGAAAAGGCAATCCTTCTTCAGTTAATTCTTCAACATTTTCAAAAGTAACTTCTCTAACAAGAGGTATACATTTGTCAGTCAACCAGTGTTTGACAAACTCATAATCGGCAAAATTTCCAATGAACTGAAAAATTGCAAAAAATTCTCAAAAAATTTCTTAAAAAATCAAAAAAACCTTTTGCTCGTCTTGTGTTGTAGGATCACGAAAAGACATCATATTTTCTTTTATGGCTGTCAAAGCAGCGTCTCTACCAACCCAAAAGGCACAATCATCGCGTAAAAGGGCAGCAATTTTCTTTAAAATTTTTTTTGAATTTTTTTAATTTGAAAAAAACCTGAAAATTTTGATATTCAACACAATCTCTACAATGGAAGTAAGCAATAATATTTCTCTTTTCTGATTTAATTGCACCATTGAGGTATTCCAATGTAAAGAATTCGTTTATGCTGACTTGGAGTTGTTTTTGAACAAATTCGGTTAATGCCTCAACGGATCTTGTACTCCTAAAATTTTATAAATAACATGATATCTGGATTGATAAAACAGGTTTTCTGAGTTTTTCTGAAGTCGAGGCTAAAGGTAGCTGACCCAGGTCACAACCAAATAAAATTTTTTCTTAAAAATACTGATGTGAACTAGGGTAACTATTTCTGACCGAAGCCTATGAGACTGTGTAGTTTCAGGTTTCGATAAGGTAGTTTCAGGTTTTAGAGTTCCGGTAAAAATCCCCCCTAATAAAACTAGTATTTGTTCCCTAATCCCAATAAAGCTAAAAATTTAAAAAAATTCCAAACCTATATTCATTTTTGATAAGTTCGCCATTAATAAAAACCTTAAGGAATAAAACATAAATAATCACAAAAATTTAAATTACCTTCATTGTTGGATATTTGTTAACAAAATATTTATCAGCAACATCAGCCTGTGCAACACTATCAACTAAAGCCCATACAACACTACTAAAAATTTAAAAAATTAAATAAATTTTTGAAAACCAAAAATTACCAAATTATTTTTTCCAATTTTTAAAACAAATTTAACTCTTATATATCCCTAACCCCTTTCTTCAGGGGGTTAGTCGGCGTTGGGCCCCAAGAGTGGTAACCCACCCTTGGGGCGCGCCGATCCACCTATTAAAAACGAAGGCCTTCTTTTTAACCTTTTTATTCAACAAATATAATTAATAAATAAAAGGGGGAGAGGACAGGCCAACTTTTGATCGGGCCCAAAACTAATTAATGAGTGAATAAGTTGATTTGGCCTATTCTCTCTCGCCTTTTATGAGGCGCTAAAATGGGCGTTTCATAAATTTAACTATGACATTCTATACGCGGGGGTGGGGGATACAATAGAAAAAGCGGATAAATAAAAGTGCGGAAAATGTGAAATGAAATTCTGTTTTCTTTATCTGAATAATCTATCTTTCTGTATGTGCCGTTTCTTTCTGGTACAATGTGCTTCTCAATATTTTGTCATCCACATTCTTCGCTTCCATTCTTTTAGCAATCAAATCTATCCCGCGCAAAACATCATTTCACCTCAACAGATTCCTGCACTTGTATGTATTAGATCAAGAAAATTTGGGCAAAAACGGAAAAATTATGTATATGTAAACGGAGCGCCAATCCAAGAAAATGTCAAACAATAAACGCCAAAATCCACTTTCTCTTCCTCTCCTGGGGGGTCAGCAAATAAATTTATTTCGAAAAATGAATCCCGTCGCCAAATGTTTTTTAATACTCCTCAAAATCTGTTCCGTCCGTTGGCCAGTTCTGATATCCTTGATCCTGACAACATTCCTCTCCCCAGTATTCACTACTCTCATGTGGAAACCATTGGCCTTCAACGTCATAATATTGGTCATTATAGTATAGGTCAAAATTTGGGTCAATCTGTTCATCATCCCAATTTTTATCATCCTCTTCCCAATTCTCACTACATCTGGTTGGCTCGTGGAATTGCTCCTCATAGTAATATTGGTCATAGTTTTCGTATGGATCCCTTACCTCATTAACCTCCGCTAGCGCCGCCTTAACTTCTATTTTCTCCAGTCTTTTTCTCGTCTCATCTTTAATTGTCCGATTTAATTCATCAACCCTTTTTGCCTGCGCTATTGCTTCTGCCAATGAAGAGGGCGCATTCATAAAAATAACCTTTTCCCTAAGTTCAGGTAACATTCCGGCTTTAAATCTCTCCATACAAATCTCCTCTTTAAACCTTTTGACCATTTTTTCATTTTCCCCCTTCAAGCCTGTCCTTTGCTCGTCATCTAACTTAATTGAAGAAAGATCCATTCCAAACGCATTCTCAGGATAAGCCGCTTCTACTAGATATATTAAATCCCTTGCAAATTCTTCTAATCCTTCGTTCATTTCCTGTCTCCTTTCCACCAATTTTTTGCGTGCGCTTTCCTTATTTGATATCTTTTTTAGCCTCCCTGCCAAGCTTTCTACAAGTGTCTTCCACCGCGATTTTTCATCCACGGGCATTGATTCGTAAATCGCAAGTGCAGACCCTTGTAGATAAAGCGGTAAAATCTGCGTGCATCTCGAGGGAGTCCAATTGTGTGCCGTTGCTATTCGGTTGAAAGTCCTTAGATAACTCAAAAAATCTCCATTGCCATTAAAGAAGGTAGGGTATGGAAGTCCACTTGAGCTCGTACCAATAGTATTATCCCCTTTATCCTTTGTATTATCCACTTCCAATCCTGAAATGTCCTCTTCTTTCATCACAAGCCTCTATTAATTCTTTAGTCAGTCTTTGTCCGGACTTGATTTATTTTATAATTTTTTTTCCAATTTTATTCCAATGCTCGACTTTTCCTAACACTTCAAATAATGTTTCCTCTTTTAGCTAGCTTTTTGCCCACAGTAGGGGAACTAGAAGCGATCCTGCAGTGATACGCCCCTAATCTGTTAGGAAACGATTCGAGCTCTTATTTCCCAATTTATTTTTATCCACGTGCACGTTTTTTTCTAAGCTTTGATTCCAAGACTGGCTATAAAATTTCACTAGAGGCCTGTTTCAAGAGATTATATCCAGAATTTTCCAGGATCTTTGTCCTTTATCCTTCCCAACCTTTATCCTTCTCTCACTTCAAATGCTACTGACTTAACAATCAACCCAAACTAAAATCTTCCGCTCCAATTGAACTCCTTCGCTTTAGCCTTTTCCCTCTTATCTTTATTGGTATTATCCTCAGAATATCCCTTATGTGTTTATCTTCCTTCTGCTCCTTTTGTTCCCTCCGTGTATCTTTTGAATGAATCCGTCTGTGTGAAAAAATCCTTGTGTATCCTTGATGAATGAATCCGTTTGAAAATTCCCTCGCTCCTATTCGACTCTTCAGTAATCAAATGTGAGCCAAATTGGTAGATTTTTAAACTCCTTTTTATATTAATTTCTCCCTTTCGGTCACGCCTAAAACTTGCTCGCGCAAAATTTCTTTGTTGTAATGTCACAAGAGATAGCTGTAATTCTTGTGATAAGAAATTTTGGCGTTTCCCAAATTCTTTCCTATTTGCCCACTTCCGGCCAATTTGCGCGTTGCTGCAAATAAAGGAGTCCAAAAAAAACTAGTTTAATAAATAAGAAATATTTTTCCGCTCGCCAAAATTAAGTTGATTGATGGGTTGAAGAAATAATTTTTTTAAATAAATATTTTTGGAATATTTTTAGAAATATTTTTTGGGTGGATTAGGAATTTTTTTTTTAGGTGGAGAATTACAGGAGCGCCATCTTATATATCCCTAACCCCTTTCTTCAGGGGGTTAGTCGGCGTTGGGCCCCAAGAGTGGTAACCCACCCTTGGGGCGCGCCGATCCACCTATTAAAAACGAAGGCCTTCTTTTTAACCTTTTTATTCAACAAATATAATTAATAAATAAAAGGGGGAGAGGACAGGCCAACTTTTGATCGGGCCCAAAACTAATTAATGAGTGAATAAGTTGATTTGGCCTATTCTCTCTCGCCTTTTATGAGGCGCTAAAATGGGCGTTTCATAAATTTAACTATGACATTAACCTTTCATCCTCAATTTTTAAAAAATTCTTGAGCGTTCTTCGCTTATATTTTCGACTGTAAAATGCTTCCAAAAATTTCTTATTTTCTTTTTAACCTTTTATTTTTTTTCATCCAGTAAAGTATTCATTTAAGTAAAATTTTGAAAAATTATCCCAAAAACTTTTTAGAATTTATCCACAATTTATATTTTATAACCTATTTGGATTGTCATCGTGCCATTTAACCGCAGCTTCCTCAAAAATTGGTTTCAATCGTCTACTAAAAGGACACCAATCTGCACAAAACGCAACAAAAACAATCTAAAAAAATAATAAAAAAAAATATAATTTAACAGGGAAAGATTGGTAAAATAATCAAAAAGGAAAATAAATTGAAGAAAAATGGAAAGAAAAAAGATAAACACTGAAAGGACTCGAACCTTCATCACCCAGTGGGTGCAGTCGGAAACGATACCAATACACCAACAAGACGACCATTAGCTATCTCATTAAAATTAATTACATGAGAGAGAGAATTAGCGATCAAACGCTAACAAGGAAAGTTTCAGCCCACCCGTGCCTCTTATCTTCCCCCAACCTTATCAATTTATCAGTCCCCTTTATGTAAAAGAATAAAGCCACAACAAACCTGAGCACTCCTCAAAACCAATTCCAAATTTTGCATATTTAATTCGGTAACGCCAACTTTGTGCTGAGTTGGAACGGCGCTAGGCATAGAGGCTTGACCTGCATCTTGTTGTAATGTTTGGTAAATAAATAAAGAGGTGAAGAAGAATAAAATTGGAATAGAATTGTGAAGAGAAAAAATATATTTATTGGCTTTAGCCAAAATTAAAGCCATATTTTCTAATATTTATTTTTAATTAACTTAAAAAAGCTAGAAAATTAAAAGAAAAATTAGAGCGAATTTTATTTACTTAATTCACCCCAAGTAACGATCGAATTAAATAAAAGGTAGCTGAACTAATTAAATTAACTTTTCTAACAAGAAATGCACATTTCCGCATTTTCCTGCTAATTAATTTGATTAGAGATTTTTCGAATTTTAGATATTTTGATATTTTCCGGAATGTTTATTTATAATACTAAAAGACAAAATGGTCAGAAAAGAAGAGGGAGACAAAATGAATCAGAACAAAATAATACATATAAGTTAGAATAACTATTAAAAAATCAGAATTTCTGTCAGAATAATTTAAAAAAAATCAGAATTTTTACCAGAAATGTTCTGAAAAAATCAGAATTTATGTCAGAATTAATTTAAAAAATCAGAACTAATCAGAATTAATTTATAAAAATCAGAATTTATGTCAGAATTATTTTCAGAATCCTTTTTAAAAAATCAGAATTTATGTCAGAATTATTTTTAAAAAATCAGAACTAATCAGAGTTGATGCTTAAAAAGTCAGAATTATTCCCCAGAATTAATTATTAAAAATCAGAATATTCATCAGAATAATTAAAAACAACCTGTTTTACTTAGTGTTAAATTTAACTAAAAATTAAATTCAATATTTAATTGAGATATATTTATTAATTAAAAAAAGGGGGAATATGTAATGTTTCTCTCCATTTATTCATTCGTGTTTTAAATTTTTTTTATTGAAAAAATTTAATGATTGGCTTGTGTAAACAAAATTGTAAAGTTTAAAAATGACAACAATATATATATATGTATATTATTAATATATTTTTTTTTTAATTATTGAATTTTTTGCTAGCTTAAAAATTTTTTTATTTTAATTTATACCATTTAATATGATTAAAAATTAATTTTCAGTAAAATGTTGGATATTTTATTTTATTTTATTTTTTCAAGTCTCTATAATTTTAAATATAATTTTTAATTTTTCTAATAAATTTCAATATCTTTAAAAAATTATTTAAAAAATTTTTTAACAAAAAATAAAATTACAGTAAAATTTATAAGCTAAAAAAACGTTGATAAACACATATTTGCAGGCGAGGGGATTCGAACCCACACCAAAATCATCTGCAGTCGAAGACGTTATCCACTACACCATAACAGTTCTTGCATGATCTCTAAATTAAAATATGATGTATTCAACAGGAAAATACCTAATTTTTTAAATCCTTAACGGACTTTTATTTTGCAAAATTTTTACTCCAAAGTATCTATGTATTTTAAAAATTTTTATTTAATTTTTTAATTAAAAATTGACTTTAAATAATTAATTCAAATAAAATAATTCATTAAATGTCTCCATTTTATCTAAAAAAAATTGCGTGGAAATTAATTAGTATAAAATTAAAGAGATTTTTTATTCTCTATGGATTTGTGAAAATTAAAGATTAAAATAGAACAATAAAAAAGGAAATAATAATAAATTTAAATATAAATATACAGTTTCCGACAAAAAAGGCTATTTAATATTAATTTAAAATAACCACCCTTATTTTTAGTCTTGTACTTGATAGCTTTTTACTTTGTCGACTTGGAAACGTGGAAAATTTTCTAAATCATTTTCTGTGGCAAAGACATTCAAGACCCATTATACGTTGTAGGATGGGTCCTTCCAAACATTAACGGTAGGCGGATCCGGAAAGGATCCCATCCCTCTTACGTTAATACATATGTAGCTCCAATGGGGGCCATCTAAAATTAAAATGCGAGACATCTCACTAAATCAAGACACTCTCTTCCATCTTTTTAAAGATAAAAAATTAAATAAATTACTAAACAAGAATGAATCTTTTTCTATTTGACCCCCATGGCTATGAGAAGCTCTACAACTGCAGTGCTTATAAAGTAGAGGATGTTCCTATTGAGAAAAGGCAGGATATTGGTATTTTAAAAATTAATTTTTTAAAATTTTATGTAAATTTAAACAGTTTGGGGACTCATTTTTGTCATTATGTTTGTTTTATATGAGGTAATAATTTTATTTTTTATTTTTTTATCAAAGATCTACGCCTGAACACTGTCTTATTTTCCACAAAAAATTAAATTTTAAGTTGATAAATTAAAAAGTAAACTATAGACTATTCGATGCGCCTCGACGAGCTGAGTACAATGAAAAAAGTTTGAGCTCGATCGGACAATTTTGGACAAAGTTATGATCATTTAAATATTAAATAGCCTGAGGGAATTTTCTTCTGCTATTCTGATTTTCCTATTTTTTATTCTGTCTAAGTCATAAACAGAATATTCCTTCTGATGTTCTGATTTTTTAACTTTTTATTCTGATTTTTATTCTGAATAATTCTGATTTTTCAGCTTCTTTATCTCCCTTGTATCTACTCAATAACAAAACATTTAGACCAGGCTTGTTATAAATTTATGCTTTTTATTGGAATTGTTGACATTATATGTCTACCAGTCTGTGCGTTAATTCATGGATATTTTGCTATTACAGGGTGGATTAATTAATTTTAAATAACAGAATTCTGATTTTTTTTAAATCTGTGTTCTGTTTTCTGATATTTTCTAATTCTTTAATTCTGATTTTTTAATTCTGATTTTTTATTCTGATTAATTAATTCTGATTTTTATTCTGGTTAATTAATTCTGATTTTTATTCTGATTTTATTCTTGTTAATTAATTCTGATTTTTTAATTCTGTTTTTTCCATTCTAATTTTTAATTCTGATTTTCTATTCTGATTTTTATTCTGGTTTTTTAATTCTGATTTTTATTCTGGTTTTTATTCTGGTTTTTTAATTCTGATTTTTATTCTGATTTTATTCTTGTTAATTAATTCTGATTTTTTAATTCTGTTTTTTCCATTCTAATTTTTAATTCTGATTTTCTATTCTGATTTTTATTCTGGTTTTTTAATTCTGATTTTTATTCTGGTTAATTAATTCTGATCTTTATTCTGATTTTTAATTCTGGTTTTTTAATTCTGATTTTTAATTCTGATTTTTTAATTCTGAATTCTTAATTCTGATTTTTATTCTGATTTTTATTCCGTTTTTTAATTCTGATTTTCCATTCTGATTTTTAATTCTGATTTTTTTCTTAACAACCATACATATCATAAATAGTTAAAACCACAATATTTTTTCCTATCATTTTCAGTGCTGTTTTCTGTTCCCATCCAACATTTATTTACTTGGCTGGAAGCTTTGGATTTTGTAATTAAAATTTTAAAAAATTCAAAAAAAATTTATTTTCAAGTTTTTTGGGTTATTGAAAGCAGCGGAGATATTATTTTAGCAGTTAATCGTTGTGTAGAAGTAATTAGTCCAGTATGGGGGGAGAGGCTTTACAACGGGAAGAGGGCCTGGTTGTGGATGTTGCCCCCAATGATTTATGGGGTAAATTTTTGAAATTGAAAAAAATTTCAAAAAAAAACTATTTTTCTAGCTATATGTTCTTTTCTATACCAAACCTATTTTATTTTCTGGAATTTATTTTGCTTGGTTTTTTAATCCTCATGGTAAATAATTAAAAATTAAATTTCTGAAAATTTTTTAAAATTATTAAGTTGGATATATTGATGACTTTGGGCTTGTGGTAATAATAATTATTATTTTTAATTAATACCCTCTCTAATAGAAAGGACGCCTTAAAAGTTCAGGAGAAAAATAAGCGGCATAGGCATCTATTAGAGAGAATATACCCCCTCTCTAATATAAAGGACACCTTAAAAGCTCAAAAGAAAAATAAACTGCATAGGCGTCTATTAGAGAGAATTTTACAAAATAAAAATTTTAAAATTAATTTTTAAAGTATAACAACCCAATACAAACATTTCACAACTGGCTAGTAACCTTCGGCCTGTCATCCTCCTATATTGTTTTCACCACTGTATTTTTTATTCGCGCAACTCGTGGTAACAATAGAACCTCTCTCGCACAAAAAATGGTTTAAAAAATAAAAAAAAATATTTTAAAAATTTTTAAAAAATTTTAAAGTCATTCCTTCAAGTTTTGGCTATTTCCATTGTAAATATTGCTACTGGACTTATTTATATTTATATGCAGGTAAATAATGAGGAGAGGAAAGGGGAAGGTAGAAGGGATTAACGACTAGTCAAAAATTAATAAAATAGCTAAATTTAGGCCTAGAGCCTTGAAATTTTGCACAGTCGTCCTTAATAGTCTTATCCAACTTATCCAAAAATTTCAGAATTTTAGGTTCAGAATTTCAGAATTTACGGCCAAAAATGTCAGAATTTTCACTATTTTCCTGCATTATTGACCAGAACTTCTGAAATTCTGGCCCAAAAATTCTGAAATTTTTAAGGAGGTTAGATAAGTCTGTTAACGACATCCACACAAAATTTCATATCTCTAGGTCTCAATTTGGTAAAAATAAAAATTTTTTAGTTCTTTCGTATAAGCGAAGCTATCATCTACATAGCCTCCTTCTTGTGGGTCACAGCACACGGACTTCCATCTTTAATTTATCTTTTTATGAATAAAACAATAAGAAACGACTCTTTCGCTTTATTTGGCTATGTTCCAGCACAACAATTAAGTGTTGGACACTTTGCTGGGACAAAAACTGCTGGGGCAAAAACTGGGCATTTGTCTACTACAACTAAAATTGCCCCCAAAAATAATATGGCAAATATTAATATACACTAAAAATTTTTTTAAATTTTACATTCGATCTCAATTTGAATCAAAAATATCCGAATAAATTTTGATTGTTTATTGAAGTAAATTGGCAAAGATTAAAAATTTAATTTAAAGCTTGTATGTTCCCTTCAGCCAAGTAGTAGGCTGGAGGGAACAATAGGAGCTTCTTTTAAAAGATATGAGGAAGTCTTTATTTAAAAGACTAAATTTGGCAAAGATGAAAAATTCAATTATAAATAGCCGGAAGGCTTAATCGGATGTTCCCTTCAGCCTAGTAGTAGGCTGAAGGGAACAAAAATTTTTTTCGCTTAAAATGTTCCCTTCAGACTAGTAGTAGGCTGGAAGGAACAAAAAAATTTTTTTTAAATGTTCCCTTCACCCTAGTAGTAGGCTGGAAGCACCAAAAAAATTTTCCCTTAAAATGTTCCCTTCAGCCTAGTGGTAGGCTGAAGGGAACAAAAAATTTTTTATTTCTTAAAAGGATGGATTATCAAACACTTCAAGCAACTAAAAGCTTATTTAAGAAAAATCTACATCCTTTCCTTATCATCCTTTCACAAAAAAAAATCAAAAATAGTCAAGACTAAAAAATAAATTAAATCATGTGAATGCTTTAATCACCACTATTTTTAAAATTTAATTTAAGTTAAAAATTCATTTGTTAAAAAATTTTTTATCACCAAATTATACACGAAATTCATTTCTAATTTAATAAACAAACAAACAATTTTCTTTCTAAATTTATTTTTCTTATCAGTAAAATTTTTTCCCTTGACTTAAAATTAATTTCCCTATTAAATTTCTGATTTTAGAACGTTAAAAAAATTTTTTTTAATTTTTTAAAATTTCTTTTAAATTTTTTAAAATTAATTTTACCCTTAAAATAAATTCCTAATTAATTCTGAAATTAAAATAAAATTTAAAAAATGCGTCTTATTCATTTAATCATTTTAATTATTCTATTAATGTCTATTTGTTCAATGTCTGGACAAACTTCTGCTGAGGACGGGTCACTTTTGAAAAAAATTTTTTCAATGTGAAAATAAAAAAATTCTCCATTTTAGCACCCTTTCACGAGTTAAGCGTTTCAAAAAATGGAAAAAACGTTCTTCCTCCTTCTCCTCTTCAAGCAGCCAGCGTGGGTATTATGGACGACGTCACGGCTATGGGCACGGATATGGAGGGGGATATGGTAATGGATATGGCAATCATTATGGATATAAAAAGAGAGGAATGCTTGAACGAGTAGTGGACAAAATAACTGGAAGAAGACATTATTGAAGCAATAAAAATTAAAAAATTTAAAATATTGATAAACCGCCGGTAGGGGTCAACTGACTTTCAGAACCTATAACTTCTGAAGGAATAAATATTTTTTGACAATTTTGGTACCATTCGATAGAGAATTAAATTTGCTACAAAATAAGCCTAGAAATAAAAATTTAGGTTGTCTTTTGGAAAAGTTATGGACGAAAAACTTGTTAAAACTTGAGCATATTTTATAGGAGTAGGCTAGTTTTTGGACATAAAACTTCTCTAGAATCTTTTAAAAATTTTTATTTTCGATCTATTTTGTAGCAAATTTAATCCTCTATCGAATGGTATTAAAAGAATTTTGAAAGATTCAGTCTTTTAAGAATTATGGCTCCTGGAAGTTTGAAGGTTCTCGACTTCAATTGTCCCCACATTTTTTAAAATTAATTATAAATTCTTGAAAATAAAATAATTAAATTTAAATAGAAAAATATTTCTAAAAGCATTTAAATTTAATTTAAATAAAAAAAATTTTATTCTTTAATTTTTGAATTTTGTTGGCAAATAAATACAAAAGCGGTAGAGAGTTTTTTAGAGGGAGAGATAAACACCAAACAAAATAAAAATTATTTTTGCCTTTATTATCGTCATTTTTAGATTTTTTCAGAGATTTGCACAGTTGACTCTCGCTAAAGAATATTAAGAAATAGAGAAATTATTTGAGTAATAATTCTAAAAAAAATTTTTTTGGGAGAAAAAACTGTCAGGGGAGAGAGATTGTTGCTCAATTTATCTCCAAAAATCAGAAAAAAAATAAAAATTCCAAATCAATTTCCAATTAAAAAATAAATTAATTACCCTTCTAAAAATGCTAATTAGAATATTATTAATATTTAATTTTGTTTCGATCAGCCACTCGACTTATGGCTATGGAGCAAATTATTGGCCAAAAACTCAAGTAGAATTTTTAAAATAAATTACAAATTAATTAAGAGAAAAATTTAATCAGAAAATCTTTCAAAATTAATATAAAATATACACAAAATTGTAATATACAATAAAGCTCAATATAGGAGACTTGGAGTACTTTGTTCAATTATCCCACCCAGGGATAATTGTCCCACCCAGACTTCATCCATAAGGGTCTCTTATATGGGGAGTCTCTTATGGCGAGAGTCTCATTTCGTCAATAAATAAGAGAAGTCGCTTATATCGGGAGTCCATTTTTACGGCACATTATAGTCTCTTATATCGAGAGTCTCATCTTGACATTATATAGAAAAGTCGCTTTTATCGAGCTTTTACAAAAAATATTTTTAATCAAAAGGTATATCCCCTGGCAAAAGCAAACAATCAACCAGACGATTATTGGGACGAATTTGAAGAAAATCAGAACGAATTTGGCGATTACGGATTAGAAAAATTATTTGAAGATGAGTACGGAAGGGAAGAAAGAATAGAAGAAAATCCAAAAGCAAAATTTTGGAGTGAAGCTGTTGGGCCTTTTTTGTATACTTTTGATAATAAAATGAGTGAAAGAAGTGGAGGAAATGTATGGAATAAAGCTTTGGAAAAAATTAATTTGTTAAGAAGGCAAAAATTGGGAAATTCTTTTGGTCGATTGGTGAGAGAATTAAATCAGAATTTAAATCAGAAAAATCAGAATCAGAATTTAAAAATCAGAATTTAAATCAGAATTTAAAAAATCAGAATTTAAAAAATCAGAATTTAAATCAGAATTTAAAAAATCAGAATTTAAATCAGAATTTAAAAAATCAGAATTTAAATCAGAATTTAAAAAATCAGAATTTAAATCAGAAAAATCAGAATTTAAATCAGAAAAATCAGAATTTAAAAATCAGAATTCTTCTTCTAAAAAGAATTCTGTTTCTATATAATCAGAATTTATTTCTAAAAAATATCAGAACTCAAAAATATTAATTCTGAAATTTGAAAAACTCTGGAATATTAAAATAAGAATTAAGCAAAATTCTGAAATACGTAGACTAGAAGACCAGAATTCTGAAATATTTAAATCAGAATTTAACCAGAAATTCTAAAAAATAAAAATCAGAATTTAACCAGAATTTTGACCAGAATTCTTCAATATTTAAAATCAGAATTAAACCAAAATTCTGAAAAAAACAGAATTTATAAGAGAATTAATTAAAATTCTAATTTAACAGTCATGGGATGATCAACTAGCCAAAAGCTTATCAAAAAAAGATTATAACCAAATGAAGCCTCTAGCTATACCAATAACTAATCCTTCTGATGGGATTGCTTCAAATCTTCAATTTGGAATGGAAAGTTTATTTCAGGCAGTAATTCGGCGTTATTTACAATGCGAGAAGACTGGAAATTGCCGTGTTCTACAAAATTCGAAATATAGAATTCCTATTGAGGTAACATGCAAACAAACATTGTCGATGATATAATCCCCTACCCTCCCTCCCCCAACACCTCTTTTTAAGATAAGAGTTTTTTAAATATGGTTGGTCACTCTCTGGATAGGCGATACCCCTTATTATAAGGTAACGACGATTTATTCAGCTCTAAGGGGATATCATATAATGAGGACAGAACGATATTAAACTCGAAAAGGTCAGAATCGAGGAAAATTAAAAAAAAAATTTCAGCTTGTCGACTCCAGAGCAAGAAGAATAGGTTGCGTAGCTAGGGTATTCAAAAGGAGGGGAATGAGAAAATTGGAATTTGATGCTGTCTGTACTAGGTAAGGATTGAAAAATTAAAAAGTGAAAAAAATTTTTTCAAGTGGAAGTCAAAGAAACGGCCAAAATTTATTTAAAATCAGTCAAATCCAAAATTCACGTCTTCGCCAAAAATTAATATCTGAGGCGAAAAATACAGAAAATGATGGATATGGAAGTATTGAAGATAAATGGAATAATAAAAATAATGGATGGAGTGAAGAAAGGCAATGGGGAGATGAAGAAAATGAGAGGGATATAGAGGAGGAGGATAATGATGGTTTTAATGGGAGAAATGAGAAAAATGTAGATGATAATTTTAGAAGGAGGAACAGACCCAGTAGAGATGTAAGGAATAAAATAAATTTTTATGAGGATCGGGCCGGCAAGGCCTGGGAGGCTCCGGGAGGTTACTTCTTGGCTAGAAGGCATTCCTCCATACCTCCCCCCGTATCAGAATAACCTCCCCACCACCTAAGCGATAATTTGGGAGGCTCCGAGAGGTACTTCTTGACTAGAAGGCATTCATCAACAACCTCCCCCGGATCCGAATAACCTCCCCACCACCTAAGCGATAATTAACATAACCGAGAGCCTCATTTTATGATCCAATTTATGATCCCATATGGACCACAGGGAATCCTTCCAAACCCGTCCATTCCTTTGAGATGACGTTTTATCCGGATTCAGAAATTTAGTAATTAAAAATCTATTTAAAATTCTTTCTAGATTGATCTAAAAATAAAAGCAGAGAGAGGCGATATATTGGAAGCTCGAGTTGATGCTATAATAAATCCAACAAGGCCATCCCTCTCCGTTGGTCGGTTATTTAAAATCCCTTTTTTATCAAAAAATTTCTTTCCTATCAGAACCCTTAAATGGTGACGAAGCAATACCTAAAGTTTTACGTGCAAAGTCACTCTTTGATGTTGTCGACGTAAAAGATAAGGATAGTTTGGATAAGAAGAGATTGCTCAGAGCTTTGACTAAATTGGCAAACATGGTTGAGCCAGCAAATAATTTGAGACAGAAGGAACGGGCGACACAGGCCAAAAAAAGTAGGGGAAATTTTTAAAAAATAAAGCGAGTTGGGGGATTTTTTGAGGGGAAGGGGAGTTTATGCTTGCTGATCCTTGGGTATATCACTTAAATGACCAATATCGTGGGTGGGGTTTCTTGATAATATTGGAGCAATCCCGATATAAGCCCAATTAAATAAGTCCCTTATAATGAAAGTCCCCTTATAATGAACGTCTCTTATAATGAAAATTCCTTATAATCTATTGATAAGTTATCAAATTATCACCTAACCACCGATAAAAATTTTTCCCCTAAAGAAATACAGCAGTGGCAACAAATGGTAAATGATGACCAAAAATGGGGGGAATTATTGGAGGAAGCAGAAAATCTCCCAATGGATGGATATAATAGAGGATTAGAATCAAGTGTTAGTGAAAGAATTGTTCGAAATGCGGGCCCAGTTCTAGCTAAAAAATTGGAGCAAATAGCAAAAGAAAAGGGAGGATTGCCTGTAGGGGATGCTTTTGCTACTGAAAGTTTTCAAATTGGACGTTATTATTTTGCTAAAAGTAATTAAGAAAAAAAATACAAAAACACAAAATACAAAAACACAAAACCGATTGTATTTGAGGGCTGACTCCGATACGAGCGATATTTCTGTTATTCGAAAGAAGGTACACTAGGAAGTGCCATTGGCCTGCTCCACACATATATGAGCCAAGATACAGGCCCTCTAAAATAAAAAATCATAAGGGGAACCGACTCAGAACGAGAGATCTTTCGACAGGCATACCGTATATCCTGTAATAACTACCCTGGGTAATTATTATTTCGACCTTCCGCTGGAAGTAATTAATCGAGGGAGGGTAATTATACGAGGTTTAAAATTTGAACATGTTTTAGGGGATTTGTTCGGGGGTAATTATTGTTTCAATCTATCGCTGGATGGGGTAATTGATAGAAGTTGGGTAATTATTTGAGGGATGGCAATTAATACAAGTTATACGGCATACAAAGATTAACCGTATCGGAGTCTTGGCCCTCAATACAATTTTTCCCAAAAAACAACAAAAAACAAAAATACAAACACATAAAATACGAAAAATACAAATCCCTTTTTTACAGAAATCATCCACACAGTACCCCCTGTAGTGCTTCAAACACAGGAGGATAAAGAAAAACTCGCCGAGTGTTACAAGAGAACATTAAATTTGGCTGTGGAATTAGAAATGCAGAAACTTGTAGGAAAAAATTTTTAAAATAAAAAAATAAATTTTTAAAGGCTTTTCCGGAAATGTTATCGCCTAGAGCCGATGAAGATTCGCGCAGAGATGCCGTAAATATTGGGCTAGAAACAATTAAAAAATGGACAGAGAAGAATAAAGACAAGGCGAAAAAGGTAGCGGGGACCAAAGTTAACGGGGACAGTTGGTTGTGCCTCAAGGATGGGGGCACAGCTGTCCTTCGATCCAGGGCCCCTTCTCTCCAAACTACGGCCTAATCCGTTCGGCCATCCAACCACCCATCGGCTGCTGCAAATTTGCTGTTGTTATTTTCAGCCGATGCCCATTTCCTTGTTCTTTACACTTTTCTTTCCTATCACTGACTAGATAGTCGCGGCAGATCTATTCCATCTTCCTTTTAAAAGCCCACTAATAAGTCAGATCTCAAAATAACCTAAAATAACCTACTAAAATCAAGCCTTATAATGAAGTGTATATTAAATAGTGGTGAAATTTGGGTTGTGTTATAGTGAGGCTTATTGGGGGATAGAGCCATTAATTCACTCAAAAATCACAAAAATTAAACTCTAAAAAATTTCTTTTCAGATCAAATCAATCATTTTTCGTGTGGAGCAAACAATGCTTGGTTTCTATTCGGAAAGAATTAAACAAATATTTGGGCAATAAATTTATTAAATTTTTTAAATTTAATTTTATGCATATTGCATATACCGTAAATTTTTGATATCAATTAAATTTTTTATTCGGTTTGAAAATCTATAGCAAGGCTCGAATCTCTTTAAAAATCCGCAAGTTTGAGCTAAAGTTGCCGCATTTTATATCAAAAATCACACTCTTTGTATTTTGTTAAAGAGAGAAAGCCAAAAAATTATCTTTTTTTTTGCGCAGCAGGCAAAAATTTTGAGGATTTCTGGGGGTACCTTTTAATATATCCACCCAATTCCCACACCAAAAAATCTATATGATTTTATCGAGGTAAAAAATTTTTTAAAAAAATACTCACGTAACACAAGCCTCTTTTAATCTTTCTATCCTAATTATAACAATTATTCTTCAACAATATATTTCTTCTCTTCCTTCTTATTTCTTGCCTTCTTCCTCAATATATTTTATCAGATCCGCACGCTCATCAGCCTTCTTCAGCCCAGCAAATATCTTTAAAATTTAGAGTTAAAATAAATTATTTAAAAAATAAATTCCATTTTAACGAGGGAACGGGTATATAGGAACGGGTACTGCCAAAAAAACCGCCCCGAAATAACAAAATGTGATTTAGAAAAAAATAAATTTTTCACTTTAATGGAGCAACCTTCACCTTAGGTGAGACAACCCTCTAAATTCGGGTATTTTGCAGGTTTTTGGGGTTTGGTATTACGGCGTTTGGTATTATTGGCAGCTCCCCAAAAAGAACATCGTTTACTAGTACAACAAATTTGTATTGATCCTTGATACTAATCTATAGAGACCCTAGATTGCCTATTGTGAAGTTAATGCCCTTTTTGGTTAGGGCCATCCAAAGATTTGGTTTTTAGGGGCATTTACGGAAGAACCCCCAGAAAATCCTAATTAAACATTTAAAATAAACTAACCATCTTAGTGCCAGGAATATACTTTTTAGGATTCAGCAAGTACTCGAACAACGTCTCACGAGTCCAAACCACTCCCTTTAAATTTTAATTTTTAAATTTAAAATGTTCTTAATTAAAAAACAAACTTTGTTCTTATTAGCAGCAGAGTAGTCAAAACCAGGAACCGATCCACTTTTGCGACCAATAACACCCTTCAATGTCGGCCCAGTCTTGGCAGCATCCGAATCGATGACCTGTAAGAAATATATTTTAAAGGTACAGCCCAAAACTGCGCGGGCCAAAACTGCGCGACCGAAACTGCGCAGGCCAAAACTGCGCAAGCCCAAAACTACGCAGGCCAAAACTGCGCAAAACTATTTAGTAAAAATAAATAAAAAGAAAAACATTCTCATAACGGACAAGTCAGCTATACGCAAAATAGTTAGACGGATTCGACTCAGGCACAAGATGCACCACAAAATACTGAAAGTCGCGCGGTTTTGGTAATTCCTCAGAACTATCAACGTTATGAATATGAACCTGGAAAGAAGATGAGCAAAGAATACTTGTTTTTGGTCGAGAAATCCGAAGGGTTTTCTGAAGGTTTTTAGACTAACTAGTTAAAGGAAACTAACTAGTCTCTTTATTAAGCTTGGTCACATCTTATTGAAGACTAACTAGTTAAATCTAAACTTAAGTTAGGTTGTAAAACTATGTTTTTTCCTGGTTTATTATCCTGGTTATTGAATTTTTTGTTAGAATGTTTTACATTTAATAAATTTTGATGAACACCGAATTTTAAAAGCGGAAGGCGGAACAGCAAAAAAAGACGGAAAGCAACGGAAGAGACTCCATCCTCTAGTTAGTTTTGCGCAGTTTTGGCCTGCGCAGTTTTGGGCTTGCGCAGTTTTGGCCTGCGTAGTTTCGGTCGCGCAGTTTTGGCTCGCGCAGTTTTGGGCGTGTCCCATATTTTAAATATTAGGAGAGGGGGAAGAAAATTCTTGTTATGTTGATCACTAGCTACATTAAACCACAAAACCCTCTCTAGAGGCAGGGACCCGATCTTAAGGGACCCGGGGAGCCACTTTACATATCCACTAACAATAAACCTCTAAACAAGTCCCCATAATGTTCGACAAAAAAATAATAAAAATAACCGTACATGGCATTGAAAACACCTCGCTTTGAAAATCTTCTTTCCCTTCTCGTAGTCACCCTCAGGAATATTTTCAGCCATTCTTTGTTGGACGATTTAAAGCAAATTTACTGGAAAACTTTAAAAATTTTAGATTAAAACGAATAAAAGAAATTCATTGAAAAAGAAACAATTTTTAAAAATAAAATAAAAATTCTTCAACAAAATTTATCCTTTCTTTTCAACAACAAAATAACTCTCAACACTCAAAAGACAACAAAAAATTAATTCAAGCAAAATGTGTCTTCGGCTTCTGTGTCGTAAACGGAGTCATCTTTCGACGTTTGTCATTCACACGATGCGGCAAAGGAAACTTGATTGAAGAGTTGTGGAACTGTTTAACTCCAGTACGCTTGCAATCGGCAGCCTTGATCGGTTGAACTTTGATTATTTGGATTCGATCGGCTTGAGCACGATGACGAGCACCCATGTCGCGATAAGCCTGAGTGACAGCACCAGCCATTGTCACATCACGGTATTCGCGGTACATGTTGTGATGACCGGTTCGAGAGTCATAACGAAGCCAAATTCCATAATTCTTTACAGATCCTATCTTCTTTTCGAAAACCTTGAAATTTAAAAGTTGGGGAAAGGTTGAAGAATGAACTGATATTGAATGGGAGGGTGATATGGGAAATATATGGCGTGAGGCTTAAAAGAACCGAGTCACCATTAAAAGTTAGGGAACGAATGATGAAAAAAGGTCAACCAGTTCAGCACCACCCCGATATCATTTGTCTTGTTAGTTAACCCCTTGCCACCCTTGATGCCCTACTCGGTACCTATGTGTTTGTCAACAGAACACATCAGCAAACTAGTGTTTATACGACTGAGGCAAATGAAAATAAAAACACAAACCTCTTGGCACGAAACAATCTCTCCATTAGTCTTCTTTACACGACGCAACATACTAGTAAAGTACCAGAAACGCGATTTCGCAACAACATGATTACTGGCAAAAATTTGCATTTTGTAGAGCTTTGGATTTGGCTCATTCTCTGTAGGAAGTTTACGGCCAATAACGATGTATTGCCTCAACTATAAGTTAAAAATAATATAAAAATTTTACTCAAAATTAACCGTTTCTCCAGATGCTTTAATCGGCATTCTCAAAAATTTAGCTTCAACAGCGCAAGAAAATTAAAATCAGAACTTAAAATGAAGTAAAATTAAACAAAAAAATAACAAAAAGTTACAAACGAGAAATAGAAAATTCAAGAATAAAAAATGCACAATTAAAATTTTACTAAATTAATTAATTTTGGCATTATGTTTTAATCAATTTTCTTTTTTTCTTTTCCCATACTCTCTCTTTTCTTGTTTTCTAATTTTTTCTTTTTCGGGATACGCCCAATTAGGCGCACGGCCATAACGGCGCAAATCTACAACTTGCTGGAAAATTTAAGGCTCTTAATAATTTTGGTACCAATCTCTTTAGCTCGATGAGTGGAAGCGTTTAATACTAAATCTGTTAGGGTTAAGAAATCTTGAAGCAGGTTATCGCTTTGCGCCGTTATGGCCGCGCGCCTACTTGGGCTGTGCCCTTCCTTTCCTAATTTTTCTACTTATTTTGCCAAACCTATATTTCGCCAATAGGTAAAACTACAATCATTTGGCAACAAACTTTTTGACAAAACGTGTGTTTAGTAGCCATTTGGGCAAAATATAATGTTGGCAAAATACTAGGAAGTCATCTTTTCTTCAAGTTTCTTTTCAAGTCTAAACTTTCTTGATATTTTTTGTTGATATTTAGGGTTGTTTCCGACGAGACAGAAAATTATTTAACAAATTTTATTTTATTTCAGCAATTTAAACAATGAAAAATTTAATTCGTTATTTGCATACTTCATCATCTTTTTGTTCAACAAATTTCAAACAATTCCAACTTAATCCTCAAAGATGGCGAATTGAAGTTTCACTCGTTATTTACCGGTTACCTTTAATTGCTCCTCCAATGACTGAAGCTGAGAGGAATTTTGCTCAATTGTCTGAAATTAGAGAGAACCAAACGTCTTATAAATGTGATTTTGAATTGGAACTGGAAAAGGATGCAATGTAAGTAATTTAGAATTTTTGGAGAAATTGGGACTTTTTGACATTAGAGATCGGTGTTGATTTGTATCTACATTTTGGTTTTTCATGACTCATGGTCAATAATCTGTTCTAGATCGGCAATTGGGATCAAGAGTCCGGGCGGGTGGCCCTTTCCAAATCACCAAAAGGAGGCATGGGCTCTCAAAAAGTGGGGTTAAAAGGGGCGAAATCGGTTTAAAAGTGGGCAAATGTCTCCCAAATGAGGTAAAGGGGCCACCCTGAGTTCATGTCAAGGTTTTCTAAATTTAATTTGGGTTACGTTTTTGATTTGGATTTCTTCTAACATTAGGGGTAGTCATCATTTCTAACCCATATTACTGATTCCCTATTTTGTTAAAAAATAACCAAGCAATCTTAATTTATTCAACTATTTTTTAAAAGTCTCTTGGAAAAGCGCAAAAAGATGGAAGCTGAAGGAAAGGATCTCAGTCATTTAGATCAACAATTGGGTGTTTCAAGCGTTCAAAAGCGCAATGAATGGAGTGAAAAGGCACAAAAACTTATTGAGAAATACAACCTTGATAACCCTCCAACCAATGCTTCTATGGATTTTAAATGTTTAAAACGTAATTTGGACAGGAAATTGGTGCTAGCTGTCAGACAAAAATTTGAGGATGCTCATACTGATGAATACGTCTCCCCTTGGATTTTACCTCAGTTAATGAACGAAAAAGGGGAGACTTTAAAAGAGGTTTTTATTTTAATAATATTTTTAATAAATTTTTCAATTTTAAGACTGCCCTCAGATTGCTTTCTTTGTCATTGCCTTCGGAGGATGCAAAAAATCCCTTTCCTTTTGAATTTCAAATGTATGGAAATGCACCAATAGCACATTATTTATACAAATATACAGAAACGATGCAGGATAGGCTTGGATTTGATGGATCTATTGTATGTTTTAATAAACCCTTAGTCAGATGACGGGTCATTTAGGCCAATTTCAGAGTTACCCTACAATGAGTCACTTCAGGAACAATGGGAAATTTTGATTAGATTAACACTAAGTTTTTGAATGCTTTCCTTTGGAGATATTTTGTGATTTTCTTATACCAAGAGCCCGGGACAAGCATTTTCTTTGGCTTTCCTGGACTCTTATTCCAATATCCCTGCTATTATGTACCGAATAAAACTTGGATTCTTCTCCCAACTAATAATTTCTAAAAGTTTTTATTTTTCCAGATTTTCTTTTACCCTGCCCAAATTCTTCATTCAAACAAAGCAATTAATTCTTGGACAGAAGTTGGGTTTAACCCAAATAAAATTGCTGATTACAAATGGTGTACTGGAGAAGAATTTAACAAACTTGTTGGTGATAAAAATTATAGAAATGCTTTCAAATCTGTTTTTGTTGAATAATAAAATGTTTTTCTAATCTACTTTGATTCTTTTTAACTCGTTTATTTTCGAGAATTTTTATCTTTTAATATTTTTCGCAACATTTTATGATTGAGAAATTTGAGTTCTAATACTTTATAGAGGTGTTTGACTCTGAATTCATGATATATCGGACCTCACCGTAGGATATAGAATACTTTTTTTGAATAAAATTTAGTTGGTCACGGGTTAACAAAAAGGTGGGTCGGGTTTTCAAAATTTTCTTTGGAGACGGGTTTGGGTCGAAAAAAGTTTGCGTATTGTGGTTCGGATAACTCGTGACATCCTTGGCACACCTCATTATAGGATACAATTTTATTGTCACAAAAAGCATATTTATATAGGAAGGTTAACTGTGTTTTGATAACTCCTCGCTGATTAAAAAGAAAGAAAACACCTAAAACGAGGTGATAACAACGAACAAACACCTTGATTTTTTGCGTTCTAGAAATAGTAATTAACTAATTAATTTTACCCTTCTTTTTGATTAGTCAACCACCTTTATATTTAATTTTTCTTTTAATTTTAGACTATTATCTTGTATTTATTAATTATTAAAAAAAATAATTTCTTCTAATGTCTTACCGTTTCGTAAAATTGCTAGGTATGGATTTTAATAAATTAAATCGTTAAAATTTAATTTTTAGATGCTGCAACCGACCAAACTTTGGTTGAACCTAACTGGGAAGGAATTTTGGAATGTGTGGATTTAATTAGAGGAAAGGAAGTCCCGTAAGTATTTTTATTTTTTAGTTGAATTTAATTGAATTTTTAGGGTCAAAGATGCAATTAAAGCAATTCAGAAGCGTTATCACAATTCAAATCCGCATGTTGCTCATCATGCGTTGATGGTATTGGAAGCTTGTGTTAAGAATTGTGGAAAGAAGGTTTTTGTTTTTTGGGTTTAATGGGAATTCCTTTTATGGCAAATTCTTAGCCTTTCTCCTCGTTCCAAATATTTGGTCCAGAATGCCTTAATTTTTCTTTTTGATCGATGATCGAGTTTTCTGGTTTATGACCTGTTAAATTAAGATCTTGGTATCTACTGTACTGTCCTGACCGAGCATTTGTGCTTCCTAATTCATTTTAAAAACAAATAAGCTTCTCAGGGTTTTCATAGGTTTGGATTTTTCATGAATTTCATTCCCTGGGATCGGCCCAGAATATTGACTCAAATTCCGAGTTTGAAGATTCTGACATGAATTAGATTGTCATCCATTTTCTATTCCATTTAGTTTATTGCCGAAATTGCAACCAAAGAATTCATGGAAGACTTGAAAAGTTTGGTAATTTCAAACCCTCAAGCCAACGTTCGAACCAAAATACTTGAACTTATTCAATGTTGGACTTCTGCCTTCAAAGGCATTTCTGAATATAAAATTGTTGAAGACACTCATTCACTTCTTAAAATGAATGGTTTTGAATTTCCTCCTATAGACGAAGCAAAAGCTATGTTTTTGGCAGAATCTGCTCCAGATTGGGCTGAAGGAGATAATTGCTACAGGTTTTGAACTTTTAATGTTTTGAAGAATTTTTAACTTAAAAATTTTAGATGTCGAGTTGAATTTGGCGTTTTTACTCGTAAACATCATTGTCGTGCTTGTGGACAAATATTCTGTGATAAATGCTCGAATAAGCAAATGTTGTTACCTCAATTTGGAATAGAGAAGAAAGTTCGAGTTTGTGAGGCCTGTTTTGATAAAAAGACTGTTCAACAGCAACCAAAGGTTAATTTTTAGGGGTATTTGGGTGACGCGTGTTTTGGGGGTTATTTGGAGGGACTGTTGTTTATGGGGTTATTTTGGGGTGACTTTAAATTGTTTTTTTTCAGGCAGAAATTAATAAGGCTGCGGAAGAAGCTGCTGCGCGTGAAAAGGCTTTAAAAGAAGCTGAGGTTTTTTTTGTCTTAACTCAAATTAATTTTGGTATTTAAAATTTAGGCAAAAGAACAAGAAGAATTGGAGCTTGCTTTGGCTATAAGTCAAAGTGAAGCTGAAGCTAAGGTTTTTTTAAAAATGTTTTTAAATGAAAATTTTTTTATTTTTTAAAGCAAAAATATAATGGAATTGATCTTTCTTATATAAATAAAGCGACAAATGACAATTCTATTTCTAGTGGATATGGTGGAGGACAAAAGTATGAACCTCCTCCGCAAACTGTTCCAGTTATTGGTAAAGATGAATCTAATTTATCTGGAATGGTTAATGATGATGCTAATAAAGATGATCCAATTGATTCTGTTTTGGCTACTTATTTGGACCGTGATTATTGGGAGAGGAAACGCAGGGAAGTTGAGGTTTGATATTTAATATTGAAATAAATTTGGGCAGATCTATTTCGCAAGTCTTTTGGTCCCACAATCCACCGGATTTTCGAAACTTTGATTGGAGTCCGGGTTGAGAAAAGGAAAAAACCCTACCTATCTCTAGTACCGTCAGTTCTTGACTATTCTGTGAAAGATTGACATGAGCTGGGTAGATCGTCTTTCACCTTTAAGCTGAAATTCCTCGTTGAATTCTTCTATCATTATTTTCCTCGTACTAGTTTTTTTCTAATCTATTCCAAAAAGGAACAACCACTTCGTGCAACAGCTCCACCACCAAGTGAAATTTCCATTTCAATATCTTCAAGTATTAGCCAGCAACAACCTTTACAACAAAATGGGAATGCAAACAAAAGTTTAAATAAAACTCTAACAAATATTTCTAATGTCAATAACAACAACAATAATTATCCTTTAAATGAACATTTGGATTTTTCAATTTTGGAAGATCAACAACAACAACAAATTTCTCAACACGATAATAGTTTAGCACAAAATTATGCTGCAAAATTAAATATTGGAATGCCTATGGATATTGGGAAAAATGAATCTAATGATGTTGAGGAAGTAGCAGAGACTTTGAACTTTTGTAATGCTTTAAATGAAAGGGTATTTATTTTTATTTTTGATTGTATTTTTTTTTGGTTCAAAATTGGAGGAAATAATCTAAGTTTTGGATTAACTGATTATGACTTTTTATTTTTAGAGTACTTACAAGGGACTGTTTTTTTTAAAAAATTTTTTTGTCCTTTTGTGGGAGGAATAATAGTCCTTCTAGTACACCCCAACGTACTGCGAGGCCAACGTACCGCAGAGCTATAACTTCATTCAAAATGGTCGAATCCGGGAGCCTTGGTATGGTCGATGCATCTCGACGAGCTGGATCGAACCATAACAAGGCACCTCGGATTCGATCATTTTTAACAGATTTATAGCTCTGCGGTACGTTGGCCTGCTCCCTCTTTCTTCTTTCCTGAGTTGCACAAAAAATGACTAGGAACTGTTTTTAGGATGGGAAGTGTTCTTTTTCCTTTCCAAAAATTATTTTTAATTTTTATAGGTTGATACAATGAAAACTCGAATGCGAAGTAATCAGTTACGTGGCCGTTCAATTGTTAATGATTCTGCAATTCATACATTATTTTCACAACTTACCGAACTACATGCTATAGTTATACAAAAAATGACAAAATTGGAAGAACAGAGAGGTTTTTTTTTGAAATTTTGACTAGAAAAATTTTCAAAAAAATTTTTTTTCAGAACATTATGAACAATTACAAGACCATTTAGCTCATATTCAAGAAGCACGTCAAGCTGTAAATGCTTTGAGAGAAGAAAATGAACGTTTACGACAGGAAAGAATTAAAGAAGAAAATAATCGTCGTAAAAGTCAATTGCGTCAAACACTTGAAGTTATGAGGGATAAAAAGAAGGTTAAAATAAATTTTGATAAATGTGGAGGGTGGTTAAGTGGTTAGTGTTGTTGATTTTGGGGAGGGAAGGGAAAGAAAGAGTTTATGATGATTGAATTTTAACATCTTTCGGGTCTGAAAAGCTCGTGAAGTGACAAAGTTTCCTTGACTGAAACTCTTTTTAATTTATTTTTTTTTACTCGAGGGGGGTTCTTAAAATTTTTTTGAGAAATTTTTTTTTGAAATTTTTCTTTAAAATAATTTTTTAGGAAATGTTAGTTAGCGGTCGTTATGTTGCTATCCAACGTTTTCATGAACAAGAATGGCAAATTCGTCAACAACGCTTATCTTCTCCACAATTTAACAATCCTGCATTACCAACAATGACTAATCAAGCACCACCATTAGCTAATAATCCTGTTCCAATAAATATGATGAATAACAACAATAATCCAGTTACTTCAACTCAACAACAAATGATACATAATCCAATGCAATCAATGACAAACACTTCAACAATGCCTCCAATAATGATGAACAATCAAATGACAACAATGATGACTGCAGGTGTTCAACGGCCTCAAATTATGCCTCATCAACCAACTGCATATTCAAGCAGTCAGCCTCAAGCATTGCCCGCTCATTCAATGATGATGTATTCTTCAAGCAATCAAGCTCAAGAGCTGCACGGGCAGGCGATGGGATACCCAGGCAATCCACCTCAAGTCAATCAAGTTCAACATCAACCTCAAGGGGGGATGCCAATGATGAGCAACAATCAAATAATGAGCAATCATCATCAATCAATGACCATTCCAATGAATTCAATGATGAATACAATGCCTTCAATGACAACAACTATGCCATTGATGAATAATAACATGATGAATAACATGCCACCTATTAATAATCATCCTTCTCAACAACAATTCCAAATGCCACCATATCATCAACAGCAACAACATTATATAATGCCTCCAATAACTTCTACTCAACAGCTTCCGGTACATCAACAGCATCCGGTACATCAACAACAACAGAATTCAGCGGTTCAAGAAGAGGAACAACAGAAGAAAGAAATTCAAGTGCCCGAAGATTGGTTAATATCTTTTGACTAATTTAACTATTTGAAGAAGAGGCGGAAGAAAGGGAGAATTCTAAAAAATGTGTATGTGTTAATTTGAGGATGTATGAATTTTTTAAAAATATTTTTTCTTCGGTAAAGTGATCAAATTAATAAAAAATAATTTTTAAAATAATAAAAATTTATTTTATTGAATTTTTTAAAATAAATTTTTTAAAATAAATCTGTTTATATATTTTTTGTGTAGTGTCCGTTTAATGACGGTGAATATCTTTATTCTTTATTTCAGCTTATGAACAGGTTGAATGCCGTGGAAGATGATAAACTTGCAGAAAGCTTGGAGCTGATATTCTCGATTATTTTAATTTGGATTTGATGAAGGTTTTGTTTAAATTTTTGGGGGAATTTTGAACTTTGAGGGTACTCTTGCTTCCTATTTTCTTTTTTTATTAATTTCAAGTTGTTGCTTTCCTTGTCTTGCTAATCCATTTATGATAGACCCCATTTTTTCCTCCCCAAGCTTTTCCTATACATATATCTACAGAATCAGACTTCATTTTTTCGTCCATTCCAATTTCCTTTCTAATTTTGTCTACAAACAATCAAAAGGAATTATAATTTTTATTTCCCATTGGATTGAAGAAAGGAAAAAGTTTACCATTCTGCAACTATTTAGGAAAACACTTGGGGAGGAGGGGGAGGGAATGGGGTCTATCAGGTTCAATATTACCAAATTAGGCCCTGATTACGATTTGCTGCCATCATTTTTTATTCTTGATATTTCCATTTTTTAAATTCTTTTATTTTTCAGTTCTCATCATTCTGACTATAACGGAACACAGAAAGAAGAAAAAGAAGAATATAAATTTAATTTAAATCAAGCTTTCCAATTCAACATATAAACATGGTAAGCTTAGAGAGGTTTGATTTAATTAGTCTAATAGTTTCTAGGGTGTTTTGACTTTCCCTGTTCTAAAGGGGTTTGTTCTAACGATAAGGGAAAAATATTTGTTGGGACTAGAACCGTTTTAGGCTCCGGATCTTTGTTTATCAATATCGGGTCCCAGCTAACATAAAACTAGGGAACTTTTTAAATATTAGAAGTTTTGGGTTCCTAGTCAGTAAGTCGCCTTACTAAACTTATCTACTTTTTTATTGGTCTAGCTAGGATAAGGGATCCTGGAAAATTTTTCGAACATTCTGACTTTTGTAGCTTGGGGCCCACCAACCTAATTTTGTTAAATTTTCGGGCATCTGGGCTTTTTTCGTATTCAAGTTCACAACATAGTTTTTAGTCTTTCCACATTTTTCCAATTTTTTACACCAAGCTGAAGTTCAATTCGTATTTTTAAGGCTTACGCATATAAAGATGATAAGAAGGCTGAAGAACCTCAACCTGTTGAGCGTATCCGCATTATTCTGACCAAGGCGTTGGAGAAAGGTTTTCTTTTTTTCTCAGAATTTTTAATTAAAGAATCTTTCAAGTTTGTGAAAAGCTGATCCACGGTGCTCGTGAAGAACATTTGGCTGTCAAGGGCCCTATTCGTATGCCATCTAAAGTGCTTTGCATTACTGTGCGTAATACACCGTGTGGAGAAGGTTCTAAGACTTGGGACCGTTTTCAGGTTTTTTTCTAATTTTTGGAAATTTCATGAAATTGAGACGGGAATAATGGAACAGTCGAGAGCTAGGACCTAGGGACCAATGTTTTCCTAGTTTCGGGGGCTGAATCGATTCCAGTAACTGGAACAGTCGAAAAGTCATACACTGCTCCAGCCAGGGATTTCTCTGGCTCCCCGGGCTTTGGTCGAACTCGGCCGACTGTTTTCCCGTCCCTTCCCATCCCCGATTCCTATATAAATTTTTTTCTTTAAATCTTTTATTTTTAATATTTTTCAAGCATTTACGTCATGTTTGTTCTTGGTTGGGAATGAAACGTGTTGGTTGGATTTTTAATGATCTTTGGAGCGAATCGAGGACGCTGGGGACTGTTAAATGTATTAGAAATGAGGTTTCTTCTTTTAATAAATAAATTTTTTGGGGGTTTTGGCGGGCTTTCCTTCTCGTTTTTTGAATTTTTTCTTCCTATTGTTCACATTTTACGGAGAAATTATTATGAATTCTCTGTCTATTTGGCTCGTGGGTGTTTCGGGGTGAGAACTCTAGGCGAGCCATGCTTTCGAAAATCTATCTGGGCAGGCTTTCAGTCAAAAAAGTTCGTATTTCGGGTAATCTCCATGATTTGGTCCGTGCTATCCGCTCCAAATGGGAAAATCTACTCCAAAAACATTACAAAAAAGTTAACTTTTTTATTTTTAGGATTCATTTTTACTTTCTGCTTCTGAATGTATAACTGCTGGCAATTTACAATCACATTTTAAAAATGCTACAAATTATTGTGATACTGGTTATTTTGGTTCTAGATTTGTTACTGTTGTTGCATCAGGAAATTCTGTAAGGAATTAAATTTTTTTCATAAAAATTTTGAAAAAAGTTTGTTGAAAATTCTTTTGATTTTTTTAAGATTTTACAAAAAATTTTCAAAAAAAATTTTCAATTTTTTTCCTTTTTTAAGTCAAAAGGAATCGATTTGCATGGATATCAAGTCTCCAATCAATGCACAGCAATGGTTGAAGCTAATATTCTTTGTCCAACAAAAACACATCCTGAATTGGCCTGGGCTAGAGAGACGCCATTAAACAAGCGCATTATATTACTTCTGTTCAATATACGGTTTTTCTTTAAATTTAATTTTTCTAAAAACTAATTAAATTTTTAAGGAGAAAAATGAAAGAGGCGAAGAAGTTTTTCGTGATGGAAGGCCTATGCCTGTTGAATATTTACTTGTTGATGTGCCGTGTGGGGTTCGAAAAGTGCCAAATTATACATTTCCTCGTGGCCATCTTATCGGTTTCCATATGGAGAATTTGGACACGGGTTTTTATATTAGGGGGATTTTTAAGTGGTGGGGAATCTTGGCAAAACTTGCGGTTTATAGTTGATATCAATTTTTATATTTTTTTATTTTAGCTCAACAAACAACAACAGCTACAGCTGTTTCAAAATGTTGGGTTTCTCACTGTTGCAAATCAGAGAGTCACTGGTGCGTAACAGAGAGTTTATTACTCACTGTTGCAAATCAGAGAGTCACTGGTGCGTAACAGAGAGTTTATTACTCACTGTTGCAAATCAGAGAGTCACTGGTGCGTAACAGAGAGTTTATTACTCACTGTTGCAAATCAGAGAGTCACTGGTGCGTAACAGAGGGTTTATTACTCACTGTTGCAAATCAGAGAGTCACTGGTGCGTAACAGAGAGTTTATTACTCACTGTTGCAAATCAGAGAGTCACTGGTGCGTAACAGAGGGTTTATTACTCACTGTTGCAAATCAGTGAGTCACTGGTGCGTAACAGAGAGTTTATTACTCACTGTTGCAAATCAGAGAGTCACTGGTGCGTAACAGAGAGTTTATTACTCACTGTTGCAAATCAGAGAGTCACTGGTGCGTAACAGAGAGTTTATTACTCACTGTTGCAAATCAGAGAGTCACTGGTGCGTAACAGAGGGTTTATTACTCACTGTTGCAAATCAGAGAGTCACTGGTGCGTAACAGAGGGTTTATTACTCACTGTTGCAAATCAGAGAGTCACTGGTGCGTAACAGAGAGTTTATTACTCACTGTTGCAAATCAGAGAGTCACTGGTGCGTAACAGAGAGTTTATTACTCACTGTTGCAAATCAGAGAGTCACTGGTGCGTAACAGAGGGTTTATTACTCACTGTTGCAAATCAGAGAGTCACTGGTGCGTAACAGAGAGTTTATTACTCACTGTTGCAAATCAGAGAGTCACTGGTGCGTAACAGAGAGTTTATTACTCACTGTTGCAAATCAGAGAGTCACTGGTGCGTAACAGAGAGTTTATTACTCACTGTTGCAAATCAGAGAGTCACTGGTGCGTAACAGAGAGTTTTTACTCACTGTTGCAAATCAGAGAGTCACTGGTGCGTAACAGAGAGTTTATTACTCACTGTTGCAAATCAGAGAGTCACTGGTGCGTAACAGAGAGTTTATTACTCACTGTTGCAAATCAGAGAGTCACTGGTGCGTAACAGAGAGTTTATTACTCACTGTTGCAAATCAGAGAGTCACTGGTGCGTAACAGAGAGTATATTACTCACTGTTGCAAATCAGAGAGTCACTGGTGCGTAACAGAGAGTTTATTACTCACTGTTGCAAATCAGAGAGTCACTGGTGCGTAACAGAGAGTTTATTACTCACTGTTGCAAATCAGAGAGTCACTGGTGCGTAACAGAGGGTTTATTACTCACTGTTGCAAATCAGTGAGTCACTGGTGCGTAACAGAGAGTTTATTACTCACTGTTGCAAATCAGAGAGTCACTGGTGCGTAACAGAGAGTTTATTACTCACTGTTGCAAATCAGAGAGTCACTGGTGCGTAACAGAGAGTATATTACTCACTGTTGCAAATCAGAGAGTCACTGGTGCGTAACAGAGAGTTTATTACTCACTGTTGCAAATCAGAGAGTCACTGGTGCGTAACAGAGAGTTTATTACTCACTGTTGCAAATCAGAGAGTCACTGGTGCGTAACAGAGAGTTTGCAGTGATTTTCACAGCATATGGTTTGTTTTTTTTTATTTTGTTTTCTTCCGCAAGTTTTGCCGCAGATACCGTATATCATTTAATAACTACCCTGGGTAATTATTGTTTCGACCTTCTGCTGAGGGAGTAATTAATGTGGGTTATTATTTGAGGGAGGGAAATTAATACAGGTTATACGGTAATTCCTAAAGTTAACTCAATTAGTCAATTTTTGGAGCCTAAGCAGATGTGTTATCAGGTCTACAACAACCGCTTCTACACAGGTTTAAGATCTGTTTTTTTATGTTAAGATGCTTAAAAATATTTTTTGACTTATAAATGTATTTGTTCTTTGTTGTGATTTGTCATCAACTTCAGGAACAGCTACAACAACACATTTACTAAGATTATGTGAATCTTAGGGCATATTTCAGTTTATAATTATTAAGTTTGCATTTTGTAAAATTTGCAGTTTTTAAATCGTGATTAATACTTGTTTTTTTTTATTTTATGAAATTTTACTCTTCAGTATTAAATATCCAAAAATTGATTGGTTTCATCACAAAAAATTTCACAAGGAGAACGATTTCCTTTTGGAAATTTAGAATTTCATTCAATTTAAAAATTTGCCAAAATTTGGTGTAATGTATCATGCGCCAAATAAATGACAGTTTATCCCAAAAATTAATTCTGTTGCGGAGCAGTTCAACTGAGTCCGCACGATTGAGTCCCCACGATTGAGTCCGCACGATTGAGTCCCCACGATTGAGTCCCGGCACAATTGAGTCCCCACGATTGAGTCCGCACGATTGAGTCCCCCTTGTATATACCTCAATTGAGTCCCCGTGGATTTAATAAGTTTAAAATTTCCATATCCGACATGCGGGATTATTCCAAAATTTCTATTTTTTAAAGTATAAATGCCGGACAGACCACCTGTGCACCCCTGCTGCACCCCACATACCCTCCGTAGCAGCACAAAACAGTTTTCCAGCGCAGTTTCAGTTGGTCATAACTTTGTTCAGAATCATTGAATCAAGCTGATTTTGATGTCATTCGACTCAGCTCGTCGAGCCCTTTCGAATGAGGTATAATTTAATATTCGAATTTTTTGTCCCCAAAAATCCCCCGTGGATTTGACCATTTCGAGTCCCATATCTCGGCGAGAACCATGTTGATTTTTGTGTCATTCGACTCAGCTCATTCGAATGAGCTGTCATTCAAAAAATCTCTCGATATCCCTCCTAATCCCCAAATCCACAATATCCACCCATATCCCCCTTAATCGCTTAAATCTACTTATATCTCTTAATATTCACCGATATCCAACTTGATCCCTCGATGTCACATACAGGTCCCCTGATGTTCACTTTAATCCCCCCAAATCCCCAGATATCCCTCTTAATCCTTTTTAATATAATTAAATCCACGGGGACTCAATTGAGGTATATACAAGGGGGACTCAATCGTGCGGACTCAATCGTGGGGACTCAATTGTGCCGGGACTCAATCGTGGGGACTCAATCGTGCGGACTCAATCGTGGGGACTCAATCGTGCGGACTCAATTGAGGTGTACCGATTCTGTTGAGTACCGGACAGTTGAGTCTGACGGCTTAAAATTGAAAAAAATCGATGTGATGCAATGGATAGATCGATTTCGATAAACTCGATAACAGTCGATGGAAAAATTTCGGAAAACGAACAGAGCGCAAATGGGTCAAATCATGTCATTCGAAAGAGCTCGTCGAGTTGAGTCGAATGATGAAAAAATTTTCGTGCGGACTCATAGAGAGGCTGAGATATAGGTCCGCGAAAATCGAAAAACCATAGGGGGGACCAAGCACTTTTTTGGGGTGAAAAATTCGAAAATGCAAATAATAGCTTATTCGAAAGAGCTCGTCGAGCTGAGTTGAATGACATCAAAATCACCTCGAAATCTTGATTCTGAGCCGAGATAGAGGCCCAAAATGGTCAACGTAAACCTATGGGGCGTAGGCGAGGCGCTTGTGCAAAACCCCGCGCTTCGCGCGGGGTTTTGCGGCACGCGCCTCGCGGGGAGTCTACGGGCGATGGGTTCTGGGCTCGTAACTTAATCCTATTCCAATTATTGCTGTAATGGGTTATCTGGCTTCCTCCGTAGCAGGAAAAACCTCGACGGATACCAAAGGTAAGGAGCTAAAACAAACGATCATAACTTTGTCAAATCAAGTCAGATTTCGTTGATTTTGGTGTCATTCGACTCAGCTCGATGAGCTCTTTCGAATGAGGTATAATTTGCATTTTAGAATTTTTCACCCCAAAAAAGTGCTGGTTTCCCCCTATGGTTTTTCGATTTTCGCGGACCTATATCTCAGCCCCTCTATGAGTCCGCACAAAAATTTTTGCGCCATTCGACATAACTCGATGAGCTCTTTCGAATGACATATAATTTGGCCTATTTCGGATCTGTTCGTTTTCCGAAATTATACCCAGTCGATAATTATTTTAAAAATAATTCACAAATATATTTTCAAAATTGATAATAATCAATAATTTATTTAAAGAATTATAAAAAATCAGTATTCAACTTTTGCCATTTCGCTCTCAAAATGGGCACCGAACTGGCCATAATTAATAATACATATATTTTTTCCTCTAACTACGCTATTTCTTTTTTAGAATTTCTCTACAAAACAGGAAATCATTTTCTTGAGATTATGATTACGTAGCTCCAATCGTCAGTCTGATACATACTTAAGAATATATTCTAGAGGGGGTTTAAACGATTTATTCTGTTCTGATCTTCTATTTCTGATTTTAAAATTTATTCTTACAGTAACCAGCACGCTCTCAACTTACGGCACCAAACTGACCGCAAATACCCGTATTTATTTCGTGTCCGGACAAAATACCGAATCGTTAAAATATGGAATAGGCTAAAAAAGGGTTAAAATCTCGAATCGGGTAAAAATGGGTTAAAATCGCGAATAGGCTAAAAAGGGGTTAATATATGGAATCGTTAAAATATGGAATGGTTAAAATCTCGAATAGGGTAAAAAGGGGTCAAAATGTGGAATCGTTAAAATATAGAATTGATAAAATGTCGACACGGCCAAAATAGGTCAAAATGTCGAATTTTTTTTAAAAATGGCGCCAAAACCTAGAATCCGGGCGTTGCCGTAATACCGACGGTATTTTTAGGTATTCCGTTTCGCTAGTACGATGCGGAATGCCGACCGATAAAATTTAAAAGCTGATCGGTATTTTTCGGTATTCTGTACCGTATACGGTACAGTTAAAAATTCCGGGTTTTATTAGAAGCTAGGCACTCCACTCTAATTTGACGTATCAAGATCGCGTTATGTTTTCCGGATCCGCACGATCATTCCGGACCGGATCAGGTCGATTATGCTTGATTTATCCGGTCCGGTTTTACTCGGTAAAATACAGTGAACTCAGGCCGAAAAGATTGCGACGGACTATGACATACGAAACTTATCAATCAAATTATCAACAATATCAAATTATCAAATTATCAACAACAGGTTGATAAGCTGATAAAATTATCAATAATCAACGTACGGCACTCATCTGACCCTTTTTAAAAGAATTCGACATTTTGACCTCTTTTTAGCCTATTCGAGATTTTAAACATTCCATATTTTTACGATTCCATATTTTAACCCTTTTTTACCAGATTCGATATTTTAACCATTCCATATTTTAACGATTCGGTATTTTAACCCCTTTTTAGCCTATTCGCGATTTTAACGATTCCATATTTTAACGATTCCATATTTTGTACCGGAGCCATTTATTTTGTTCTCTACCTACACTATTTTCACTTTAATTCTTCTCTAATTTTGAGAACAATTTACCTCATAAAGTTAAAGGGACGATTGAGTCTCGCCCTCAAAATAGTTTTTTGGCCATAACCTTTAGCGATATTAAATTACGGATAAATTTATATATTTTTCGAAAGCTCTCGTGATGCTGTATCTTTTTATAATTGGATTGATTTGATCTGAGTATCATACGAAATGTTATGCTTAAAAAACAATCTCTCAGGCAGAAAAATTAGTTTCCGGCTCTGCAGAACGTTTAAACCAAATCATCCACAACAGCGGGATATCAATTTACCCAATATGGAAAGTCCACCCGTTAGTATTTATTAAACTTTACAAAACATATCAAGGAACAAACACATTTATACAACAAAAATAAACAAAAAATATTTTTAAACATCTTACCACGAATAATTTTTTTATCTTATTTGTTATTCGACGGCTCTTCTTAAACACCAAAAATTCAAAAGTTTGTTGTAGAAGCATCTTGTTGTTGCTTTTCCTGTTGATGTTGTTGCTGGGAATTGTTGAAGTGCTGAAAGAAAAAAAGCATTTTACTTAATTTTGACCTCATTTCAAGCTCAGTAAATTTGTGTTGCAATGGGTATATCAAGGGGATTACACAAATTTTTCTCCTTACATTTACCTAAGGTACAAAGAGGTAACCTACAAAGTCCAAAGAAAACAGTCTGTTATACATAAATAAAACAAATTTTCAAACGAACTTTAGGGAATTCGAGTATGTCCCCGAGGAGTTTAGACAATGCTGGGACAACGAAAAGAAAAAATGGATAAACCCAATTGTATCAATAATTGCAAACTCCTAAAACTATTCAGAAATCCACTCAAAAAACCCCTCAACTAAAAATAAATAAACTACCACTGTCTCAATCACGACATCCTTCCCTTCCAAAGATTCACAGCCAAAAGCTGCCAATGTTTGTCTGTCTCCGCCAGGAACGCCCAACCAAAGAGTGTATTCATTCGTAGTTGAACATGTTAAAAAATTTTATTTAAAAGAATTCTTAAAATTATTAAATAACCTTTCAAGCCTAGTTTTCAGGAACATGTTGTTGTATCCAAAGCAACATCAAAAAATTGTCCAAAGGATCGTTGTCATCAATTGGGCTCAAATCTAAAAGAAAATAATTATTTGCTGAAGAATAAAAAAGAAAACACTCAAATGGTATTGAACCTACACCCTACTCTAATATAATCGGCAACGCTACCAACTTAACCAACAGTCATTACAAAAGACTTTCAAATTTTTTCTCTATATACAAATGTGAACCTTGAATTAGGGGATCAATTCTAACCATTAAACTCAAAAGCCCCGAAAAAAATTAGAAACCTTTCAAACTTCATAAACTGCACATCCACAAGCCAATGCGAACACGCAATTCTGTCTTCTTGTTGTAGCATATGTAAAAAATTGGGCAAATGTCCTCTGTGTCGTAGAATGTTGTGATTCAACTGTTCAGCCATTTCCTGAAAAAACAAAACTTCATTTCATCGAAACAAAAAAAGAAAAACCTGAATAAACTCCGCAGCCTCTCTTCTATATTTAAGTTCAGCAGCCGAATCCACAGACATTCTAGATGGAAGCCTCGCAAGCTCATCATCCGCAAAATACCATTTTAGTTTCTTTCCAAGTCTTTCAACATCCATACTGAAAGCTCTAAAAATGTTTAAAACCCCTTCCCTTTACCAGGCAATTACTAGATAAACTTTGTAATCAAATTTGGAAAAGAGGATTGACAACGGATTAACCCAGGGATTGTTTGCGGACAAAACTTGCTTGTGTAAAAAAAGGGCAAAAAACAAACCTTTAAATTTTTAAAAAGATTCCATGGACGTCCATAGTGCTCTGATGATTTTGCTTCTTCTTTGTTTCTTGTTCTTCTTTTTGTTGATTTTTTTGTTCTTTTACTGTTGAGTTTTGTTCTTCTTTTTGCTTTTTCTTCTTTGTTCTCTTTGATTTGTTGTCCTTCTTTTTGTTGATTTTTGAGTTTGTTCTTCTTTTTGTGTTGCTGCTGGACGTTTCTTAGAGGCATGGCACTAAATAATTTAAATGAGTTTGTTTAGGCACAGATATAAACTAACCATACAGCTGAAGAGCAGTTATCAAAGTACCATAGAAGCAACAAGTCCCATGAAGATGCCAGCCAGACGCCGCAAATGCCAGAAAAACCCCACACAGAAGGAAGAACTCCAAACAGATGCCAGGAGAATTCCATACAACAGCCGTTAGAACTCCGACAAAGCCAGACTCCAAACAAATGCCAGAAGAACTCCTACAGATGCCGAAGCAAATGCTAGAACATTCCCCCGAACATCTGACGGAACGTTCGCACATTGTCGCAATTCTTTCGCACAGTTGCTGGGTTATTCCCCCGCACATTAGCCGGAACATTCCCCCCACATAAACAGATGAAGAACTCCAAACACTGCCAGAAGAATATCATACATTGCCGTTAGAACTCCAACAAAGCCAGACTCCAAACAAATGCCAGAAGAACTCCTACAGATGCCGAAGCAAATGCTAGAACATTCCCCCGAACATCTGACGGAACGTTCGCACATTGTCGCAATTCTTTCGCACAGATGCATGGTATTCCTCCGCACATTGCCGGAACATTCCTCCACGAAACTAAAACCCACGCAACACGCCTAAAGGACGCACGCAAATGCCAAAGGGGACTTGTGCTTTCGATGTTGGAGAAGAGAGCTCCACATCCGCCTCTACTGCTAAAAATATGATTTCATTTCTAAAGTTAAAGAAAACTCAAACTAACGTTTCAAAACAAAACCAGATTGATGAAGTCCAGATGCAGCAGCTTCTTTGGTTGCAAAGCATACAAAGCACTGAATGAAAAAATATAAGTAATGTTGTTGTATTAAAACACAGCAAGTTTTGCCCACAAAATGGGAAGAGAAAGGGGGACGGGAGTGAAGGGCAACTAAAATTGCTCCAAATACAAGCCAAGTGTCTGAAGACCACCACCATCATCGGTCATCTAACAGTTCTAAAAAAGAAAAATAAACATGAGGCAAATTAATTAGTTTAATAAAAATTTAGGTCATTTTTCACGCGTGGCGTAACTAGTAGAACGTTAGGCCCACCTGTTAAGAGGGTTCGAACCCCAAAGGAAAACCAAAGCAATAACCGAAAATTTTTCTCGTACCCAAAAAAAGCCTTAGCGTAGTTTCCTGTTTGGTATTCTTTATGGGTAATACTGAATTTAGAAAAAAGGCTGTTAGAAAAAAGGGAATAATTAAAAAACACGGACCGACAGACTTTGACCGACAGACTTTTAGTCGAATTTTCAGGTGTTACCCCAAAAGGAAAAGTAGTTAACAAGGTTTCGTGACGCTGAAGGAACCCCACTCTACTAATCTATTCATAAGAAATTTTACAAACCTGATGATCAACGGCCCCAACATCATTTGAAGAGACGACAATTATGTTTTGCTGGTTCAGGCTTTGTCCTTGCGTTGTTCCTCGTTGAATTTGAAGTTGGAGGATGGGAGCCTGACTTGTAGTTTTGAAGTACCTTAAAGAAAAAATTGGTAAGATTGAAGTATTTCACAAAAATCCAAACCTTATCGAATGTGCTGGTTAAAAAATTATACAGTTGCTTAGAAGAATTGGAATAATGTTGAGGCGATTGAAGAGTGCGTTGAATGTTGAGCATGGACAATTAAATGTAGTCCTTCAAAAAAACATTTTTTTTGTCTAAAAATAAAAAAAATATTGTTTACCCTCTTTATGGAATAAAAAAGAAAAGGTGAAAGAAAATCGAGGAAAACAATGAATGCTCAAAAAAAGTATCCCTCTTCAATTATTGATCTTTGTTGTTGAACTTTGCTTAGACAAACAAAAACATGTATTGGTTAGAGAAAAAGAATCGATATTTTCCCTCTCTTGCGTGGAAAAACAAAATTTGTTTTTCTCTAACCAACACATGTTTTGCTTGTCTAAGAAAATATCGACAACAAAAATCGATAAACGAAGAAAATGCAATAACAAAAGAAGTCAGACACTCTCTTCTAAAAGAAAAGAACAGCGGGCACCGGCCAAGTAAGAGCGGCAAAGTAAGCGGATTCCGGACAAATTCCGCAGGATCCGGAAATTATTTTTACCGGATCAGATTAATCCTGAAACATCAGCAGCATCCGGTCGAACTTGAAAATATCCGGAAAGATTTGGCCGTGCACTAGTGGGGTTCAATAAAAAGTTACCCCACACTTGTCCTTAAAACAGACGAAACAGTAAAATTTTGGGCAAAACGCCCATGTAAATATGAAAACAAAAAAAAATAAAAATAAAAAAATAATCTGTCAAAAAACAGTTGTAAAAAAAGCAAAAAAAATTTTGGGGAAATAAAAATTGTGTATATATGTGTTAATTTGAAGATGTATGAATTTATTTAAAAATATTTTTTTTTTCGGTAAAGTGATCAAATTAATAAAAAAATAATTTTTTAAATAATAAAAATTTATTAAAACTATTTTTATATATTTGACTAAAAATCCAAAATAAATTTTCAAAAATTAGTTAAAAAATTTTAGTTAGAATTAAAATTTATATAGAAGTTTGAAAAAAGCTGCCCCGTTTCATTTTCCAAGGAATGAAAAAAATCCGCCTCCTCCATTTGATGTTGCTACTTCAACATTCACTGGACGATAGGCTAACATACAAGCATCGAATAATCTTTAAAAAAAGAGAAATTAAAAATTTTTCTCAAAAGGACACAGGAGCGGGCCATAACTAAACATAAAGGAATGCCCCAGGATGTCGATTTTGGAATTTGGAGGAGTGGGCCAATTTACCTCAAATCGTCCCCTTTACATAAAAAATTACGCCGAGTCAAGCCAAAAATTGAGTCGATCCCAATTTCATAAGCCTAACTAGGGAAGGCTGCGAGGTGTCCGAGCTAAAAACGGCCGGGTTCTCTATCGAATGAACCCGGTCTCGACCGTTTTTAGCTCGGACACCTCGCAACCTTCCCTAGTAAGTTACAAGCCCTTGTAGTTCTGGTAGATCGAGGTATGTCCAGGGCTATGTTTTTCTAGTTTCAAACCATGTCCCCGTTTTTAAAGAAAAATTTCTAACTCCCAAAGTTCTTGGGGCAGGGAGCTTCCAAATTTTTATTTTAACCCAATTCCTATTTTTCTAAAGAAGTTCCTCCTTTAAAAAGTTAACAATCAACAAACCTATCATAACCTTCCTCCCTTGCTTTAAGTAAATTTGTTATATCTTCATCTTCTTTTTTGAGCTTTGCTTTTGCTGCTTCCCATCTAAAAATTGGGACGAATTACCAAAAATTGTTTTTCTTAAAAAACCTTGTTTTAAGGTCCATATATTCTTTTTGGAATTGTTTCATTTCTTGTTTTTTATTTTGCAAAACAGGCTCAATTTGTCTAATTGTTTCAATTGCCAAATTAGCTTGTTCATTTATTGGTAAAGGTAAAAATGTGATTTTGTATTTGACCTAAATTTTTTTAAGTTCAAAAAAATTTTCAAAATTTTCCAGAAATTTTTGAAAAATTTTCGAAAATCTCGGAGAAATTAAAGAAAATTTCCAAAAAAAAATTTTTTTTCAAAAAACCTGTGAAAGAAAATTATCTCCATAAACACAAAGAATATAATTTGGTTGAATCAACTCGGACAAGTTAGCGCCTATAAAAATAAATTTCTTCACATTCTTAAAAATTTTTAAACCTTGAGTTTCCAACGCATCCAAATAGTGAAAAGGCAAAGGCGTTTCTTTATCTTCCATTAAATGACTGAAAAAAAGAGATAAAATCCAAATAAAATTTTTTCTAAAAAAATTTACTGCATTGGAGAAAATTCAGGAATTTCAATTCTTTGGAAAGGTAAAAAGAACAATTCTGCCGAAGTGCAATGCTTTCGTTTTTGGCTTTCTTTAATGTCACGAACACTTCCATCTTTATCAAATAGCACCAGTTTGAATTTACTTTTGGAATGGGATTTGCAGCGAATAATTACTAGAAATGAAGGGGTTATTTAAATGAAAGGGAGAGGAAAAGAGGGAATAGGAGGGGAAAAAGGAAGGATTAACCATCCTAGAGTAAATTTAAAGCCCTATAACTATCAGGAAATGGCTCCGGTCCCAAAATAAATTGGCGTATGGTCATTTCCATCAAATATCAAAAAGGAGACGAAAAATCCCAGTTCGGGAAGTCCAAAAAAATCCAAAAAAATTTCCAATGAGTTTCCCTCTTCAATTATTCCTTAAAAAAGGAATATGGGGAGGGAAACCTTTAAATCAAAAATAATATTCTCCAGAAATAATATTCTCTAAAAAATTAACAAAAAAACCTCCATGTCTAGAATCATTTGAAACATCAAATCTATAAAAATGGGCTTCTTGATTGCTCATAGAATTGTCGATTGGAACACCGGGTATGAGCCTTCTGACACTAAAAAATGTTTAGACTTTAACTTTAAAAAACAATTTAAAAAACCTTGTATCAGACTCCTTTCCTTTACAAATATCAATGGCTTGAGCCAAAACTTTGGGTCGAATTTGTGTTGGGATTTTAAAGCCAAATGAAGATACCTTAAAAAGAAATTTTTTGGAAAATATTTAAAAAAAATTTTCTCCAAGAAATTTTTCAGGAGGGAGATTTAACATTTAGATTAGTAAGAAGAAAAGTTAAGGATAAACTAAAAACCATCAAGCGGAATAGAACCCAGGAACCCATATTTAAATAGGCTAACACACAACCACTAAACCACAAAATTGTTATTCAAAAACTTTTTATAATTAAACTTAACGACAACTAATTTTTATAAAAAAATCTAAAAGCTCACCATAGCTCCAAAGAACCGACCTTTAAAAGTGTTTTTAGATTAAAAAATAATTTCTCAATAATTTACCGAATCCACCAAGTTCAGAAATGTCAATACCCTCAAAATTAGCCATTGCTGTAGACGGACCAGAAACATTGTATTGTCTTCGTTTGTTTGGGTCAGAAAGTACAGAATAAGCAATGCTTATCATTTTGAAGTGTTCTTGGGCTGAAACTTCTTTTTTTTGAAAAAATTCAGTGAAAATTTGCAAACCTTTTTCATCCCGATTCTTGTCTAAAATATTAAAAAAAATTAAAAATAGGGAAGTTGAAGCTTCAAAGTATCCTCCCCTTTTTTGCTTATTTTCCCTTTACTATTAGTTAACCTCAGACAACTAAAATAACCAACAGGACTAATTTTAGGATGTAAAAATTTACAAAAGGCATCGTAAATCTTATCGACATTTCGACAAAGATAGGCCTCCTAAAGTCCCAAAATTCCCCGAAATAATTTTTTAAAGAAACCTGGATGATACTTCAAAGCCAATTTTCTGTAAGCATCTTTAATTTCCTGTTCACTTGCATTTCTAGAAACGCCCAATAATTCGTAGAAATCTCCAATATCGCTGTTTTTATTTTTATTAGGGGTGTACATTTCTAAAATATATGTAAATAGTCAAATGCTGAAATTTAAAAGCTACATAAATTTACAAGACAGTTTTGAAATTTCAAAGAAAAATGTGTGAGTAATACAAAAGACAAAGACAAATTGCCAGCCTTGCACGCGTCTTTTGTTTACTTTTTTTATGTAGGCATTTTGAAGTCCAACGAGAAAGTTTACATTTTGAAATATACAAGTAGGAAATAGCAGAGAGGAAAAGAAAAAGAGAAAAAATGTTAAAATTTTCGCGATAAAGGTAGATTCAAAGACGCCGATTAAGAGTAAATCCTTTGATTGTACAATGCAAAAAATTGTTTTTTATTAATTGGTTCAAGGATTTTTTTTATTCATTTTTGGGCTGCGCCTTTATTCGTCCTTCCTAAACATATATTTTTTGGAAGAGGGCCGTTTGGGGACCTACAAATGTCTGTTTTTTGAATTTCTTTTAATTGAACAAATTTCTATTAAAATTTTATTCAAGAAAAAATTATAAAATACACAAAACTAAAAAAATTAAAATTAATTTCCTCATATCTACCGAAGAGTTGAACGTTGTGTTGTATGTACAAGTACCATATCGTTATGTTCACAAGCCTCGCAGACCTCGTCGTCGTTGGCACCGCCACTTGGTGTCACCACAAATTTTGCGCCGAACTTAAAAAATTTTTTTTAAGTCTCCTAAGTCCAAAATACCCCCATACCACAGGCAGTTATCCTTATAAGATACACTTAATATTAGATACACCTCCATTTAAGATCGTTGACTAGAGGGAGGTGTGTTAAGCTTATCTAGTGTCTAAGCCATCAAGTCCAGGCCTATCAAGAACCCCTCTATTTAATAGACACACACTATAAGGGTACACTTCCCCAAGAGCATGAGCTCCTATTGTACCTGTTTTGCCAAGTCGATGCATTCTCTACCAGGAAAATGACTCTCTGAGGCAATACAAACACCTTTAAATTGGTCCAACCATTCTTTCCTTTCCTTCTAAAAATTAGAAAAAAATTTTCAAAATTTTCAAAAATTTTCAAAAATTTTCAAAAAAAAATTTTTTCCACTCGCCTGACTTAGTGCCTTAACAGAAGTGGCAAAATAATTATTCCATTGGCGTTCAGTAGCCTCAGTTGATGCATTTTTAGCAATACTATTGGGTTGTAAAAGAGACATTGAGGAAGTATCATCTACTCGAATTCCAGCAACTATAGCATCAATTATGTTTGCCTTTTCGGCTCGGCGAACGTTTGCACGCCATGGGAGGGAAAGAATACGAGGGTGTTGGCGAAGCCACCTTTAAAAATTAAAAAATTTTAATGAAATGCTAACTAAGGAGTGAGTCTTCTGTTTTCCTTAATTGAAGCAAGAGGAGATAACTGAGAGTTTTTGGGATGGATAAGAGTGTGGGGCAGTTTGGGTGGGGGGGGGGGCTGTTGTTAAGTCCATCCCTTTATCAAAATTTCCAAAAATTTTAAGTTAAATACAACTTCCATTATAAAGTCGACGCTCATTTTTAGATTTACCCAATACTAGACATAATCAGGTTTTTTCCTAAAAGCTGGTTGAACACTGGACGTGTGTGGATGTAAATGCGCGTAGATGCTTTCGATGCTTAGATGGTTACGTATTGCTTCCGCAATATCCTCTAATTTAAAAGACCTCAATTTAAGTTACAAATTTTTTCATCCCAAGGGTGATTTAAAAATGAGGTGTTCAATAGTACTATTCTAGCTTCATCCAGGCTTATGTTAGCCGGATACAGAATTATTTTTCCTCTAATTTTCATAATTTATTCCTCCCAAATTTTAATAAAATGACGTTTCTTCAATTTTTTCCATGTCCTCGTGGGGCCTTTCTTTTAAATTTTAAAAGGAAACACAGGGCCATGTGACTAGCTTATCTTCAATAAATATTTTTTTGTTGACCTAGTACTTTTAAATATTTTTATTTTTTTTGTTATTTCCTCCCTGCGTCATTTCCTCCCCCAAAAAACTTTTTTCCTCGTCCCTTCCCCCAAAAAATCCCTTCAACATTTCCACCAAAATGTCATCTCTAAAACACTCATAATTTATGCCTAAAGCACTCTTTAATGCCTAAAGTGGTTGCTATATTTGCTAACATATTACAATGGGGAGAAGAGGGGAGACTCGTGGTGATGACGATTATGGGAGGGAAAACAATGAAAATGACAGTCTTTGGACTATTTTCTGCTTTTTTTACGTAATTTATTTTTTAATTTATTCCAAAAAGCCCAATATAAACAATAAATCCAAAAAAGTCTCAAGAACTCCAAGATTATTTTCATGCCCTGAGGCGATAAGAGGAGGGAATCCTTAATATAAAATGCGGAATCTTCTATAGGGATGGGTTATTTTTTATTAAAATGCTCTATAGGAGATAACGTGTACTCGATTAATTACTCTGTTTAATTATTTTTTCGACCTTCACTTAGAGGGGACAATTAACCGAGTTTTTTTAAACGAGCGGTAGGGCATTTGAGGCATTAGTAGGGCAAATGAGCGGAAAAGGATTCCATCGCTTCTAGACCCTATTAGTTTTTCTTATAGAAGTAAAGGAGATCGGAAGTATAAAAAATCTTGATCTTAACCTTTATTTTGGTTGAGGACAATGACCTTGAGTCAAAGAAGAATCAAGGACTAAAAAAAATGTCTTGATCATGACTCTAGATCCAGGAAAGACTCTAGATTCATGTCTTGATTAAGGTTATCGGATAGTTGGAAATCTTCGGATATCCGGACCCGATATCCGAACCCGATATCCGAACCAAAAATTTTGGATATCCGGTCTTTTTTCAGATCCGGATATCCGAACCCGACAACCTTAGTCTTGATCCAGATCCAATCTCTAAAAAATACTACAATAATAGCTTAGTTTATATTTTGATTGACTTTTAAGAAAGCTCAATTTTTAATTTATTAATTAATGATAGAAGGGAGAGGGAGTCTATTTCTATTTAATTAAATAATATTTTTAAATCACTCCCCTCTCAATCAATTTTCGTACAAATTCCCGCGACAAAATTACCAACTAAAAAATTAATTCTCTTATCTTCCCCCATTTTTCTTGATATTTTTTTATCATTTATTGTCCATTTCCGTACTTTTAAATAATAAAACGATTAAAATGGCTGTCATTTAAATACCCTAATAAAAAAGAAAAGCCCTTAAAAACACCCAAAAGTGTCCAAATCAAAAAATAAAAAATAAAATTTTACCCCCTCGAATGTTTGTATTGAACCTAAATAAAATTTGTAGACCTATTAGTTTCTTAGAAAAATTCCAAAAAAATTTTTCAACAAAAAATATTAAGAAGAAAATAATTTTTTGTATGAACGACAGAATTTTTTCCAGTCAAAATTTGATCAATTGCTGCATTCGTTTGGATCCGCAGCATTGCTGAAGAGAATTTTGAGGCTTTTAAGAAGTCTACCAACCCCAAAAACCTTCCAAAGACCTTCAAAAAACCTTCAGAAACCTTCAAAAATCTTTCCAAAATTCTTCAAAAAATGACTGAAGTAAACTACAAATTCCCGTCCTCACCAACTTTATTTCCCAACAAAAATTCATTTTTCAATGCTTACACCTTTTTCTTATCCTATCTGTCCATAATGAGGATTTACAACTTTAATAAACCTAAAAATAACAAAATTATATCAAATACTCGATTAATTGGCTTGCTTCTAATGCTACTGCAAGCGGTGCTACCGACCACCTCTAATTTAATTTTCCATCAAAGTAGGGTATTTTAGAAATTTTTTAAAATCATTTTTAAATATTGAGGGAGGCTATAGGTTCAAGAAAAACTTAAAAATAAAATTGAAAAGAAAAAAATAAAATTTCTAGTCCAAAATCATTGATTAAATAGGAGGCGTGTCTATAGAGATCGACTTATCTTTTCTACCATAACTTGAGTTATAGTTAACCAAAAATTCTGAAATTTGGAGAGTAGTTAGAAAATAGTCTCAAAAATGTCTATACAAAATTTCAGAATTTTCGAAAATATAGAAAATTTTATACAAAAATATGACTGTGGTTTAACTCTTAAATAGACATACGCCTACATTTTTCACCATAACTTTGGAAATAAAGGCCCAAAAATTCTGAAATTTAGAGATTTACTAGGAAATACTCTCAAGAATAAGTCTGCAAAATTTCACATTTCTAGCTAAAGTTTAAGCAATTCTATAGAAAATTAACTATAAGAAATTTTCAAGTTGAAATCGGCAGCGACTGTATGAAAGCAATGTGCCTAGCTGACAGTGGGTGTATTCAAAAAGGATGCAGCCGAGATGTTTTTGATCGTTTGGGTTGTGGGTATTTTAGAATGAATATTTGGCAATTTAAACAATGCTATGAACCAGGGAGACAAATTGGGGAAGATTCTGGTAGGTTAATTTAATCGGATTCTGAAAAATATTCTGGAGGAAGTTCTGATCAGAAAAATAAAATTCTGATGAATTCTGAAAAAATTCTGAAAAAAAATCAGAATTCAGAAAAATATTCTGGAAATTCTGATATCAAAAAAAGCTTCTGAATTTAAAATTCTGATTTTTTATAAACTTAGAAAGTGCTTGGATACGGTGTTCGGAAGACTATGAATGTGCTTCTAAATGCATTGTGCAAGTCGCTAGCCGTTTCCGGCTTAAATGCTACGGGAAAAGTGACTGCGAGACTATAGCTAGGCTTCATGATGGCGGCGCTAATGGGTTTTTAATTGAAAAAATTTTTTATAATTTTAAAAAATTTTAAGGTGTCGAACAGGGGATACTTTGCCCTATTGGGTGACTGTAAAATCATTTTGCCCAGACTGTTGAGGAATTTTTTTAACGAATTTTAATTTCAATATGATTTAATATTCATCGGAAAATGAAGCTCATTTTATGATTTTATTAATTTCTTTCTCAAAATTATTTTGTCTGTAATATGTTAAACTGAGGAACTGTGAGTCTCTCGAAAAGCTAATGCTCTAGGACATAATGGATGGGGAACGTGACAATAGTACCTTATAAACTCCCAGTTGACTCAGTGGGCTAGCTCTGTTCCCCATCTCAAGGGGCAGAGCTACCATATGTGGGTGATATTAGATGGGGGAACGCAACAACAGTTATCTGATACACTCCATATAACCCAACTACGATTATAACACCACCTCAAAGACGGGACTTCTATGCGGGGGGAATGGTTCCCTTACATTCAAAAAACCAAATTAATCTTCATAATTCACCCTACCAATTTGCTGCCTTTTCCCCAGCAAGTCTAGTACAGTTTAGTCTACTTTGTTGTCCAGCACCCATTCCAATAACTTGCCCTCGATAAGCAAAACAAACAGCATCACTTTGTGTGTATTTAACGGCTACACAGGCCACCTGTTTTAAAAACATCGGCTCCTAATCCCTCAAAATCCCTCACCAATAAATCATCCACCGTCTCAGCAGTAATTTCCCCTCCATCCCCAACAGCTACATCAGTAAAGGAATCAGTAGAGAGAGCAGCAGCATTGCGCTTTTGTTTTAATTTGAGGCCAAAAATTGTGCGAACTTCGTCTTCGGCGGGAAGGTTTTTTGGATCAATCTGTTTTTGGAAAAATTTTTTTTGCAATTTTAAGATCCATTTTCACTAGTTTTTCAAACATAACTTTCTGATTATTCAACAAAATATTTTAAAATTTATAGAGAAGGTAGACAGGTCTATTGGGGATAGTTATGCAAAATTTCAGTCCTGTACGTCTTCGCAAAGTTGAGATATTCAAGTTCGCGCCATAATGAACAGGCGCCGTAAAGACCCCAATAAATTTCAAAATTTTACAGAAATTCTGATTTTTTTCAGAAATTCTGATTTTTTTCAGAACTTCTGATTTTTCAGAATCTTCCTTCAAAAAAATTCTCAAGCCCCTTACCCTCAAAATAATATAATTTCCATTTTTCTTTTTTGCCAACATAGACAAAGCTTGGTCATCATAATCTGGGGCAATCACTCCATCACTTATTTCTCTACTAATTAATCTAGCCGTAATTTCATCACATTTTTGTGACAAGGCAATAAAATCGCCAAAAGAAGACATTCTGTCTGCACCTTAATTTAAGGGGGAAATTTAATCCAGGCCTTTAAAATTAAAAAAAAAGTTGCAAAAAGAGAAGGAAAAAAATTTTTGAAGGTGAATCGGTCCTCGAAGCGTTTAAGCTCCCCCCTCTCTCTTGTGTTTAAGCCTCTCTGAAACTTCTAGACGTTCACTACCACAAAAAAAGAAAACGAGACAAAACAAAGCTCTAAAAAATTCTGGTTGATAGATACCTTCCTGGACATCTTGACACCTTTCAGTAATTAATTAGAATTAAAACTAGAAGCAAACAAAAAACAAGCGAGAAAACAAATTTAAAGGCAATTATTTTACCAAAAATTTTCTTCACTAAAATTGTGTTGTGTGTTCTGATATGCCAATATTGTTCTAAAGATTTGATAACGGAAAATAAAGTATTGAGACGGTAGATAGTTTTTTAAATTAGGTATAGATTTTGTTAGAAGGAAGGTGTTAGTATATTTTGTCTACTCCGGTTATAAGGGCACATTAGGGGAAACTAGAGATGTAAGGGTTATACGTGAATTGAGAGGAGATAACTGAAAAATCTAGATTCTGATAACCGAGGTTGAGTTCTCGTCTTGGTCCTGTCTCTAGGGAAAACTAGGGATCAGTTTAATAGTGATCCATGTACCAATGTCCTCTCACTACCGGAGTCTAATTAAAATTTGAATCCTTTCCCACAAATATTATAGTAACCCTTTTCTAACCTCTAGCCCTAGCAAGTGCCGATGCCAGTGATGGACGTCGTGGGTCTATCGACAAGTCTGCCACCTTTAAAAATTAAATTTTAATCCTTTCTAGTCCCTTCTAAACCATTAAAGATTGTGCTTCAGTATCATTTAGAGGAACACCGATTGCTGCACCTGCTGGACTGACATGCTTGAAGGAAGCGGCTGCAGGTTGACCTGTAGCTTCTGCCAATTCTGATACTAATTGCCAGGCGTTTAACCCGTCGAGAATATTTATGTAGCCTGGCGACCCGTTTAAGACTAGAAAATTAAAAATTTAAAGGGACTCTCCAATAGAAAGGATAATCTCTCCAATAATAAGGCATCTCTCTAATAGTAAGACACTCTCCAATAATAGAATAATTCACCTTTTATTGGCATATCCATTTGTAAGGAATACAAATCTGCTTCGTTTCCGTCTTCTATCACAGCGTTAGAATTACCGTTTAAACGATAAGAATCATAAGGATCGTTTTGACGTCCAAGGGAGTTATTTGCATGTTGTCCAAGCAGTTTACGTCTCATGAATCTTCCACATAGGCCATCGTCCAAATGAGAGTGGTGACAATGACGGCCACAGGAAGAATTTTTCTCGAAGGCCTGGGAAGGGGTTTTGAAATTTTGAGGAGATTAAAAATATTTTTTATATTTTTTTGGCAACTTTGAAAGTAGCTTTACATTACTTGTTTTTAAGTTAGGATTTAAATAGAAGAGGAAAATAAAGTTTAAGAAAGCATGAGAAAGTTGAACTTTTAAGTGGATTAAAAAAGTAATGGAGATTAAATTTTGTTGACAAAAATATTTTTTGTTCTTGTTTTTCTTACCGCAACAATTCGAAGAAAGAAGCTAGAATCAAGCAGTCGAGAGTGTGACTTTGACCTGGAGAAAACGTTTTTTTCTGATTAATATAAAATTTTAAATTATTCTGATTAATAATTCTGGTTTTATAAAGGAAAGTTCTGATTCTTTTAGTCGGTAATTCTGATTTATTAATCAAAAATTCTGATAAAATAATTCTGCTTTTTTTATGAGAGAAATTCTGATTTTTGTATTAGTAATTCTGAATTTTAAAACCAGAATCTGTCCTTTATAAGGCCAGAATTCTGATTTTTGTTGTCAATTGTATTATCAGAATTCTGATTTTTTAATCAAAAATTCTGATGTCCTGGTAAAATTCTGGTTTTTTAAGAATTCTGATTTTTTCAGAATTCTGATGTTCTGATAAATAATTCTGATTCTTTTGTCAACCTTCTTCTCGCAGAAAGAAATTTAGCCACAGAAGGGAGTCTTCCTCTAGGTCCCCCAGGCGATCCATGCCCATAAGTACTGCTACAACTTTTATTTATCGATGAAGTACTGGGTCCTCCATTTTGTTGCAGTTCCAAATCTTTTTTTCTTTCGTCTTCCAATGCTGCAGCCACTCTTAATCGGGCCATTGAAGAAATTCTGGACATTTTTAAAATGTGTCAGTAAGACGTTTTTGGCGTTATTTGAAATTCTTTGGCATTTTTTGGCGTTTTGTTATTTTTTAAAAATAATTGTTGGACTTGTGTACTTATTGTTGTTGTTTACTTTGTTGTTTTGTTCCGCGTTCAGAAATTTTTTTTACTTTAAAAAATTCTTCTCTAATGGCATTCTTTCATTATTTATCTCTCGAAGAGTAAATAGGAGGATTGGATGAATCGCACTAAAATTTCTTCTTTTTCCCCTTTTCTACTTCCCTCTACATGTACGCCTCGATGGTTTTACCTCCAACATTAAATACTAAATTCCCAACTCATTCCCCGCCCATTGAAGCATACTTTTTGGGGTTTTATTAAGTCAAAATTTGGGAGGAGTACAAAAAAGGGGCTTTATAAACGGGGGTTTTAAAGGTAGTATGGGTTGATTCTATAATTAAGGGCTGAGAGAGTTCATGTTGGATTAGTATCTAGGATAGGTCCTCTGATGGTTATATCATCTTAGGTGTGAGGACCGACTGTTAACTATCATGGATATAAACAGTCTGACCTCCTATAAGATCTCCTTTGGAGTTGAAACACTTGCATCTTATATGTTTTTTTTGTATCTTACTTAAATAGGGAAAGGGTATCAGGGATTATCGCTTAGGCATCTCTCCTGCCTTGGTGGCCAAACTTTAAAATATATATTCTAAATTAGGGTTATCTAATATTAGAGGTTAAGGTCTGACTGTTAACAAAAATAAAAAAAATATCCCTTCCTAAAAATTCTAAATTACTCAATCTCCTTCCCCCTTCAAATATCCTCAACAACAACCTTCCCCTCACATTTTTAGCCCGTTCTCTCTCTCTCTTCTGTATATTTATACCAATTCCCAAAGTCCAAATATTTTCACTCCATTTCTACCAATTTTCTTTTTTTTTAAAAAAAAGTTTGCATTGCGAGACCATTGAGCACACATCTTTTTAAAAAAGTAGAAGAGACCACTCTCGCTAATTTACTTCACAAAGCTTTTTTACCTCATGTGTTTTTTTATTTATTTAAAGGGAGAGAATTGACTCGCGCCGTTTTTTGGTGGTAGAGGAAATTGGCGGTTTTTTGAGGGAAATTTGATGACTGGGAATATTTTGAAGAGAAAAATAAGGGGATGGGAAATAAATAGGTTTAAATTGATTGTAATTTTTAAATAAATTTTTGAAGAAAAACAAATAAATTAAAGGAAAATAAAAACAAGCAGGATGAAAATTGAACAAATTTGAATATTTTGGAAGAAAATGTGGGGATTTCGAAGGATTGTGGGGTTTGAAGAAAAAAGGGATTTTTGAAGTAGATGAAGGATTAGATATGTATAGTATCAGGTCATAAACTAGGTAGTTTTTTTTGTTGGAAAATTTTGATGACTGGGAATATTTTGAAGAGAAACTCGGATTTGGGATCCGGCTCCAGAAAAACCCTGGCCGGATCCCGTGCCGATCACTAATAATAATCTCAGACTGAATGAAGGATAAAGAATTTTGGACTGGTGCTAATCCAAACAGAAAATTCTTATATAATTTTGGATTGTTCTCAAAATATTCTTCTCTCCCGAAAATATTCTCAAAAAATTTTTTTATTGTTAACATAAGCCAAAAAAATCAAACCTGCTTTTTTTTTCTCTAAAGTCAAGTTTGGTGTTTGATTTTATTTTAGTTGTTAGAAAAATTTTTTTTTAATATTTTTCACGTACAAAAAATATTTCAGGTGGAAAATTGAGATTTTTTAAAATAAAAAGAATAAAATAAAACAAAAATTCGTTCTCTTTTATGGACAAAACCAAAAGTTAAATGAAACCCTTTCATTAAAAAAAAACTCAAAAATACCACCCCTTAACCTTTAATTTCATGAATGAATATTCATGAGAATAAATAAATACATAGAAAGGAAGGGAAAACTTATTTTTGGAAATAAAATTTTTTTTGGAATTTTTACGTAGATTTTTAAGTGATTTTTTTATTATTAAAAAAATATTTTTTAATTTAAAAATTCAAAAAATGCCCAAAAATTTTATTTAAAATCAAATTTTTATAGGTAAATGTAGGTCGCAGGTAAATTCTAAATTTTCAGGAAAATTTTGAAAAATAGGAAAAAATAACTAACAAATAAAGTAATTTGGTCTTTGCCCATTTTTAAAATTTTTCCTAAAAAATTAAAAATTTTCCTGCCAAAAATATATATAATTTGAATAAACACCATAAATATTCTCTTTTTGAAAAATACAAACTCAAAATTATATTTAATAAAATTGAAGGAGGGTCTACAAGGGGGGAGATCAGCAAAAAAACTTTTTTTTTTTAAATTTAAATTTCAACCGTTCAATCTCCAGTGCTCATCAACAATTCCTTCCTGCGTTCTGCCAACTGTTCCGCTTTTAATTTCAACTAAAAATTAAAACAAAAATTTTTTTCTAAAATTTCCAAAAAAACCTCTTGCAATTTAATTTCCTCGTTAGACAAAGCATGGTGATACGTGTCAATCTTCTTTCGAATTCCCTCAATTTTTTTGGACCCATTAGCAATAGATGACTGCACAGTGAGTTCCTCTTGACACAAAGACCAAAGTAAAGCTTGCTAGAAAAATTTTTCTTTTAATTTAAGCAAATTGACCATTTTGAGATTTTAAGAAGCCTTTTGCAGTTTTCATGGATGTTATTTTTTGGGTCAAAAATTTTTTTTTAGAATTTCCAAGGGCCGGCTATTTTAGTCGTGAAAAAAATTTATAATCAAAAACCTTCTTTTTATTCTTTTCATCTTCATTAAACTCCTCCGCCGTCTTTAATATTTTCTGTCCATTAACAATGTCAGGAGGACTTTGGAAAGATGGAATATCATCCTGAAAAAAATAAAAAATTTTTTAATGGAAGTTTTTCGTGGTAGAACATCCCTCCCCGATACAAAAGTCTACACTGAACTCCGACATGTCCTCACCGGCAAACCCCGATCCCGAAGGGTCGGAGTGCTGTCCTAGAGGATTTGTGAACATTTATAGATCTATAGTAGAATATATCTTTTCCCGAAGGTTCAAGACCCAAATTTTTACAAATAAAAAATATTTTCCAAACCTCAGTGTTCGCCGGCACTTCTTCAGCTTCCTGTTTGACTATCTTATTTCCAACACTTTTATTTTCGGCAATTCTTTTGTTGTTCTTGACACTAGATGAATCCGTCGGAGGAGGAGATTTTGAAGGAGGAACAGAAACATTATTATTTGGTTGAAAATCGTTTGGAGATGTATTTGTTGAACGCATAGGCATGAAAGGGTTCGGCGGAGGAATGTGTGGATTGAATGAAGGAATAGGTCCATAAGATCCAAAACTGAAATATAAAAGAAATCCTTATCAAATACACAAGACAGTTAAAGTTAGCAATTAAACCGCCATCCTGAATTGAAAGGCCCAGAAAAACAGGTAAAACCAAAAAAGATCCAAGCCCGTGTTTTGGATAAAAGAAGGCTCCAATTATTGGCAATAAGCTACTTTACATGATGGAATCATCCAATCTATTATGTCAAATATGACCTAGACCTGTCAAGATGATGACCCTGCTTTAAATTGATTGTCAGGAAAAGACTTGAGGTCCAGGGAAAATACAGAACGAACCCCGGTTCTGAAAGGACAAAAAAGGCTATGACAGGTTCCAAAATATTAATAAGACTCCCATTTTTAAAAGTAAAATTAAAAACCTTTCCAGAAGATGCATAGGAGGAACGGGAAACATAAAAGAAGGTCCAGACGACATTGAGATTGGAGATTCATGTCGATGCTCCTAAAAATATTTAAATCAAAATACTAAAAAATATTTTGAAAATATACAAAATTGTTCCCAATTCTCTGCGAAGCAACATCTTCCAAAAAATCAATAGGACAACCAGAATGACCATTATTAGAGTCAATGAAATTGTTGCTTCAAATAACAATTTCATCAAAAAATTAGTGAATATCTTAGAGATTTGAATATTAAAAAATCCAGAAACTACCCTTACAAAGCCATTTTTAAATTAAATCTTGAACTCTTTTAACTAGTGCGCAGCAAGATCGATTTTTCCGGAGTCGGTCGCGGATTTATAAGCAGAGCCGGACCAAAGCCGGGCAGATTCTTCTGGATTAGCCATGTCAGAAAATAATCCGGAGGGAACGAAAGAATCCAAATTTGGGACCCTACTCCGGAAAGCCCAGCCAGATACGGAAAAATCCAACCGGATCCGCTCCGGCACCTCGCACTAATCTCAAAATTAATTTAAACAAAAAAACCTCTTGGAGCCTTTACTTGCTTCCTCATCCACAAACTTTTTGTTTCGTTCTTTAAACATTTCCTGAGCCTTAGAATGTTTATAGTTTGCAATCTGTTTTGCAGTAATTGAGTCAAAATTGGTGGGAATTTTTAATGCCTTCCTAACAACGTTGACAGTTGATGGATTAGTTGAATTATTATTAACCGTTGAATTGGTCATAGCGTCTTTTTTAAACTTTTTCTTGAAAACGTTACGTTCAAAAATAATGTCGTTAACCATTAATTAAAGTTACAATTCTTTTTTAAACACAAAACTGAAAAGAAAATTATTAAATTTTTGGAAAAATTGGAAGTTAATCAAGGAAAATGTGAAAATAGTGTGTAGAGGTTGTTAGAGAAGGAAAATACATAACGCCAAAAATGTGCCAAAAAATAAATTTTGTTTAAATTTAAAAATAAAGGTAACCTACCCAAGGTGATTTAAAGCTGTATAACTCAAGAACTAATGGACCAATTTTTATAATTTAAAAACCATTCGATAGAGAATTTGTTCGGCTACAAAATATAAAAAAACTAGAATTTTGGATAAAATATTTTAAAAGTTGTAGTCAAAAAATTAACATTCTTCACTCTTTTTGTGAAGGTTTTTCTTTTTATTTTTTTGTTAATTTGCCAAATTTTTCTTCTATTTCGCTAAATTTAGTTTTACATTAATTTATCAAAAATGCAGTTTTTTAGTTTTTAAATTAAATTTTATTTTTGTTTTAGCACAAAATACACAAAAAATTACAAAAATAAATTTATTTTTGAAAAATTGGCCTTGATACAAAATTGTAAAATTCATTTTATTTGATCGGATGGAACTTTTAAACATTTTAAAGGTTGATTAACTCAGTGGAACGCAAAAATATACAAAACAGAGTGATAAGTAAATTATACATAGTTCAATTAAAACTTTTTTCCATAAAAACATACTACACTTTTTGAAGGTCACTCAACCTCTATTTTCGGCGAATTTATCAAAATTTATATTTATTTTAAATTTAAATTTGCGGAAACTCTTTACTACAAAATATAGAGTAAATAAAATAAAAATAAGAAATATTTAGTGTTCTGCCTCGAGAAAAAAATTTTTTTTTCTAGAAAAAATTAAACAAATTTTCTAGATCGTTTAAACAAAACAAGAAATATTTAGTCAAGTTTTATTGCCGATTTAATTTGTAGTTTGAAGTTGGAGACCAAATAAGTTTAAAAAATGTTTAATAAATGTTTACTATAAAAGGCTTAATTAAATAGCCATTTTTACCACTTCTAAATTTCTTAAACTCTTTTAAAAACAAAAATACTGCCAATAATGCTTTCTTACAAATTTACTCTTTTTGTGATTTTCTTCCTATTTGTTTCTGTTGCCATTGCTGATTTGACAGCAGATAATGAAGGATTAGTAAAGCAAATGGATAGGAGGTAGTGGGTATAATAAAGCTGGGTTTCACGGAGGGAAGACTATAACAAACTGATTTTAGTAGTGTTAGGCACGGTTCGGTACTACCATGGTACTTGTATTTAGCCTACTCATATTGATGTTAACCCATTGTACGAAGGACTCGATTAGTAAATCAGAGTCTTGTCCTTATTTAGGAACTAATAGCTTAAGGTTGTACTAATCCTCCCTTTTAATCATTTAATTATATTTCCAACAATCATATTTTCCAATCAAAGTGTTCGTTCAAAACGTTACGGCTACTATTACGAATGTTGTTGCTGCTATGGTGGATATGGGTGGGGAGGATATGGATATTGGTGAAAAAAATGAATTTAATTAAATAATGTGATATACTGTAGGATCTTTTGTCATTCAAAAATTTTTGTTAAAATTTTTAAAAATTGGATAAAGCTGTTTGAGATTAAAAAAGGATAATGATAGTCAAATTTGAGCAAAAAAATTTAATTCTGACTAAAAAAAGGAATAAGCGAGAAAGAAAATAACTCAAGAGAGAGTGTGACTGTCAATAATAAAAAAATAAATATGTATTGATTTTGGGTGTGGAGAGAAAGAATTTCGCAATAAAGTCGCCCTATATTTCCTCACTAAATACATAAATTCATTCTTTATTTCCAACCAAAAAATTTTAATTTCTCTTTTACCCTGAAACGGCAAAAGTTTCCGGCAAATATTTGCATCAATCCTAAAGTAGTCCGGAAATTGGTTAGACAAAAGAGGAGAGAGTGGGTGGCTGTCAGCAATTTTATAAGAGAGACAATCCGGAAAAAGAAAAGTTTCCAACCTTTCTCAACCTTTTTCTCTTACAATAGACTTTTTCAACATTTCATTCTTAAATAAATTTTTTTTCCAATTTTTAGATTTTAAAAGCTTAAAATTATTAAATACAATGGATATCGATTCTAAAAATAAAAATATTTTAAGGTATTAAATTAAATAAAATTTTAATTAAAATTAATTTATTCCAGAGATTCTCTCTTCTCAGAGGTTTTAACGGACATTTTCTCTTTTTTACCCCGAAAAAAAATTAATTAAAAATGTCGAGCCTGTCAACAAATATTTTTTTGAACTTTGCAAAGAAAATGTAAAATCTGCCCATTTAATTACTAAAAATGAAAATTTTATTCAAAATTTGGCTAATAATTTGGAAGAAGCCAAACAACAATATTTAAATTTATCTTCAAGTGAATGTAGCTTAGCTGGACATTTTGCTTTAAAAAATGTTTTTAATGTTGTAATTAGCAGTGATGAGAAAACGAATAATCCACCTCAATATAAGGTTTTAAAATAAAAATTTTTTTTTGAATCCGCAGGGTAGTAACTAAAAATCCGAAGAATGGGCTAGACAAAAAGTGAGAATGTGTGTCTGTCAGCAGTTTAATAAGAGAGACATTCCGGAAAAGATTTCCGGAAAATAAATATTTACAGCATTTAAATTAGCTGTCCGGAAATTGGTTAGACAAAAAGTTAGAGAGTGTGTAACTGGCAGTAATTTTATAAGAGAGACAATCCGGAAAAGATTTCCGGAATTTTGGAAAAAAATTTTTTTCCGTCCGGAATTCCACTTTAACCCTACAAAAACCTCCAAAAAATAATTTTCCAATCAAAAAAATTTTTTTTTCCATCAAGCGTCGTTGTCGCTACCAAATGTGTGTTTTGCGTCATTCATTAGACATTTTTAAAAATTGTTTCATCAACATAGACACGTTAGATTTTGGGAAGAGCTTTACTGATTCAGATTTACAAGAAATCCTTGCCTATTTAAATATTTTGGATTCGGTTTGTCCTTCTAGAATTACGTTAGAATTACATCATTCAATTCATCAAACTCCAGTTCATTTACGGTATCAAATCTGTCAGGTAAAAAAAACAAAAAAAATTTTCCTGGTACTTCTCCCTAACCATATTTCCTCGGTTAATTCCCCCTTCAAATGCCCTTCTACACGTTCAAATTACAAAACGTGAATAATTCCCCATACGGATTAGTTGAAATATTAATTCCCCAGGGAACCGGACTGGGCCGAGACTGAAGTGAGGTTACCGGAATGAGCTATAAGGGTGATGAGGGGGGGGGGGGAGGGTTGTGGCAGGGTACCCGACCCTTTTACGACCTTTAGGGGACATTTGCCCCTTTTTGCCTTCTTCGCCCCCTTTTCCCCTTTTCTTCAATGTCACCTTTTTGCTCCCTTTTTGGCCGATTTCTCCCCCTTTTTTGTGAGGCCATGCCCCCTTTTGGTGGTTTGGAAAGGGTCGTCACCCTGGGTGTGGTATAACAGAATTTTTTTGAAAAATTCCCACCCATTTTCAGGAATTATTAAATAACCAAGCCATTCAAAACTGCCAACTACTCGAAATTTTCAACGACAAAATTTTTAATGAACCAGGCGTTGATTCAATATTTAACTGGCTTCATTATAAAAAAATTAATTTTGATAATGCATGCCGTAATTTATGTCTTATGAAGTATAATATGGCTAATGAATTAATTGAAAAATGTAAAAAGGCGAGTTTTTCGGGAAATTAGAAAAAAAAGTGTTTCCCAGAAATAAAAATTATAATCCGAATCATCACACTTATTATGGTTTCGAAATTAATCGAACAGGGAGCGAAACGGCACACCCTTGGTATCTAACAGATGTGGGTCGGAACAGTCAGAGCTGTGAAATCGGAACTGGCTAAAAGTCGGAAATCGGAAATCGGAAGGAAAAAACATAGGAAATCGGAATTCCGACTCTAACAAAATTTTGAATGACTTTTCCCCTGGTACCTAACAAGAGCTATACATATGTTCAGGCTTGAAATTTTACCAAGTCTTCTAGACATTTATAAAATAAATTACCAATCAAAAAATTTTATTTTCTAGAATTTACTCGAGTCAGTAAGTACAGAAGATTGCCGATCTTATTTATTAATATTTCATTCTAACAAAATTTTGAATGAATTTTCTTTGGAAAATACAAAAAGTGGAGAAATTATTTTAATGAAAAATATAAAGGATGTGAGTGTTGAGGATGAAGTCAAGTGTTATTCATTAACAAGATGTCAATTAAATATGGAGGAGGGAGTTATTCGAAATTATTTTTCAAAGCTTTTTGATACTAGATTTGAAAGTTTACCTTTAATTCGGATACATTAAATAAAAAATTTTTTTTTATTTGTTTGGCTTGAAGACGAGATTTTAAGAAAATTAAATAAGGCGGGAATAGAATTGAGAGATAGCAACATAACTTTAATATAACTTTCCGAGCAGCCTCGCCTAGGGGTATTAAAAGTGCAACATTAAATTAAAACAAATTTTGATGTAAAATTTTTTTAATTTAATATGGCTTAATTTATACTGATTTTTTAAATAAAATCAAGAAAAAAATATTTTATTATATCACAATTTCTAATTTTTAAATTAAAATTAATTAAATAAATGTACACTCAGTCTAAGTTTGTACTTTTCAAATAATAGTTTTTCTATTAAAAGGGCAACAATTAAAACTATTTATAGTTTGTATTTTGTAAATTTACTAACTAATAAAAATAAATTCAAACTCCGATCATGAACTTGTTTTTTTCTAAAAATATTTATTTTATTAAAACTAAAAATAAGAATAATAAAAATCCAAAATTACAAATTATCCCCGTAATTTAGTATTCAATAACCACGTATCTTCTCAACCACCAGTGACGTCTTATCTTTCTGTGTCGTCTCGGCCCCCAATGAATTTTTCTAATACGAGGTGGATACCAAATTTTTGGTCTGCAACGAACACAACTACAACCACGGACACAAAAGCCTCTTCCGCAAGTTGGAGCAGAGCAACCGCCACCAGCACCGTCCCCAAGCGGTTCCCCCCATCCATCGCCAACAGGGTAGCGCTTAGTGCGTTTACTTTAATGAATAGAATTAGTATAAAAAATTTAATTAAAAAGCTTTAATTGTAATAAAATCTTTAATCAACTACTAATTGTGAGTAAAATTTATCCTTGGATTCCCTTCCTTATCAATATTTTTGAAATTAATTTAAAAATTAATTTACATAGTCAACGGCTTTTCATCTTTATCATAAATAGATTCTATGTGTTTCAGATTATTATTAGAAGAGTTTTCAATCCCATAAACATTCTTTGATATGCTTTGTAGAGAATGGATGAATATATAAAGGATTAGATGGATAAATATTAACATTTCTAAAAATCTAAATAATATTTTAAGTATAACATAAATACTTTTTCGAAACTTATCCGAGCTAATGATAGTTTTATCCTCTCACTGGATAACTAACAGAGATTATTATAGAGAAGTTGCTTCAGACTAGCGAGCGTTCGAGACGTGATCTTTATTCAATTTATCCTCAAGTCTTCTTTAACTATAATATGAGAGGGTAATTATTGTGGGGGGGGGGGGGGTGGTGCGAGGGTTAATAAACCTAAAAAACTCTAGACAGAAAATTTTTACAAGACTCGAGACCATGGGAAGTCTCTAAACCTCTATAAATGTAAATATCCATTCGTGGGTTCATATCCATTCTCAACAAATAATCAGATTTTCGTTGCTAATTTCAGCACAACAGGGATACAATTTAGCTTAAGGTCTACTCATCGTTAAAGTAAAAACTAAATTTACAATCAAATAATAAGTACAAATTTAATTATTGTTAAATATATGAATTGTTAAGGTGTTGTAATTAATAAATAAATTTTTTAATTTAATAAAATTAAGAAGAAATATTTAAAACTCTTTCAATGAAACAAATTTACTTAAAATTCTTGAATTAAAATTAATTAAATTTATTTCACGCCCAGTCTGATAGTTGTTAAAACAAACGTTTCATTAAAAGTGCAACAAATTTTAAAACACAAAACAAATTAAAAAAAGAAATTACTTGTGAATTTACTTAGAAATTACTAATAAAGACAATATAAATATTTATCATCATAGTATCACAATAAAAAATTAATTAATTAGTCAATTAATTTAGTCAATTAATTCTCTTAATTTCAACAGCAGCTTTGTCGTCCTCCTTTTTAATATAAACGGAAAACTTTCTTTCTGGATTGTATTTATTGGAAAGTTGATATTTTGTAATTGTCAAATAATTATTCTGAAAATTATTGTTATCAAGATTAATTTCAATATTTTCTGCTCTTTCACTTATATTTAAATGACCAGTAACGGAATCTAATTTAATTTTTTTAATCATTTTTGAAAAGTCTTTTGTCAAAATCATAGAATTTAGGGGCTGGTTCATAATTTATAGTCCCAATGATATTTCGAATGGTGTCTCTGCAAGATTGAAATTATTAAAATAATCTATGAACAAATCCTTCTGAAGTTCATTCAATTTTAATTTTGGATTCTGATGGAGTTCCTATAATTAGTGCTGTAGAAGGAACTCTGAATAGAAGCCGGGATACCCGTGCATCACTACCGTGTAGTAATTATAGCCTAAAAAAGCAAACTAACGTTCTTCGGCATCTGTTATTTCTAAAGGAGCAGAATATTTTTCAATTTCACTATCAATTTCACCATCAATATCACCACCCAAAAATACAGGAATTGAATTTTCTATTTCACATTTCCACTAAATTTGATTTAGGTAAGTTAAAAAATATTAAATTTTTAACTTTTTTCTCAAGATGTTCACTCAATTCAAAATCATTGAATTTAGGGGCTGGTTCAAATAATTTATAGTCCCAGTGATATTTCGACTGGTGACTCTGCAACATTGAAATTATTAAAATAATCTATGAACAAATACAAATTTAAGCTTTTCGAATTTTTTCCGTGCCAATTCCTCCTCATATTTATCAACAAAATTTCACAAACAGAAATTTGTTTGTTGAATATTTAATAATTGATTGAAATTGAGGCATTTAAATATATCTAGTTGAACTTCAGGTAGAAAAGCTAATTTTTTATTTTTATTTTGTTGACTCGATGCGGGAGCATCGGTGACTTGATAATTGCTTTCATTTGGATGTTGTACAATTTCAACTACTGGAATTCCAGGCCCATCAATTAATTCAGCTAATTCTCCATTAAAATATTCTGCCTCATACAATATTTTGGTTGAGCAGTCAAAAAAGCTTGGAATGGGAACACAAAAATATTGCATATTTCGTTATAAAATGAGACAGGTTTTCTTTTAAATATTTCTTAACCAAACTTATTGAGTTGGTTCGAATCGAAGACATTAGGTGTGTGACCTTCTACCCGTACATTATGTAAATAAAATTTTTGATTTTAAAATATGACCATTGCATGTGTGTGCTCTAACTTCTATGACAGCTGTGGTTTCATCAGTTGTACTGGACTTATATCCATACATTGTGTAAATTTAATTTTTAATTAAAACAATGACCGTCGCATGTGTGCGGCCTTATTTCTATCACTTGTGTGTCTCTTAATTTCAACAGCAGCTTTGTCATCCGTCTTTTTAATATAAACGGAAAACTTTATTTCTTGATTGTATTTATTGGAAATTTGATATTTTGTAATTTTTAAGTAATTATTTTGAAAATTATTGTTGTCAAGATTAATTTCAATATTTTCTGCCCTTTCACTTATATTTAAATGTCCAGTAACCGAATTTAATTTAATTTTTTTAATCATTTTTGAAAAGTCTTTTGATGTTTCTATATGCTGAAATAAAATTATTTTAAATTCTTTTAAATATTCATTTTTAAAATCTGATAAAGATTCAGAAGTCTGATAAAAATTCCCTTTCATCTTATGAGGCATAATAATAAAGAAAAGGAAAAATGAGCGAGCACTTCACCCAACACAAAAGATGCAGGAAAGGGAATTTGCGGACAAGGGAACCGCTCAGAAAATATTTAAAAAAATTTATATTGTATTGTTTTATTTATTCTCTATATATTTTCGACCCTATACGCAAATAAGGGTCGAATCGTTTTTTCCTTCATTTTTCCTTTGGTTAATTTTCCTTAGTGGAAAGGAGAAATGAAGGAAAAAACGATTCGATCCTTATTTGCGTAAAGGGCCATATTTTCTATAATATCAAAAAATCATTTACCTCTATAATACGATCATAAAGTCTAGGGTCAAGCTGGTAATAGGTGATATTTTTAAATTGCTTCCTTCCAGTAATTAAAAGGTCAAATAAAGCACTTAAACATCGCTCCACATTATAGCGCACATAATTCCAAACAGAGAATTTATTCGTGATTACATTATTCACGAAGAATTTAAAGCAATCACTGTCCAATTGGTCGATGAACAGTGTAGTATTTATAGAATGAATTATTTCTATCACTTGTGTGGCTTCATCTGTCGTGCTGGCTGTGCCAACAGTGCCATTGCAGCCAACAATGGTTTTGTTGTTTACGCAGCGCCACAGATGATATTTCTTTTGCTTCTCTCTATAATTATATTCGTGGTGTTCGTGTTGTAATTTGGGGTTACCCCTTTCTGATTTAGTAAAGCGGAGCATTTATTATAAAATATTAGAAAAATCGAAATTTCGAAACAGTCGAGAATTTTAAAATTAGCCTGAAATAAGTTGGATTTATACGAGGAAATAAAAATTAAATAATCTATTATTGAGAAAATATTTGAAAAATACCCCATTGAAAAATGCCTAAAATAAAAAGAAATTGAATAGAGAGGTCAATATTGATTGTTTCTTCTTTGAAAAAAAGCAAACTAAAAATATTTCATTTATAGTAAAAATAAATCGATGACAAATGAATTTTTCAATTATTTTTTAAATTTTTATTAAAAATTGTTTTTTTAAGTTCTGGCATTCGTCGTGGTGGTCGTTTGTTAATTGCTGGTAAATGGGTCTACGCAAAACACTACTAGCTATGACTAGTACCTATGTATTTTTTGGGAATTTGAAATTTTAAAAATTTGTGAATAAATGAATACAAATCTGATAAAGATAAATAGTATATCATTCGAAACAGCATTAAAAACTGTATTTAAAAATTACCGGCCGAGATTTTTTCATGAACTTACTGTAACGCCCAGTCTTACAATTAGACTTGTTAAAACACAAAAGTTTTTATATTAAAAATGCAACAAATTAAAAAAGAATTTTATATTTTATTGATATTTTGATTAGTACAAATTGAATTAAAATTATTAGCCATGTTTTTAGTATTCAATAACCACGTATCTTCTTAGCCACCAGTAAGGCCTTCTCCTTTTGTAGGGTCTCGGTCTCGGCCTTCGATAATATGGTCGTTTATTTTGAGGTCTTCGCCGACGATTTCTTGATCTAGGACGTGGGCAAATAACGCATTTACAGCCATTTAATTGGCATAAGCCTTTCTTGCAGGGTACACAACTGTAGGCCGCCCCTGCAACGGGAGAAGCACCATCTCCACCTCCTTCACCGCCGCCACCGTCCAAAGGATAAAAGCGTTTATTTCGACTACTTTAATAATTATTTAATTATAGAGATAATTATGTAATTAAAATTAAAATCCCCTCCTTATTGACATTTTTAACATTCGAAAAATTTACATAGTTAATAACTGTTCATTTTCGTTATTAAATTCCAACTGCTTCAGACTAAAGGTATTATTTGAAGAAGCTTCAACTCCATAGACATTCTTTGTTATGCTTTGTAGAGAACAAATAAATATATAAAGAATTAAATGGATAAATATTAACATTTCTAAAAATGTCTAAAAATTTTTTATAATAACAATGTCACTTTTTCAATGAATCAAATTTAATTTTAAAGTTTTTTACTTGAAATTAAAATAAAAAATTTGTGAAAGTTCTTTTTGAAGTTACATTTTAAGATTTTAAAAGTGCAATAAATGAGACAAATAAATTTTCAAAACAAATAGACAAAACGAATTAAAAGAAAATGATTTTTAATTTAATTAGTAAAAATTGGTTAAAATTATTTTTTTAATTTTTTAGTATTCAATAACCACATATCTTCTAAGCCACCAGTAAGGCCTACTCCTTAAGCAATATCCGGGTCCAATTGTTGAATAATATCTTCGTGTAACATATCGATTTCCTGATCTAGGTGCATTAGGAATGCACATGCATTTGCATGACATGCATTTGCCATTCCTATGATAGCCTCTACAGCAGGGTCTGCAAATGTATTGAGCACCATCTCCACCTGGATCTCCAAACCCACCGGACCAAATGTAACGTTTATTGCGATTGCTTCAATAATTATAGTAGCAAGATAATTTTTAAATTTT